AGCTTGTATAAATTTATAGTGAATTTTAAGATAAATAACAGTGTCAAACAAGTGGTTTAAAAAATATTGAAAGAGTGGCAAATTAATTGGATAATAATTAAAAAACAAAACAAATTCCAATATAAATCATTAATAGTAAGTTAGGTGGTGGAAATTGATTAACCAATAGTTGAAAAAAAAAAAAAAGCAAATTGTAATTTTGAAAGGGCACGTGGGGTGGGATGGGAGAGAGAGAAAGTCTCTCTTCTTCCTTTCTTTTCTTCTTCGTCAGAACCTCTCCTTTTCCAGAAGCTGCAAAATGCACATTTTCATTTCTCCTTTCTTTGGCCTAGGTTTTTTTTTTTTTTTTTTTTTTTGACAAAAAAGAGAGCTCACGATCAGCTTGTGCTGCGATAGAATAGGGAAACCCAAAAGGCCAGAAAACCATACGAAATTTCATCACTTCCGACAAGGGGAGGGGCGGCCGCCACTCCTCGCCCTCACATAGCTTCCCCACTACGTTGTATGGATGCTTATGGATTGATGGTTGGTTTAATCATTTCTAACAATCGTCCCTGGGTTTTGGAGGTTTCTTCTATATAATTCTTCTCCTTATTTGTTTGAAAGATTTCCTCTTATTTGCTTGATGTCCAAGAAACACCAGCATTCGAAGATTGAAGAACCAGAATCGTTTATTTTCTATCCATAAATAAGTGAGGGAAAATGCATGTTGCACATAATGATTTTTCGAAATAGTGACATAGAATAGATGGTCGAATGAATAGAAGAAAAAATGTATTGAAGGAAGACAAAAGGACGCAGCAAGAAATTACAAACTTGACATCCAAGTTCCGTTTTGGGCGCATGATACCTTTCCAAAAAAAGCACAGCGTCCAGGTTTAAACACACTACTTTGTTGTAACATATGATAGATTTTAATCATTCGAAGCCTAAATCCCAAAAACATTCTGTAGTAAGAATCGAACCTTTCGATTTACATCCAATTTAGTTCCTTTACATTCCCTCGGACTCCCCTCCATTTCCAAAGGTTGAGTTAAATCTTTATATTTCCAATTTAGTTTCTTTCGATGGTTGTATTAGAATATTTTACAGTTGCCTTGACTGATTCCCCAGCAACAAGATTTGAGTAAAAGGTAGAATTATTGAATTCAAATCCTCTTCGGATTTGTGTCTATTGTCGGGAGTTAAATTTTGCGGTTTATCTCACTGACCATCTTATACAAATGGAAAGTTTAGATCTCTCTCTTCTAGGAACGCCCAGATCTATGGGTACACTGACTCCGGACTCCGAGATTCGAAATGAATCTCGTTTCAAAATTATTGGTCTGTGTGGCAAGAGATAGATGGGTCGGTGTGTTTTCGTCCACAAGCATGAGGCCACGAGGAATTGCTCGTACTTTGAAATGTCTGGAAAGTATTTTCTTTAGACATCAATAGAAATTGTTGGATAAGGTGGTCTCTGCTGGTTCAAAATTATTTGATGCCTTCAAGTGATCTCCCAAGACTCTAGCAAATAAAAAAGGAGTACAAATAGTAAGACAGCTCGAGATTTGGAAGGAATATAAATATTATATCTAAGGGCGAGAAATTTGCTTATAGTCCATGTTATGTGATGACTTTTATTATCATAAGATTTGTAAAGAGATGTTCTCGCTTATGCGAGAATATAACACAAAACTAGTCGTTACATTACATTTGATGTTCTCCCTTTTGAAGTTGCGAGAGTATTCAACACAAAACTACTTACTATGTGATCATATGTGGTTAGTTGTATCCGAATAGAACAGTTTTGTTTTATACTCTGGGTTACTCTAAACTAATCTAATCTACGAATAGAACAATGTCCTCACTAATTGGTCGAGCTCACATCTGCTAAATTTTTATCTTTTCAAATTGCTCGAGGAAGAAACTACGGAGGAGAAGGGGGTGGTTACATCCGCCTTCAAAATTCAAACCTTGGTGTCCAATGTGTTGGGTATCTAACTGTTTCTAACAAAAATAGAAGAGAAAGGAGGGGAGTGCTGCATCCCATAGAAAGCGACATGGAGTCATCTTGTCCCACTTATATAATGCAAAATTAAGCAGATTTTCCGGGTACTGATTAAGATGGGAAGCACAGTAAATGAGATTTGAAGGGGCATCAATGGGAGTTGGAAGCAGTGACAGAGAAACTCTGCCGAGGCACCATCAAACAATCAATTTGGTAATTTAAATGGGGGAGTGGGGAAAAGCAAACAAGTCATTGTTTAGGCACAAAGATATTAGATGATCTGTAATGTCGAATGTTTTTACATGTGAATGACAACTACAATCTATGACAAAAAAATGGGGTCATCCCACAAGGCAATTCCTCAAATTATAACACTTGTGTTAGATATTATGCTTCCATATTTAAACTCATAGTTGAAATTCAATGTTTGGGGAATTTGATATCAACATGTTACGTATCAATTAGCTCGTTGTCTAATAATATATTTTTTTTTTAACAATGGTTCACTCAAATTATAATACGTGTGACAGGTCGTATTCATAATTAAGGTTTGAAGTTCATAAGTCAATGTTCAGATGAATTCAATCCACAAAAAACAAGAACAAGAAGAAGCCACATACCAAGTAGCTGTTGGTTTACATACGCTAGTTGGGGGTTAATGCCATATTGCAAAACAGTTCACTAGACTGTGAATCGTCACGATGAAATCATCCGGTAAGCAACATAGCTTAATGAAGCCGGGATCAGATTCAAGAAAAGCAAAACCACTAGCCTCAAAGACATCTCATTCTCCAGTGGAGTCCCCAGGCTCCCAGCCGTCGTTGTGGATGACACCACTGAGTCCATGTTCTTGAATCTGATAGCGTTTGAGCGCTTCCATGTTGGGGCAGGCAACAAGGTCACATCCCACATGTTTTTCATGGACACAATGCCAGAGATGTTGCCCTCCTACACGCAAAAGGTATCATCCAAAACGCCCTGGGAAGTGACAAGGCAGTTGCGAATCTTTTCAACTCGCTCTCTAAGGACATAACGCTTGATCCAGACAGCAGCTTTAACGCGGTGCATAAGAAGGTGTATCACGATTCACTACTGCAAGAAGCCTTGGAACGTGCGGTGCGCCATTCTCGTTCACACTTATTTCAGGAATCCATGGGCTATTATTTCCCTCATTGCTGGTGTCTTCCTCTTCGTGCTCACTATAGCTCAGACTGAATACTCCATAAATCCCTACTACTTTCCAAATGATGATCCTCCCACCTGTATATGTTATCTTAACAATTCTACTACCCCTGTGACGCCACCAAACGCTGCATACTCCACCTCACCATCAAGATTTATAATTTATTTCGTTCTTATGTCTGTTGTATGGATGCTTATGGATTGATGATTGTTTTAATCATTTCTAACAATCATCTGTGGGTTTTGGAGGTTTCTTCTCCTTATTTGTTTGAATGATTTCCACTTATTTGCTTGATGTCCAAGAAACACCAGCATGCGAAGATTGAAGAACCAGAATCATTTATTTTCTATCCATAAATAAGTTATAAGTGAGGGAAAATGCACGTTCCATGATAATGATTTTTCAAGATAGTGATGTAGAACATATGGTTGAGTGGATAAAACAAAAAATGTACTGAAGGAAGACAAAAGGATGTAGCGAGAAATTACAAATTTGTCGGCCGAGCTCCATTTTGAGTCCATGATACCTTTCTGAAAAGAGCGCAGCGTCCAGATTTAAACACACTGCTTTGCTGTAACATAAGATAAATTTTAGCCATTCGAGGACTGAATCCCAAAATCGCATTTACGTCCAGTTTAGTTCCATTACATTCACTCGGACTCCCCTACATTTCCAAAGGTTAAGTCAAGTCTTTATATTTCCTACGAGTCCCCTACCTCCCCAATCGTTAAGTTTTTGCATTCCGTAAGACTCCCCGACATTCCCATGGGTTAAGTTTAAGTCTATTTAAGCTTATAGCTTCTATTGTAATGCATTATTCAACAATTAGTTAAAATATCTTCTCTCTAATCTGGTGGACTCAAGAGCTTTGTTCTTCAAAAAACTACGTTTGTAATCTTTGTTACCTTCGTGATGGGTCGAATAGTATTATATATAAGGTTTTTTTTATCACAAATAGTTTCTGAAATTTACTCATACCATCAAAATGATCTCTGAAATTAAAAATCGATCAATGTAATCCTTGAAATTAATTGAATGCCGCAAATTAATGTGGTTCTTCCGTTACAATTCCATAAAAAATTTTGTTAAGTGCTGATGTGTCAAGTAATTAATTCTCACAAGTCTAATTAAATATTATTATATAAATTAAAAATATTTAAATAATACAAAATAATTTTTATTTCTATATAATTATAAACTTAAAAAAAAACAAAAGAAGATTACTGTTTATCTTCTTCCCCACCCCATCCGGGCAACACCCAGCCCACCACCCCACCCCACCCCGTCGCGTCGACAACACCAGAGAGGTTTCAATTCGGATTATCGGCGCCGGCAAGCACGAGGACCGCGAGAACAGGGTGCGACAGTGGCGTTTCAAGGGGAGGAGAGCCCCCACCCACCATGTTGCCTGCACCTCCGGGTAAAGCAAAACCGGAAAGATTTCAATCGGATTATGGGCGCCGGCGAGCGTAGTTGTTTCAATTCGGATTATCAAGCTCTCCCTCCATATCGTCGGGAAATATTTGAGAGACTAGTTGTTTCAGAATTTTCTTTTCTTATGTCGGCGAAGGGTGGAGTGGGAGCTGGGTGTTGCTCGGATGGGGTGGGGAAGAAGATATAACAGTAATCTTCTTTTGTTTTTTTCAAGTTTATAAATTATATAGAAATAATAATAATTTTTTATTATTTAAATATTTTTCATTTATATAATAATATTTAATTAGACCCAATTACTTGACACATTAATACTTACCAGAATTTTTAATAAAATTATAACTGAATGATCACATTGATAAGGACTTACATTCATTAATTTTTAATTTCAAGGATCATTAAAAATGATTGATTTCTTAAAAGTACCGACAGATACATAATACCCCGATTTTATATCATTCCATAAAATTTTCAGGCCTCACAAAGAAAACTTGGGGCTGCATCATCGTCTTCTGTACAGAAGCTCTCCCACTAAATACATGGAAAGAGGGGAGGAGAGTGGGGGAGAAAGGTTGGCATGCCTGCCGGGGTCTCTACGAAAGTCCAAACTCCGCACTCTCTCACATATCTCGAAATGAAACGAACCAAAATCAGTCGACCAATTTTGGGGTCAGTCCAAGAAAAAAGGGACTGTACTTGCACTCGCACTACACTTCAGTCATATAACTCGAGAGCTGTCCCTTATGACTTCATTTTCCGATTCCAACGAAGCTAAGCTGCAAGAGATGACAGATTATCAGACTACAATACCAGTAGATAACTGAATGATCTAACACGAGAAAGGGAAAAGAGGAATTACAATGTTGTTTTCAGGCTTCCCCCAATATAATCCAAAGAGGATAACTGGCAAGATATTGCAGGCTATGAGCACGAAAATCATCAGTGCATGCATTCCCATCCATTCCATTACCATAGTCGGGCGCCTGTAGCCACACACATCAACCTGAGGGAAGAAGAAGAAGAAACCGTGCAGTGAGAAAACTAAGCAAGCCGAACACTAAAGTATTTATGCTAAGACTGTCAAGTTGAAGAGAAGAGTGAACGAAAATGCGAAAAGGTTTCTCTCGAATTAGTTGGCTAGAAACCGTACCATCAAGTAAATGGAAGCAAATAGAATGCCAGCAGCACCAGCTGTGACGCACATGTAACTGAATGTGTAAAGTGCCTTGTTTATATGCAGGCCTGAAAAAAAAAAAGCATAAAGGAGACAGTCTAGCGATAGAAAAATACAGCAAGTTCGATTATATATATAACAAAATTGTACGGGAAGTGCGTACCAAATAAGTCGAGGACGAGGCCTAAGACTACAAGAGAGGAGGATGAGATAGACCAGTGTAGGATTCTTTCCCGGTGATCCTGCATTTGGAGGGAGTAATGGTTACAGATACGAATCCTCCGAGGAAGAAAAGAAGCATCTGATATCAAGTTTTCTCACCTTAAAATGGACAATGATGTGCCCGTAGTGCATACCAACCAAGCAGGTAACAATAGCCATCATTGAGCTGCAACGACGAAGGGCAAGCGAATAAATTAAATTTTAATACACGAAAAGATTAGAAACAAATAACTAAAATACATGTCTATCTAAATACTGATGTAATGGGATTCTGTAAAGAAGTAAAAAAACACACCTCAGAAGTCCTTCAGGATCAAAAGGGGCTTGGCACCAAGAAGGAGCATCGGCAGGCAATGGGCCATAATCGGGGGAGTTAAGACTGCATTCCTGTAAAAAACAGCAAATAAAGGTTAATCATTAGGAATGACAGTGAGGCACATTAAAATTAAATGAAATAAAGTAAAAGAAATGGATTCTTACCTCCGTTCGTGCGTAGATTGGTCTTTTATATAAATGCTCAATCCCCAATATCTTGCGATCAATCATCCCAACGGCATTGCAAGCCGGTCCTGTGTCACCCCGTACTCCACATTTTACCTACAAAAAAGAGATGAGTTAGAAAAGCAGGATAAAGCAAAAACATACGCCTAATTCTCAAAGACCTTACGAAAAATTAAGGAAAGAACTAAGAAACATGATGGAAACTTACTGAAAATGTTTTTGGTGCAGAGGAGGAATCGACAGGAATCTGGTACTCCCAATCAGGAACATGTAATCCGTATAACAATGATAGATATAGCGTGGTGATTATCAAAGCCACCGTCCTGAGAAACAGGGCATACATTATTCGAAATTGAGCAATATTCACATTACTATTTTGAGTGATGCAGAAAAAGAAAAAAGTAGGACTCCTAATGCAGATAAATATTACTTACAATTGAGACCGATATTTCCTGAGCAGCGATCTTCCCGAGTTGACATTACTATCACGCTTTAGCCAAATCTCGCACAATGCTGCTACAAAATATCCAATTGCAATTCTCTGGGAATAAAAAGGAAATAGAAATCCATAGAGAATTGGTTAACTTTTGCCTCAAGTTTCCAACTTAAGTAATAAGTTATAACCCTAGTGATATGTAGCATATACCTGTAGAATGCCCATCCATCTCATCTTTGTGATATCAACCCCAAAAGTAAGATCCTTGACACGATGGAAAAATCCGCCTGGACAAAGACATGTCGAACATTGCTCAGTATACAGAACCTTATAGTTTGCATATCAAACTTAGCCGTAAAAATCGTTTGTACAATACATAAAATTACTAGTTCACTATTGCCATATGAACATATCAATCAAATGCTAATAGCTTGACATGCTATATAGTGTACCTTGAAGAAAAAGGCCCAATGCTAGAAGCTTCAGCGTTCGTAAAACTGCTTTTCTCGTGGAAGCAACTCCGCACGATGGTTTCTGTGTGCACAAACATTTTCTGTTAGCTAGCTTCTCCCGAAAACAGCGACAGATTACTTGATCATGAAGAAAAGAACGAATTGAAGGAGCAAGGGATATAAATTTGTACCTTGTAAGTAAGTGCAAGGGAAACACCAACCATAAACAGGAAAAATGGCATGACCAAATCTGCTAGGGTTAAACCATTCCAGGGCGAATGGTTAATTGCGGGCAGGATTCCACCCATGTCGTCCACTATTATCATCAGCTGCATCAAACAATGGCAAGAGATTAAAAAATGAAAATAATTGAAATAACAATTAGGGGTACGAATATTCATGTGAACTTACGTGTTAATCAACACGTACAATTATATAAAAAAATAAAAATACATTCACGTATTTTTATTAGAAGAAAATAACAATTATATAACAACTAGGAGAAAACGCGTAAGAGCACTGGTTTCGAAGTGAGGAGTTAAATGACAATCAGAACAGTTGGACAAAATTCACAGCAAGGCCGGCCTGCAACAGGAAAGATAATTGATGAAGTCATAAATTGATGTGATTCAACTTAAAAGTTTTGGCTTATCCTCCTAATGGTTGGACCAACCAGCTGGAGTTGAAGTGAGTGTCGGCTTAGCCGACGTACTTGGGAAGTATGGCCAATTAAAAGGACCCATCAGTACGTCAGACGAAATAGATTTACTCCATCAGCCCATCATATCAGATTAAATAAAAGGTCAAATAACTATACAGTTCATAACGAGAAAAACTTACATGTAATAATGTTTAAGAAAAAAAATATTCAATAAGACTGCAGTATTGTGAGGGGCGAGAAATAATAGAATTTGGTTATTTGTATGTGAGGATTGATGGAACACGTATACCAAACGTCCGCATTTAAGTTTTCTTATTTTTAACGAGAAGAAAAATATATCAACAATTATATGCAAGAATATGTAACAGTGCAGGTGAGATTTAGGCGAATGGTGGTGGAGCTCCTAGTCACTTAATACAAAAAGCAAATGCTGACAAACGGGCATTGAGATTGAGGAGGTCGGTGTGGTACATCATGATTTCTTTATATTAAAGCGTTTGCAAAAGGAGAGAGAAAGGAGGGTGTCGTGTCCAGTTGCATTTGGTTTTAGATCTGAATCGAGTCGGATTACACAAATCCAACATTCTACTCTCTAAGAAAATTGTGGTGGCCAAGGAATCAGTTGGTGCTTCATTTTTTTAAGGGCCTCAGTTTTTCTTGGTTACTATTGTATTATCCATAAGCGTTAAAAATCAAATTTATATACGTGTGATATAAAATACAGATTTGAAATTTATTCTCAGCCACTGAGCTATCCGTTATATTTGTTAAGGGGGGCTAGTTTGGGGTTTAGCTATTTTGGGTAATATGAGCCACTTAACAACACTTGATTAGTTATCAATGATATTTTTTTGTTGACGGTTACACACAAACAAACAAACAAAGCAACCTTAAACCCATGCTTAGAAAAAGGGCAAAAACCTAAAACGAAAAAGAAAGACAAGACGGTGCCGTATCACCAGACGAATCATATTCGTTTCGTTTCCGTTTACTGCGTCGAAAAGCGTCGCATCCGATAAAGTTTGTTGCGCCTTTCAGCAAAAGGCAGAACTAAATCCGCCAAATGTCTTCAATATTAACCATTAAAATTTATTTCATCAATTTAAATTAATTTTCATCTTTTTCCATCACCAAAAATAGAAGTAAAAAAACACTGAAAAACCAGGGAAAGTAGACGTTACCACAACCGTGAGTCCGCGAAAGACGTCGAGGGAACCAAGGCGTTGCTGCTGTTGCCGCGACTTCGAAGGCAATGACGCCACCGCCGCTTCTTCGTTACTACTATTCATATAAGCGGCGCCACCGCCGGCGGGAGACTGATACGGCTGGATGGCCATCTCAACGTCGTCGTTCATACGACCATCACCGCCACCGATATTAATGTTCTCCTTCATGATAGGATCTGCCATACGACGTTCATCGTCGTCGGAGCACCCTCTAATAGGCTCGTACATCGCCATATCTCCCTACCCTATAACCAAAAAAAAAATCATGAATCTTCCATCATATATATCAGCATGCAAATGTGCATTATATGCAGAATCAAACAGAAAATACTAGAATCGTAGAGTAGTAAAATCGCTCGTAATAAGAAGAAAAAGAAAACAAATATATGGAAACATGAATCACGACCAGTGGCAACAGAAACCTGATATCGGAGGGGAGGGAAGCAGAGCCTTATCTTCTTATCCCTCCTCTGGAAAACAAAACAAAATATAACTCTGAATATTTTGTTTTGGTTTAGGGAGGGGGAGGAGAGCCGCAAGGGGAAGAGGCACACCACCTTGCAGTCCTGCGTTTTGAAATGCTCCCCAAGTTTTGTGGTTTCTCCTTCTCCTCTTATGCTCTAATTTTCTCTCTCTCCCCTGACCCTGGTTATCTATAAACATATATATATATATATATATAATAAATATAAAACCTAAAACGAAAAGGTATTTTTATATTTATAGTAAATGCAACTTGCAAGAGATATGGTTTTGTTGGTTCAGGTATATTATAGTAGGCAACAAAAAACAGATATATATTATTTTGGGGTTCAATGATTTAAGTAGGAAACGGATATTTGTTTCGGTCCGTGTATTTACGCTGTAAATTCCCCAAAGTGTCCTCCGCCCGCCTAACCGCCTAAGAATTGGTAAATAAGAACCTGCCTTGTATTAGGACTCGAGAGTAAGAGTTCGTTTAGATATGTTTTTAAAATGATTTAAAGTGTTTTTGATGAAAATATTTCTGGAATCAATCCTTAGTAGAAATGCAAGCAAATCTTGAAAAAAACCACTTAAAGTGCTTCTTGAAATAAGCACATAATTGGTGCTTCTTGTAGAAAACATTTAAAGTGTTTTTAGAACCCAAAAACACTTTCTCTAAAAACGCTTTCAGCCATTTTGAAAATACATCCAAATGAATCCTAAAGCTACATCCAACTGAACTATAGTGTTTTAGTATACCACTTCGACTAGTCGACCTAATCTCCAATTCTAAGTACCAACAGATGTGTGACTCTAACTCTAACCCTTTGAGGTTATTTGTTGTTAAGTTCTGATCAATTAATATTGGATCAAGCTAGTGTTACAATGTAACGATATTTATCTTAAATTCGAATATTAAAATAGCATATTCACAATTAAGTTATTTCCTCATCCTTAATATGACTATATATCATCGTATAAATATAAATATAATATATACACACACACACATTAGATCAAGAATTTATCAGCCAAGAACTTCAAAGAATAAGATATGCGAGAGTATGGTAGAAAATCACCTCTAGCTATGACAAGTATTATATATATATATATATATATATATATATATTTAGACGTAAATCTTCATCATTATGTATTCGATCTAGAATTTAGTGGCCATAAACTCCTTCCTATGACAATGCGCTCAACATTCTAAAATTTTTCGATATCACAATAGCATATAGTATTATTAAATTAATAGTTTATTTATATTATAACAAGCACGTATACGTTAACGAAAGTATATTATATTAAGTTTTAACAAATAAACTAAGTAAGATATTTCTAACATCAGAAACAAAACATCTGAAAATATCTTGACTGCCAACTTTAGATCTTGTCAATCTATTCTTGGCATCGGTTTCCCGAATCCTCACTCCTTTTTTTCTCTGATGAGCCGCAAACACAAATTCCTGGCTTCCCAAAAACGTGACGCGAACAGCTGAAGCTATTGATTGCTGGGATGGAACAGTTTTTCAGCAGCTCAGTTTTTTGCCTTTTTGGCCTGGATTTTGAATAACGGAAGCAAAAGCATGGGTTGTCTCAGTCTGTCTTGCTAAAAAGATGTAAATTCATGCTTCAGACTCATTTTCCAAATTTTATTTTCCATTTATTCTGTGTACGTATACGTTACGCTCGTATGTATCTATTTAGTACAGCAATAGACTATATATACAGTAAAAAGGGGAAAAGCTACTATTTGACTTTCAAAATTCCTTCCAAAAGTAAATGGTTTTCCCACTAAGTAGAAAATCGACATGTGGTACACACTAGAAAAAAGATTGATCGATGAATATCAGCAAGGGATATGGTTCACTAACTACGAATATTTGACTTAACAAAAAAGGTAGCTAGCAAAATAAATAAATATAATGTGCAAGGAACGAAAAATAATGCGCGAATATCATTTCTTATAACGTTAACTCCGAATACTGCAAAGTACAAACGTATGACTTAAAAAATATAAAAATAATAATAATAATAATAAGATGACGAATAAAAAGGAATAGGCTTAGAGTTAGAATTCGAAACTCACGAAACGGAAAAAAAAAAGCAAAAATAATAAAGAAGAAGAGGAATGGCTGCACCTGCATTTTTGCAGTTGATTTGTTTTATGGTAAATTCAGCGTTCACATTCAGTGATAAGCTTCCATTGCTTGCACATGTGATGAAGGTTGCGAGATAAACAGACGGAAAGAGGAAAAAAGAGAGATTGAAATTCGAATATTCGTAAATTCCTTTAGATGGGACGGACAGGGGTTAAAATAATCGCAGAAATATCAGCAAAAGCACAAGTGTATCACACGACATCGTAGGCACCGTATACCTATTTTTGTTTGATTTTGTAGACAGCTTTTTTCGTAGTGACAAAAAGAAATTATGCCCATATATTATGGAGTACGATTCTCTATTCTTTTTTTTTTTCCTTTCCTTCTCTCATCTCCTATTTGAACAATCACGATAAAACTATATCAACATCTTATATTAATTGTTTATAGAAAGAGAAAGACAAAATAGAGAATGTGAGAGGAGAGAATGAAAAATGATGGAAAAAGAAGGAAAGAGAATCTTAGTCCATATATTATAGTACAATTTGATCCAAACAGATTTCACGCCCGTATTCTACTCGAGTTCAATTTATAACGCTAATTAATCACACGATGGTGGCTAAAGAGAGGCATTGCCTTTGTGAGTCTTTCCCCTAGAAGGATGAACTGTCGTGACGAAAATACCAACTTGTCACCATTTTAAAAACGAGTAAGAAGGAATTTATGATCCGTTTATAAGTGTTTTTAAACGATTGAAAACACTTTTAAATAAAATATTTTTGGAACCAAACCTTAGTAAAAATGCAAATTAATTATGAAATAACACTTGAAATGCTTTAGTAGAAAACACCTTAAGTACTTTTGGAACCTAAAAATATTTTCTCAAAAAACACTTTCAATAATTTAAAATCATTTGTCAAACGAGCCGTTGGCAAATTAGAGTAGTTTGCAATTGACTACTTGAAATTATTCATTTGAAGGTGACAGTGTAATGCTCATTTGGTACATTTCATTTCCGCCGTCTAATGTTTGTACAAAATTTATTTAAAAAAAAAAAACCTAACCTCAATTTTTAATAGCCATAAGTCTCTCGTCCAAACAACACATCGTTAAGCAGAGCAACATAAATTAGGTAAACACGATTACATGCCATTGCCAGGGACGACGCCGTCCATGACGTCGTAGACCTAAAACACAATCACCCTAATAACTTTAGCACGGGCATTACGCACCGAGTGACAAACACAAAATAAAGGTTTACCTTGGTGCCTAAACAAGTTGGAACCATTCCAAACATGAGTGGTGGAGTTGTACAAGGCGGTCATAAAAAATACATGCCGAGAATATGGTGGTTGGTTGGGCATGCAACTCCAAGCATATGGTGGTCCGAAAAAACAAGTGGGGTGATTCACAAGATCACCACCACCACCACCATCATATCATGTGATTAGGAAAGCGTCGACGTATTATATTCGATAAGAAGGTAGAGAAGCAGTTAAAGGGGAGCTATTCAGTTACCAAAACCAAACAATATACGACCCATTTGCAATCAATTGGGTGTCATTACCTTCACATAATTGGTAGTGCTTTGCCCACCCACCCTCCCTCCCTTCTTCAATATGGAGTTTTCTTTTCAGCAAAGCAAAAATCTTACCGCCTAAAGCATGTCAGTACCGCCACGTAAACGGGGCGATGGCGACCAAATACTTATGTGCCAATGTTTCTGTAAGGATTAACTAACTTCTACTAAGAGTAGGCTCTATTGAATGAAATAAGACAATGGTTGGTATTTCTTTTGGGAAGATTGTTTCAAGCATATAGCTCTCAGGGGAGGGAAAGAGAGCGCATTTGCACGCCCGTGCAGGAGTGCAGACGCTGACTTGAAACAGAAAATTATGTTGGATCGCCCTACGTGCAATATTTTCTATGCAGAAACATGAAGGGTACACATTACTACACTGTTGGATGATAGACCAAGCATGGCTTCGAACCAAAGAAGGAAAGGAGCCCCCATTTAAAGGGTAACGCATGCCACATGGTAATACAATCCAAACCGCTAGCAAATGCTTATAGCCTATACACTTAATAAACATGAAAACTACTGATCCTTTTGAGAAAAGCTGCTTCGACGAAAAGTCAGCTGCCTAATCCCCCCTTTGTAATCAAACGTAACATGAAATTAAGCTCTCCTAACCCAACTAGGTATCAAAGTAAAGAATTCCCATTAAGCACCTGTTGGCTCTAACTTACAAAGGAAAAGAAAAAATGCTTCTGCATATTAAAGGACCACGGCACACGCCCCAGCAATCCACCCACAGAAATTATTAGGTCATGATACTCCTGAAAACAAGAACCAGAAAATGCCAGCTTACCCATTACAAAGAGGCATAACCAGTGTATGCTTTTGCTTTCTTTAATTGAGAAGACATGACGTACCAATTTTCATCTCTTTAAGCCTGCGATCAGAACATTCAATGAGTATTTTCTACGTATACCTAACTATACAGATAATCTACTTTAATTATCTACAGAATCGTGGCTTGGAATCAAAATCTTGCCATTTATCCCTATCTGATCCATTAGTTTTGTATTTAGCTTAATACAAAAAATTTAGATAACCCTTGACTGATATGCATGTTCATATTCATTTCCCCATTAAAAGTATAGGCTTTTGCTACTCATTTCAAGTATGTACTCTTCACTCAAACTTATTCCACTATATATTTGTAGGTACTTACGCACATGAATCAAGATACAGGGCGTTTACGCCTTCTATTTGTCAATTACAATTGCTTTATTTATCATTAGGAAGCTTTACCAAGCGGCAATTAGATGTGTTGCATTGTTTTCGTTTTTTTTTTTGTCTTATTTTGTCTTTCCCTTCACAATCCTGAAAGTAAAGCAACTAAAGAAGTAATAACCTCAAGAGAACCAAAATCCACACAGGTTACCAATGCCTGTTAGCCGGTTCTACAAGTTTGATAACACAGAAGCTTTAAACCTTTTTTTTTTTTTTTAATGTTCATAAACATAGTTAAACTTTGGCCTGAATTGCCGATAAATAAATGAGTTAGCAACGAACTACGTACAGTTTGCTAAGTATTCTGACTGATGACACATTATTTGGACTATTAGGTAATACAGATTCGAATTGCCTAGCAAGGATGTAACAGAAGGACGTCGAATTGAAACATGCTTTCTTGAAAATGCATCTATTTCATCTCGATAAGTGTCATCACCTTACCTTCATTGTAAGAGTCCTAATCACAACCTATTAAACTATTTCGTTAATAAAGAAGTTTACAAGCAATCATCACATAACAAGTCAACTGGTGAGAGGCTCGATCAAAATGTGCAAATGCATATTTAGGGTTGAGATTCAAAACTACAAATGATTCAGTTTCTAGCTGTAGTCAACGTTAACTCATTAAGTAACTAAAACAAGAAGTGAATTCAACGTAGAAAGAAGACAGCGGCACTCACACAAGCCCAGCAAGCAAAGGAAGCAGTAGTAGCTATGCTCGTCTTTCTTAAGGCTGGCACAGACATTGCACTCCATGACATTCGAAGGACTTTCGTCGTCTTTCGGGGGCAAAGGGGCCAGGGTGCCCCAGCAATTGGTTCTGTTGCACATGAACCTGACAAAGAAATAGGCGTGTGGGAAATCGGCTTCCCCTTGGGCTTCGGCTTTGGCTTCTTCAATGTCAATCCCAGATTCGGGTTCTGATTCCGAGGATGCCTCCATTTCCTGGTCTTGGTCCTCATCCATACCCTCTGCTTCTTCCTCACCCTCCTCATTGTCAGACCAACTAGCTTCCACCTTGCAGCGATCACATTGACAAGCAAAACCATAGTCCTCCGCCAGAGTCCTCTGCCGGTTCGAATAACTCTGATTCACCGGGAAATAGCTCAGGCAGATCTCCCTCCCTGCCGGAACATCATGTATCATCCTGATCACCATGTCCGTGTTGTGTTCGCTGTCTGTGTCGATATAATCAAACCGGCAGGCATTGGGGAGGCAGTCGTGGTTGAAGAACGAAGCTTTGGGATAAATGGCGTAGGCCCTGCTCGACCTCTGCGACAATTCCGTGAAGGGTTCCATCAATCCGAAGGCGTTGAGCTTGTCCTTGGCCAGTAGAGCCGCTGAGAGCTCTGCCGAAAACATCTGCTTCTCTAGGAGAAATGGAGGAGGAGCACAGAGTGTCGAGATGAGAGAGTGAAGAAACTGGGCAGCTGCGGTGGTGTCGGCAACGGCGAAGTCGTGCGGCTGGCCCTGGAGAGACAATAGAATCTGGAAATTGGAAGGGGAAACGACCGCGAGGTTGTAGGCGGCGACCAAGAAACTGGCCTGGACCTGGCGATCGAGCGGCTGGGCGGAGAGAGGCGAAGAAGGGTCTCGGAGACGGCGCAGGGCTTGGCAGGCCCAAGGAGAGTGGGAGGAGGAGAGAGCGGCAGAGAGGCAATTGGGGCCGCAGAAGACGTGGTGGGAACACCATGGACATACTTGAGGCTGAGCTTGAGGTTGGGGTTTTTGTAGGGTTTTGAAGCAGCGGTGGCAGTAAGGGTGGGGAGAAGGAGTGATGAGAGGAAGAGCGGAGTAGAGGAGGATGGGAGAGTCTCTGAGAACGATTTCGCCACCCCTGAGTGGCTGAGCCGCCACTAACGCCCGTCCTCTCCCTTCTATCTCCGTTACCGTCAATAATTCCTTCGTCATTTCCATTTGCTTCCTGCGGTTTTAGGTCAGTTGTGTCTCGAACCCTAACCCTAAACCCCTTCGTTTTTCAATTGGTGTGGAACTTAACACTAGTAGACTGTAATGCTTGATTACTCGCGACTTTAGTTACAAATAATTTTTTGTTTAATAAATAACAAGATGTTGTAAAAGCAGTGTGGATACCCTCTATAAAAGCAGTACTTACTTGAAGATTTTAGATATCAAATCGTGGTTAGTAGGTTCATCATCTAAATTTTGTATTTAATATTATTGACTAATGAAAAGGTGAGGTGGAATGAAAATGGATTTGAGTTCAGTCTGTTGTTTGTTATGTTAAAATGTGAAATGAACAATACTAGATAGAGTTATGAATTCCGACTAGAGTGGTTATATAACCTATCTGTATACATGATTACAAATCTTGTCTTACAAGTCTTTGCTAATCTAATCGTATTCCTAAGAGCTAATCCAATCATATCGCTAAGAACCAATCCAATCCGGAGTTATGAAAATTGTTAGTAATCATCTCCTTAGCTTGAGGTTTCGAAAGGGATAATAATCCTTTAGAACACCAAGAATGGTAAATTATAGAGTAAACCAATTGGGCTCATGGGCTGTAATTTCTCCAAGCCCAAATAAAACCCAAAGCACCTTGTTAACCCATTGGGTTTATAGGCCCACCTCAAGAGAGTATTGAGGTTGAAAATTATAGGACTAAATTCTAATCGCTAGTCTTGTCTTTTGGGAGGAAGCAAGGTCGGTTCCAAAAAATTCCAAAAGTGCAAAGGGATGGTGGGACGATGAGTTAATCTAACCTAACCACGGTTAAAAGGTGTGTTAGGGTTAGGCCCGGCGGCACCTGCTATTATATAGAAATATCCTCCGCTCATTTCGTCTCTCGACTCTCCAGGAGCTCTCGGCTGCGCGCTTTCTAACAGGTCCTCCCCTTTTCCCCTTTTATTATTATTATTCTTATTTCCTTTTCTAATTTATCTAGGGTTCTTATTCGATTTTGTTCGCTCAATTGCTTGGATCTGTTTTATTTATTTATTATTATTATTTTTTTTTGGGTTGAATTAACGAATTGGTTTATTTTATATTTCCTGTTAGTATATGGATGCTGTGATTGGTATATATATATATATTTTTTTTTTTCTGAAGGTGTGCAATCAATTCATATATAATTGTGTTTTATGACTTTTGCGTTATTTATTGATTTATTTTTGCGTCGAAATCATCAGGTTTTCTGCTTAATTTGTAGTTGTATTGGTATGTCCTGTGCTTATTAGCTTCCATTGTGAATAATTGTTGTTTTGTTTTATGCTTGATATTGTATATTTATCATTTTTAGCTTGATTTCATCAATTAATTGCCGGATGTGTGTGTTGCGGCATATGCATTCGTCTCATCCCTTGTTACGTGCTATGGCCTGAATTGAATAGATTGCATGAAATATGTAGCGTGGAGGCCTTCTGGTATGTTATAAAGCAACGGCAACATGTGTATGTTTGTATGCTGCTTATTTCATTTTAATGTGGATTCAACGCCTTTCTCTCGTGTTCTCCGGATTCAGTATTTGTAGTTAGATGCATTCATGCTATTACCTTGTATTGCTGCTTGTTCTGCATTTTGGGTTGTAGGCTGCTCAACTATTTCAATGTGAAATGTGCTCCTTTTCGTGTGCTACGAGTTCAGTATTAAAAGTTAGATTCTCTTACCTTTTATGCTCTAAGCATTTTGGGTTGTTGTCTGCTTAATTCTTTCAACATGAAATGCGTGACTTCATATCGTGTTCTTCAAATTCAGTTTTTATGGTTAGAACTTCTTTCCTTTTATGCTTCTTTATTTTCATTTTGGTTTGCTGTCTGCTTAGTTCTTCCAACAAGATTGTGACTTCTTGTTGTGTTCTTTGAATTTAGTGTTTGTAGGTATAACTCTTTTATTTTAGCTCTTACCTTATATATTTCTTCATTTTCCTTTTGGTTGACGGCTGGTTAATCCTTCCAAAATGAAATGTGTGGATATTTGTCGTGTTCTTCGATTTCAGTATTTATTGCTAAAATTTCTGCATCCCGGTACTTTTCACTTTATTACTTTGTTTCATATATTGCCTTTATTTGTTGAGTTTTTCACTGTCTTGTAACTGGTGGCTTTATTTTATCTGGTTTTGTTCATTTGAAACTCATGTATGTTATTTTGCAGGCCATCAATTGTTGTTTCAGCTGTTGCTGTAATTCTTCAGAATGGCAGATGGTCATGAGACTGATAAGAACATTGAGATTTGGAAGATTAAGAAACTGATCAAGGCACTTGAAGCTGCAAGGGGTAATGGAACCAGCATGATTTCTCTCATCATGCCTCCCCGGGATCAGATTTCTCGTGTTACTAAGATGCTTGGTGATGAATTTGGAACTGCATCAAACATTAAGAGCAGGGTGAATCGACAGTCTGTTCTTGGGGCTATTACATCCGCTCAGCAGAGGCTCAAGCTTTACAACAAAGTTCCTCCGAATGGGCTTGTGCTGTACACAGGGACCATTGTTACTGACGATGGGAAGGAAAAAAAGGTCACCATTGATTTTGAGCCTTTCAGGCCAATCAATGCATCTCTTTACCTCTGTGACAACAAGTTTCATATTGAAGCTCTGAATGAACTCTTAGAATCTGATGACAAGTTTGGTTTCATTGTCATGGACGGAAATGGGACACTTTTTGGGACACTAAGCGGAAACACTAGGGAGGTGCTTCATAAATTTAGTGTCGACCTTCCAAAGAAGCACGGAAGAGGAGGGCAGTCAGCTCTACGTTTTGCTCGTCTTCGAATGGAGAAGCGCCACAACTATGTTAGAAAGACAGCAGAGCTTGCCACACAGTTTTTTATTAATCCTGCCACCAGTCAGCCCAATGTTTCAGGATTAATACTGGCTGGGTCAGCTGACTTCAAAACAGAGCTTAGTCAGTCAGATATGTTTGATCCTCGTCTGCAAGCCAAAATACTGAACGTGGTGGATGTTTCTTATGGAGGAGAGAACGGTTTCAACCAGGCTATTGAGCTGTCAGCGGAGATCCTGTCCAATGTGAAATTCATTCAGGAGAAGAAGTTGATAGGAAAATACTTTGAGGAGATTAGCCAGGATACAGGAAAGTATGTTTTTGGTGTGGAGGACACACTAAAAGCTCTAGAGATGGGTGCTGTCGAGATTCTTATTGTGTGGGAAAGTTTGGACATCAATCGGTATGTGCTGAAAAATACAACTACTGGTGAGATTATAGTGAAGCATTTCAACAAGGAGCAGGAGAACAATCAGAGCAACTTCCGGGATGCTAACAATGCGGAGCTAGAGGTTCAGGAGAAGACGTCACTGCTGGAGTGGTTTGCTAATGAGTACAGGCGGTTTGGTTGTAGTCTTGAGTTTGTCACCAACAAGTCACAGGAGGGGTCACAGTTCTGCCGTGGTTTTGGTGGCATTGGAGGAATTCTTCGCTACCAGCTTGATATGAGGTCGTTTGATGAGTTTTCTGACGATGGAGAAGCTTATGATGATTCTGAATAGCAATCAATCAACTCTTCCCCAAAACTGGTGCAGCAAGGTGGGGTGCAAAATGCCTGCACCAGTGCGCTCGGAGTTGTGGTTTCTGCTGCTGCTGCTCCTGAGCTATTCTCAGAAACATTCTCAGGCTTGATTGAGGTATCTATTTCTTCTCGCTTAAATATTTATAATATTATTCTCTTTTACAGCGATCAGTCCCTTTATCATGTTTTTATTTCTTGAAGGACATTACAAATACATTGTTATCTGATCCCAAAAACCTTGATCTGGTGATTTCATCTGGATCGCAGAAGAGGCAAGGAAAACCGATCATCTGGAACGAGGACACAATGCCGAGAGCTGCTGCTCCCTGTGGATCAGGACCTTCCGAACATATGCACCCGTGCATCGAGAACCCCTTTATGATGCTGGATTGTGGTCCTTGGGGTAGTGCTTTCGGTTAAGTTGTTGTATTTGGTGGTGTACTTGTGACTTAAGCCGTTACTGTCTTGTGGAACAATTTCCTAGCGTCGTCGCGGCGGCTCGTCTTTGAGATGAAGCCGGGCTGAATAATCATGTTTGAACTAGTAGTTCTCTTTCTCTTATGTGCGTCTGATGACTCTGAAGAAGTAATCTATGCTTCTTCTGGCTAGTAATCCTGTTTATTTGGTGCTTTTGAATCCTTTTGGTGCTCGTCCTGCGATATGTGGATTTGTCGTTAAATTCGTTGATCTAGCAAAGAACGGCACAATTTTGCAAGATCAATGGACGTGATTGGTTCCTCTGTTTACCGTTTTGCTTTCAAGTTCTATTTTTCTTATATGAAAATGGTTTTCTTCTATCCTCCCTTTTAATCTGCATTTTTTACCTCCTAAATAAAATGCAAAGTAAAATTGAAACAAAGTTCTTTTGCGAAACATTATATCAAGAATTTGGGATTTTTAGCATAAAATGGTTCTTGATATATAGCAATTCACTGGGGTTCGTGATAGAAATGGTTTCTGTTTGTTGTAAATTATTTTGGTCATTCATAAAATTAAATATATCCTTACTCTTGTTAAGTGGAGGTACTGATTTGACAAGAATTTCTTAAAAAGGTACTCATGTAGTTGTTTCCTTCACGCAACAACTAAACAAGCATATCAACAATTTTTTTAAGAAAAGACCAAGATAATTTACTTAGGAGCTACGTTTATCAATTTCAATGTCAAAGATCAAAATAATTAACTATTTTAACTAAAAAGTGAAGAATTTATAAAACAATGGCACAACTCTTCGAAAATTGATGTAAACAAATTCATGCCTAAGTGGTACTCATTTTGAAAACATGTGGTATGATTAGAATATAGGGAAAAGATCTTTGCACTCATTTTTGGTCCTCGTGCACATTTATTTGTTTCTAAAGCACATGAGAATTAATTGAAAAAAAAAAATGATGCGTGATTTCTTTTTTCTTTTTGAAATTCACAATGGGATATGCCTTTTGCACTCGTAAAAAATCACTTTACACTAATGAGTGTAAAAACTTGAGAAGAAAAAAAAAATGCATGATAACATTTTTGGATTCAAAATGATACAGGCTCATTTTCCTCATCTTATAAGCTTTTTTGTATTATTTGACATCAAATTAAATAAGTTAAATAAAAGCAAGGCATATGATTAAATATAGAAGTGCCGGACCAAATAAAAGATGTGTGATTATCTTCTTTTTTTTTTTTTTTTTTTTTTTTTTTAATGGATAATTGGTGGCTAGCTACAATTATTCATCTTTTCTAGAGGCTGTCACAGAGTCATTTCAGCCTCCACCTGACTACAAATCTGGCTTCCACAACAGCATCAGGTTTCAAACCTAAGGCTTCCAATTTTTAATTTTAAGGAAGCCTCGTAATCTGCAATTTACCACTGGTTTATCATTTCTTTTTAAAAGATGAGTAATAAGGATCTTTCAAAAATATATTAAACTAGAACAAAAGAGAAAGGCCGAAACAAGAAAACAAACCCAAAACATCCAACAGAGCGAAGCACGGCCCACAAAGGCTAGCCCTCCAGTGCCGAGGTCCTATAAAAAGGCGGCCTTCGTATTCATTCGGTGGAAATTGGAATGCGCATCCCGCGGCCGCCGTCAAAGCCAAGGCCACACAATTCTGCAGAATCGTTTCTCTGTTTGTCGATTGATATTCTGCTTTGCTTTTCAGCCATTCTTTCTCTCTGCTAATTACTGTTTCTTATTCGCATTTGCGTGGTGTGTTCGAACTTGAAAATATCGCGATTCCTGGTGTGTGTGTGTTTTTTTTTAATTTCTTTCTCAGACTTTGATTAAGCTCTTGATTAAGCCATTAATCAAAGAAGATATATGTTAATAAATTTGAGTTAAAAAGTGAGGCTTTTGATTTGACGTGATGTGATGTGAAGCAGCAGCAGCAGGTCCCGATGATTGAACTCCATTTATATATAAAAGTTTCAGCCTTGTCTGAATCAATTCTGTGTTGATAAGTTTTTACGTTCTGAGGGAGCTGCCCCCTTCACTTTTACCCTTTTTTTTTAGGTTGACTTTTTCTTAGGAATGTGATATTTAGAAATAGTCATTGACCATAGAGAAGCTTGAGTACGAATATTTAAAAAACGGTTGCCCTCTTCTCCCTCAAGAAATTATTGTTCGAGCATGGGTTTGAGTTTTTGAACAATTGCCTAAAATCAAATATCGGAGACATTATATTAAATTAAATAACAATAAAGCATGAAATTCTTTCAACAATTGAAATTTGTAATGTAAATTTGGTTTTATTTTCACGTGTTAAATTTGTTTGCTTTTCAAAATGCTTCGATAATAAAAGGTCTCATAATTTTTTTTTTAATCGAAAAACACTAAGACAAAAAGGTCTCGTCCAGATTTCTCTCATAACCCTAGTTTTCATGATGAACACCACAAGTCTCGTCCAATTGCCGTCACCGAAAGAGCTTCCTGAACGAAATCAGACGCTGAGGAACCATTACTAGCGGAGCAATTGCGATGGAAGGTGGCGGTACGAGGACCGAAACCGGGGTTCTGCGCACCTTCCCATGCATAAGCACTTCCCTTTCAGGAAGTTCGCTTTTGAAATAGGCGTCCAACTCGTGGACAAAAAATGGAGTCCATGATGAAGGAAAGGGTAGATGGGAGAGGGTGGGATTTTGTGGCAGAAAACCAAAGGACCAGAGGAAAGAGGGCGAGGAGAACATAGCGAGACATCGCTCAAGACAAGCACCACCCAGTCGAGGGTAAGGAAGCACCACCCAATGGGAGGTAAGGAGGAAGGCCAAAGAGGAAGGGGTGGGAAAGGGGCTGCCACCGACCCAGGCCACAGCTAGGGCCCTTGGCGGCTAGGGTTTGGAGATGCTAAGCAAGGAAGGGCGAGAGGGGCTCTTCTAAAGAAAATGTCCTTAATAATAAAGAAAGTGTCCTTAATAGAAAATGCGCCCTTAATGATAAAGAAAGTTGTTTAAGAGTTTTTGAATGAAAAAAGGTTTGCGAACGGCATTTACTTATATTGAGGGGGGTATATAATTGAGAATTAGAGAGATTTTAAAGGATTTATAAATTTATGGATTTTTATAAAGTTTAATTGATTTGTAGAGATTTTATATAAAATTTTGATTTAATTCATTTGAAATCTTATAGGGAGATGTGAGATTTGTGGATGCTTAAAATACACTGCAAAATCTCTCAATTTCCCTCTAATTCCTCAACTTTCTCAAATTCTTTAAAATCAATTTCTAATTGAATACACCTGAAATGTTATAAACTTCTTTAAAATCCTAATTGAATACACTCATATTTATAAGGATTTTAATAAACTATCTTAAAATTCTAATTGAATACATCTTGAATTTCAAAGAATCACTTAAAATCATAATTGAATATCTCTAGATTCAATAAAAGCATTAAAATCCCTCAAAATCTCAAATGAATACACCCCTAATTTTCTATTAAGGGTATCATTTTTGCCAATCAAACAATTAGGAATCTCTTACTATTTATCCTTGGATAAATGGTCATCTGCAGTAACTTGTGAACCGGGAAGTTCTACTGTGGATGGTGAAACCCTTGTGGTTACATTTGCCATGACTGCAAAACTGGAAGGAGACCCGTTTGCCCTTGCGACGCTGTACATCTGCACTCCTGCATGCAATCTCTTGACCATGGCCCACATTCCTGCCCTAACACCCATCTTCACAATCTCCCTTGGAAGCCTTATATCTTCATGGTGAAACAGAAGCACTTCCGATGCCATTTGCTGCTCTCCTGCATCCCTAACTTTCACTGCTAGGTAGTTGTTTGGTATCAGTCAAAAGCACTTCTTCCACCAGCGGAGAAGCTATGAACAAAACTGTACCAAAACCTATACACGTACCTGAGCTTATACGCCAACTGGAATAGTAATTATCTACCCTTATTGCTGTTTTAGACGTTGGTAAGGATGGATATGGTGTCCCCTGATATATCAGAAAATAAACAGAAAGATGGCAGTCTATTGGAATTCATGCATCTCACAGAAGGAAACATCTTGGATTTCACCGGGCGTACGTGCATACGTGAATAACAAATGATGCGTGAGACATCACTGATGATAATGCAGAATATATTTTGACAAAGAACTAATAGGATGGAAATTTTTTGAGTGACGATGTACTAGCGTCGTGTCTGGTATCAGTAAACATATACGAGTGTTATAACATGATACGGGGCAAGGACGGTACCTTTGTTGTACAATAATATCCAGACGGAGATTCCCAAATACGACGGACTATAACGTATTCTCTATCACTGCAGAGGAGTGGCAACTGTGGATGTTACAGAAAAGGATGTTCAATTGAGGTTATAGTTAGGAAGGAAAAGACACTAAACAAATAATTGTAGCAGCTGTAAGAAACCATATATGTTACCTTTCTTATCCAATGAACAGTCATGGTACCAGTTTGGGAGCAAACACTCAAAATCTGGAAGAATTTCAACGTGTTATCCCAGCTGCGTCTGAACTCATCATCCCAGAAGAAGTCTTTCAGCAACTCAGGCGATGCGTTTTCAAACACTGTTCTCGTACGGTACTGCGCAGGACCTAACTGAAATTTCATAACAACGTCACTACACCATTAGAGGACGCTTATGTAAGGAGTGGTTCTGCTCATAAGCGCTGCTTGTTGAAAACGTAATACAATTGAAATAACCAGGCATAATCCAAAATCCTTTTAGTCATTTTAAAAGTACTAATAAACAAGCTTGGTTATGTAAATTACCCGCGGATCCCTGTACCAAGCTTGGTATGTCAGAGAAGGGGTAGAATGCTCCATCATGAGCTTCCACGGTGGACAGCCGTTGGTCTCGTTTATGTGGAAAACCAACACTTTCAGATCATCCTCATCCAATTTGCAGCATTCTTGTTCGTGATCAAGAGGCTGACTACAAGACTGGCCGCCGGAGGTGGCTGTGAGCCTAGGACGGTGGCTTGCATACTCGGAGGATGCAGCTCCGTGTTCGTGGCCGTGGAAGCAATACACAATTCTTGGTTGCCACGAAATCCGCCAGGACCATGACCAGTGCCAAGACCAAGACCATCCCTTGATAAGAATTAAGGCCATAAAAAGTGGCACCAATGCTCCAAAAACAACAGAGACTGCTGCCAGCGCCAATTGGGATATCATAGTAATTGTTGAATGATGCTACATAAAAATGTCTTCTGTTTGGCTGCTTTTGTTTGCGTATCTTGTCTTCCCAAAGGCAAGAAGAAGATGGACAGACAGGATTTCCCCTGCATTGGAGCAAAGAATTTCCCACTTTCACTCTTTTTCCTTCCAAAGCAGCTTGTCCAAGAAAGAAACAACTCATTACTAGAGTTACAAATGTAAAGTCAGTCAAGGACTACTTCAATTTCGAAAGCCCGGGCCCTTGTTATTGGGCAATTAGCTAAAATGATCAATTTTTGACATTTGATTGTTGAAGTGATCAAAATTAAATATCGACAACATATCAATCAAATATCAATGACTCAATGATTAACATGCTAAAAACGGATTATTTCAGCAACCAAATATCAAAAGTTGATCATTACAGCCTAAAACCGTAAAAAATAGTAGCAAGGTCAATAAGTCCCAACATACTTCTATCAAAGAGGTAACTGAAGTGGGAGAGTCAAAGTCAAAAAGAGAATTCCCCACTTCTACTCTCATTCAAACGTGCATGAGACTTTCATCTCACATGACTCCACCTCGCTAATGTCATCGTTTTATTTAGAGCTTGTAGTGCAAGAAAATGACATGAAAATTGGTAAACGATAGTTTTGTAGTATTTTGCCAAACCGATTAAAAGTTAAAACATCAGTAGTAAAATGTAACATGGGTCCAAGTAAAGTTGGATGGCTAACGTAACACCAGTAAGAAAAAAATTGCGCAGCAGTCAATGGCTTTCGTTCTTTTATAACTCAAAGAACACGAAAATATGAAATTAGACAGAATCCTGTATAAACATAATACAGAGATGAATAGAACACCCAGACACCATTCCAGCTCTCCCAAAAGAGATGCTAGAAAGGGAAAGATTAGCATTAATTAATTAGGGAAAAAGAGTTGTTCTCAGGTCTAATATAACACAGGCAGAAACCCCTCATACATTGAACATAGTTCAAGCCTTAAGGGAACAGCGGAATTTTCGAATCAAAAACTTTTCCAGGCGCAGCCAAGGAGTTCACTTCGGACAGGCTTTACGATGCCAGGATACATACAGAGTCTCCTACTCCTGCAAGGGGAAAAAGTACATTAATACTAGAACCAGAGAATATCAACTAAGTTAACCTAACCACAAACAGACCACAGAATCATAACACATGCTAATGCAGCTGATCTTCAATATAAACACTACAGACGACATAGCAGCTGATCTTCAATTAACTTGTCCGGTGGCCTAGGCAACATAACTAACTTTCACAAGACTACTAAAATATAGGGCTGCATATGTTTTATTACATTATGAATGCCTTCTGACATTGGTCAACAGAACTATAGGGTCACAGGATCTCCAGTTCCTATAGAAACTAAATAATGCCTAAACCGGCATGCAAGAAGCAGCGGGAAAAAGGAAGAGCAGCTTAAAAATAGGCTCAACCCTGAGGAAAAAGGAACAGCAGCTAACAATAGACTCAAATTAGACACAGAACAGGAAATCCACCAAATAATTTTTCTGCCTTAACCAAGGATTCTCCCTCAGTACAGCTAAACGACAGTAACTGTCCAGAATCTTGAACAGCATTAATTAAGCATAATGAGGACTAAGATAACTGAAGCATGGTCCTGTTTGTACATTGCATTATTTGAATACAATAACACCACTATCTTGATTTATAAGATAATTCTTGAGGCCATCAAAGTTGTATGCATCTTCAACCATTCTACAACAGTCCGCAGAGATGAAGAACAAAAATAACAGAAAATACTTTAAAACTATAGGAAGAACATGGATACCTGTTCCATCGGTTCCGCTTCATCGTTCTTCTGCTCCTCACATCTTTAGGTTCGGTAATAGCCTCATTTTCATTATTTGTGTCCATTTTATCATCCTTTTCTTGAACACTATTGGGCTCAGCATCATCATCAAAAATTTCAAAATCTGCAGGAAGCTGACCCGACTTCAGTGCCTGCTCTTGCAAAACAAGTAGAATGTTAATGTAAAAATATTACGAGATAAGACATTGAGAAAATCGTGAAGTAGTTTCTCAGCTTGAGCAAATAACCTTTTCAAGTCTAGCAACCTCTTCAAGAGTCTGGGAATTCACTATGGCAGCCTGCACATGGACAAACAACGTATAAAATAATTAAAAACCTAAGATGACTCCACACATAGCCGCAAAGTAGGAGAAAAAACCACCAACACAAAGCAATAATCTATCACAAAAGACCAAATTCTCTATCAATTGCCACAACTGGATATCTTGAAATATCAGAATAACTTTCAGTTGGGACAACTAATGGTGTAGTGTTTATGACAGTATGAGATACCACTCAAATATACTAACAATTATTACTATGATTTGAACCTAAAAGTAAAGAGAAGATAATTTAACATGGATAACAGACAATGTATCATAATTGCTCAATCAGTTAATACTTGTTAACAAATCCAATCATATAGGTTGAAAAATATTTCATAATTTCATACTACCGTTAATTCATCAGTAGAGGAAAAAAGAAGTAACCCTAATAAACTGTCACCCCCTTCACAGTTAGAACGCGGACTTGAAAAGACTACAAAACAGTTAGAACATGGACTTGAAAAGACTACAAAAAATCAAAATTGATATTTCTTGAGTAAAACCGCATTGATTTTAAAAGTAAAATGTGAACTTTGTCTCTCCTGTGTACATTTAAATAATATTTACATTCGTTTTACTAACAGCTCCAAGGTGAGAAAGAAGTCCCATGCACATGATCACAGAATATAATGATTGATGCAACTATGTAAAAACTTAATTGCTATGATTACCTTGATTTTCATAATTTGTTCAGGTGTGGGGGCAACAACTTTTGGAGCCTGTTGTTCCTGGGAAACTTCTGGAACTTCTGCAGGCACGAATTTTTGGGGGGATACCTTTCTAGTCTCTTCTTCAACCTCTTTTGATGAAAACAAGGTTTGTGCTTCCAGTCTCTCCTATGATTGATGGAACAAGACCAAAGAGTAATTAATCCAGGTGATAGGTACAAAAGGAACAAGCTAATCTTCTATGAAAAATAGCATTCTATTTCATATTTCCACTTTTTTGGTGAAACTAGAAAGAAATAAGCAGAAGCCATGATACAAGTTAACAAAAGTCAAGCATTTGGACAAAACAAATCTTTTAAAGCTATAAAACCAAAATAATATTGTGTAACGTCTGGGAATCAGACACTGTAGAAACTAACTTTCTGTAGCCTATGAATTAAAATCTAAAATCCCCGGAAGAAAAAGCGTGAGAATTATAATACAAAATATATGTCACATTACACGCTAGCTAAACCCAGTTTTGCTCACGAGATTTGTGCTTCTGTCATGTTAGTATGGTTCTCAGCTCATGACACTCCAATACTAAGTAGTAGTGTTCCATTAGTATGTTATTCCTAGGCACTCCAAGACGAACTCATAATTGGTACCATAAAAAAGTCGCACCCACAACACAACGACAAACATGAGTTGTCAATTTGAATTAACGCACCTTGTTTTTCACCTTCTTAAAATCCAGAACCCGAAGCGATTTTAACTTGTGAATCAAGTACAGCCTATAGTTGGGTTTCTTCGTGATGTTGTTATCCAAAAGGCTAAGATACTGCAACTTTGGGAGGGATGCAAGAGGGTCGATCTCTACCAGGTTGACTAGCCTGTTGTTGGTAAGTACCAACGTGTGCAACTTTGGCAAAAACTCTGCAATTACATACAACTCAGTAGTCGGTAGATACAAGATAACAGACTAGTATGTGATTAGAGGGACCGAAGGATTAAAGTTAGTTACCTCCAATGTTGGGATTGATACGGGTGATTCGGTTGTTATTGATAATCAAAGTACCCAAACGATTAAGATAGGGCATGTTTTCGAGCTTGACGATTTCATTGTCAGACAAATCAATGGTGTCAAATTGGTCCTGTTCAAATTAAACCGAAAAAACATATTTCATTCAACTAAATTCAGTAATTTGCAGCAGATTAAAGCCAAAATCGATGGCTTGTCATGATAATAGTCTGAGTTAAGTAAACTACTGACCTCTGTAGCTCCCAAGTTTTCGATTACAGCAATCTTATTTCCTGAAAACGAAAAGGGGGCAAACAGTTTCAATTATCAAAACCCTAACGGCGTCAATGTAGGGTTTCGAATCGGAATTTGGGAATTGAGAATTGGGAAAGGAAATTACCTCGGAGATCCAACTCTCGCTCCTTGAGCGCATTGAAGAAGTGAGGGCTCTTCCACACCAAGTCGGCCGTCAGCCTCACCATCTCTCGCTCTCTCTCCTTGTTTCTCTGTTCTGCTACTTCGCAATTTGCCTGACCAAAACCCTAAACCTCTACTCTGCAAGCATCTGGAGTCGGAGCTCGGAGTTCACCAGCTACGGTGTCGTTTCAGCCTTTTGTGCACGCCCTTTTTATTTAGCCGCAAAACTAGGTTAGCCTGCACTAGCGGCGACGGTAATTCTCGCAAATTTTCGCTTCCGTCAATGTAAATTGCAAATTGTAATTTCCCTTCAGGACTTGGCTGATACATATACGACTTGTTTGACAAGTAGTTTTAAATTAATGAAAGCACTTTTAGACAAAATAAATTATGGGTTTCAAAAATATTTAAAATGTTTTTTGTGGAATCATCAATTATGTGCTTTTTACAGAAAACACTTTAAGTGCTTTTTCATGATTAATTTACATTTTTACTAAGATGGATTTTGGAAACATTTTCTTTAAAAGAACTTTCAGTCATTTAAAAACACTTCATAAACGAGCCTATAAGTATTTTAGTTACTTTTGCATCTTTGTCTTTGTAAATTAATTTTTTTGTTATCTTTTCCCTTTGTTTATGGTTTGATTCCATTAGCATTTTAGTCAATGATGTCTCATATGACTATACTTTAACACGTAAATATGTGTCATTTAAGCTCAAAGTTCTTTAAATCAATTCAAGGTTCAGGATCAAAGTAATTTGATGTTAAATTTTGAATATAATAATTGTCAATCTTTCAACATTAAATTATGAAGAAATTTCAAGGCTAAACATGATATTGTATGAGCATAAAATCAAAATTGAGATAAATTTATTATTTTCTAAAAAATGATCCTTTAGAAAATTTAATTCACAAATAAAAATTCCAATTTTCAAGCGTGAACTGGTGCACAAAATGAATGAAAAATCAACGTTATATGACAGATTGAATTATGGTGAAAACCGAACAATGGACTAAAATGTAAGAAAAAAGCCAACATGAACGAAAATTGAATTTAAGAACAAATACAAGACCACTAGTGCAGTTTTAATCGAATCGAAGAAGGAGGCCCAGGAGAATTGCCACGCAATCAAACATCTACAAACCGTCCGATCCAAGATCAACGACGTACGTTGCACAATATGACGTGTCTAATTACTTGCACAAAACGGGGAGACGGAAGTAAGGCATGTTCACAGTTCACTGAAGAGGAAGAAGAAGATGGCGCGCGTGAGTTCATGGATCTTAGTGCTGATGGTGGTGGCGATGGCCGTGAGGGCGGAGCGAAATATTAACAATACGGGAAAGGTATATTGGTCCAGCGCAGAAGACGAGGCGCAGGCTCAGACTCGGACTCAGCCTCGGGACGACGATACCGCCGTCGCTGACCTTGACGCCGACGGTGGCTTCTCTTCTCTGGAGGGAATGTTACAGTGGGCTATAGGCCACTCCGATCCCGTCCAATTGAAAGAAAAGGCGCGAGATGTCGAGCGATTGTCTCCCGCAGACCTAAACGACCGCCGGCTAGAGATAAAGCAGCTCATGGACGAGCTGAAGACGCCGTCGGACGCGCAGCTGATGCAGATTGCGATTGACGACTTGAGTAACTCGTCGCTGTCCTTGGAAGATCGGCACCGTGCTCTGGAGGAACTGCTGGTGCTGGTGGAGCCGATTGATAACGCAAAGGGTAAGTCTGATTTGGGATTTTTTTGTGATTTGGGTGATTAGGGTTTACGTAATGAGTAAATTGAAGTGATTAACTTGGTGGCTCTCAGATTTGAACAAGCTTGGGGGGATCGCTGCGGTTATACGAGAGCTTAATCATGGTGATGCAGATACAAGAAAATTGGCTGCTTGGGTGCTTGGGACGGCCAGTCAGAACAACCCAGTTGTTCAGAAGCAGGTACGATAACGATATGCAATAATAGTCGTTAAATTTGTGTAATTAAGTGTTAGGTATGCTCGATTCGATTGACTAAATTGTAAGCACCTCAGGTTCTGGAACATGGGGCATTGCCCAAGCTAGTAAAGATGGTGAAATCTAGCTTTGTAGAAGAAGCTACTAAGGCATTGTTTGCCGTTTCGGCGTTGATCCGAAATAATGTAGCTGGGCAAGAGTTGTTCTATGTGGAAGATGGGCATTTAGTCCTTCAGGTGAGGTGACTGCTTTAGAATGAGTAAATCAAAGCATGTTAATGAGTAATTTATGTGGCACAGATTATTGCAACTGAAATAAAAATTTCTGCTTTTAGGACATTATGAGTGATGCAAGCATTGATATCAGACTGCGAAGGAAAGCGGTGTTTCTTCTTGGTGATCTTGCTGAGTGTCAATTGGAAAACATGGATAAGGATGAGCTGCCCTTTTTCAGTAATCGGGTTTTCTTGAAGTCTGTGGTTGATCTAACATCATCTGCTGACCTTGATTTGCAGGAGAAGGTGCTTTTTTCAAGAATTAGTGTAATTGCATTTGTTATCTTTACTGAATTTTAAGTTGTCTTCTTTAGGACACGCCTTAATTGGTCTAGGATTATGAGTTGTATTCTTATGTGCTTACTGCACTTACACGATTTGCTGATTGGTAGATTAGGAAGTTGGTGACTTTATAATGGCATTTATGATAACCAGTTTTTCTTCATTTGCAATGGTATGCAGGCCCTTATCGCGCTTAAGAATCTTCTGCAACTGAGGACAACCGAAGCTCTGGTTTTTAAGAACTTTTGTGGGTTGGATGGTGCCTTGGAGAGATTGAGGCAGCGACTGCAGGGTTTAATGGTAGACGAAGACCACAGAGATTATGCGGTGGATGTGGAAAGCATCCGCAATGAAGTGCAGCAGATTTTCGATAGAAAGTTGGAAAAGGTAGCTACTAGACTTGTTGTCTTTGGCGGTAATCTGTTGAGTAATTTACTTTTGGTCTTAAATAGCATCGTATCATTTTCTCTAACTTAGCATCTTATGAACGACAGGTAACGCGAGTTCCTACATGATGCGAATGCAATCCTTAAACAACATTACATACTTGGAGACGTCTGGTGCACTTGAAACTTATGTAATGCTCTTGATCCTGGATCCGTACATAGCAAACATTTTGAAGTATGGTATCTTTCCCTAGAAGAAAGACTAGGGTAAGGCTTTGGTTGTAACTTGTAGTCGTAGATTGGTAGATGAAAACTTCAGGGGCAGAAATGTTATGTCTTAAGGTTATGATCTTTACGAAAAATGCATACATGCATATATATGCTGCCATATTCATGTTCCTTTTCACACAGTGCTTTGATAGCGTGATGGAAGTTAAAGTTTCACTTGGTAACCCATTGGCTATCTCTCATGGGGAGTAGATCAACTCCTCGGAAGCTTGTGCAAGGTTCTTTAACTTTTTGATGTACAAAATTCTACACATTTTCAGAGTTTTGAAGTGATTGTCTTACACTTTGATGTAATGGTAGGACTCTTCTAGGAATGAAGTAGGTGGCTAGTCCATAGCTAAACTGTTAAATAGCAATTTTTCTCGTAGGTACCTAAAAGCATTTGACCTAAAAAGACCGGCACTTTGGGTGGTCCATTTTACCTGGTATTTTGAATGTTTTAATCGTTAAATCTTAATTTTTTTTTTTTTTTTTTAGACAAAGATGTAACTGTTTTTAGACCGAAGCGCTCAAGAAAGTCCCGGTGATTTGGACCAGCGTACTATGTTTTTCTATATCATTTTCCAAGTTTTCTCACAAGGTAATGATGAAGATAAATTCCTCTCCGCTGTGGACTTGCTCGCAAGTTCTTTTGACTTAATCGACTTGTTATGAAGGATGCTGACGTGTGCGATCGAGCCCGCATCAACTTCTATCTGTCGAGAAAACAATCATTTTGAGTGACTTTTCTTATTCATCATTTAATGAAGTAGGGGGACGTGTTTTTAACTAAAAAACAAAAATATCTTTGCTATTGTTAGGGAGACATGAGAGATTTTGAAAGGGAATTATTATTGGGAGTCTAAAAATCTCAATCAGCACTTCAAAGTTTCTATAATTAGGAAGAAAAATACATTATGAGAAGTGTAGAATAAGATTTTTGGAGTGCTAATACCAATTCCTTTTTGAAAATGTTACAATAATTTAAGAGAAGGACAGTATCAAATTCATTTCCCATCATATGACTTGTACCGAAAGAGGAAAAAAAATGTAATTTCATATGCAAAGAAGGTTCACATGTTGATATCTGATTGCTATCGTCAATTTTTTGTCGTTATGTCGTTGGTATTCAAAAATTGAAATTTAATTAATGTAACTAATTTTTGTAAATATTTTGACAAAAAAAGAGTAGAAACTTGATGGTTGAAGTGGTAGGTGAACGTCCTCCTTGGATCAACAAATATTGACAAAAAAGATTAACGTTAATTTAATGTCCAACCAATTACTAGTTTATTAGTAGAAGCCTCAACCTCTAAGGGTTGGTGTACGACCTTCCCCAGCTGTCAACTTGCAAGTAGGTGGGTAGTCGTAGGTATGCCTGTCACTGTCAGAGGTTCCGGACAACTAGACTCTGTAAACTACCAAGCAAAATACACGTCTCGCCATTTTCTTTCAATTTGGACGAGCAATCAATCGTCTTCCCATCAACCAGTCCCCGCCTTCACAACTTCTGGATTCTAGAGCGAGAGAGTTTCAGAGGAGAGAGAGAGAGAGAGACTTGGGGTGTGGAGGATCGTGGACTGAAAAACAATGACTTTGCAGACCAGTACCAGCAGCAATGCCCTGCTCTCGACATCTCCGTCGGTTCCGTCTGGGGCCGCTTCCGCGCGACTCCGAGCCCGAATGGTCGGAGCTGGAATCTGGGCTTGGAGGAAAACGGGAGGGGGAGGAAGGGTTTGTATGATCGCATGCAAGAGCAGCATCGGCGGCGATGGCAGCGGAAAGAAAGGAGTGCCCAGTTCGAATTACGTGGTGCCCCTAGACAAATCGTTTTCGTATACCAACTCGTCCTGCATCACTCGCCCTCTCGCTGAAATCCTCAGAGACCTCAATAAGAGAATCCCTGACAACATCATCCAGACGCCACCTGAAAATCCCTCCTCCACCTTCATCCCCTGGTAATTTTCTCTTCTCTCTTTTCACTTTCCATTTGATTTTCTTGTTGACCAAACAAATCTCATGGAAAATTTTTGTATTTTTGTGTATTGGGTAGGTACCATGCGAACCGGATGCTGAGCTTCTACGCTCCTGGTGTGTCCCTTCTTATCCTTATCTTCTCAATTTGCAAATTCATAAGCCTTAATCATGCTCTTTATCTCAATTTTTAATTGCTCTCAAAACCCCGCCTTTTTGTTTTTCAGAAATATTTTGCAATCTGTTTCTCCCTTTTGTAATCATTGCTTGGTAATTGGTGTATTTTTAACTGTTAATCTGATTTCAGTAGACAATTAGCTATCTGCATTTTTCATTTCAACCCTTCTTCGATACTTGTGCAAGTACACAACTTGAGATATACGAATAATAAGTCTGCATTTTCCTCGCAAAATTTCAACACGTTGGAGTGACTCAGTGATTGGTGACGAGTGAGTAATTATAGATTGGTGTTCATCATTGTCCTTAATTCCGAATTGGTCCAAGTTAGTTTACGAAACCTTGATGCATGCGGTATGAATTTTAGGCAGAGTATTAAGATCAGCAACCCACTTCAAATTTATGAGCTTCTGGTAGTTTGCCGACTGCTACTCTCTTGCTTTGTCTAGTGACGCTACACTTCATCTAGTTTCTAGTGAATCTCCGTATGTTATCAGTTTTTAACACTCATTTTGACAGGATGGTGTGGGGAAATCCGTGATGTTATATTTTCTGACAATGGAAGTGTGACTGTGGTATACCGTGTCACTGTACGTGGATCTGATGGAGAGGTCTGGTTCTTCTTCTTTGTACTGTGGTTCATTTATATGTTATTAATATATCATGTTTGATAACTAGTTACCATATAACAATTATATTCATACCTCTGGACTAGGATCATTCTTTGCTATTGCTTATTGTATTATACATGCCATTAGAAATCACTACAGTTGCATATTCAACTTTACAACAACAACAACAACAAAGCCTTATCCCACTAAGTGGGGTTGGCTGTTTGAATTCTAGAATGCCACCGCGCTCAGTTTTGCGCCAAGTCTTCTGTTAGCTTGAAGCACTCCATCTCTTTTCTTAAAGTCTCTTTCCAAGTCTTCCTAGGTCTTCCTCTACCCCTTTTGCCTTGAGCCTCTGTCTCATTTCAACTTTAAAAGAAGAAGAAAAACTTCTGTATGCATATTTTTGCATGTTTAAGAAAGAATGTAGCACCGTCAGATGTTACATTGAGTTCAATAGAACAGGTTCGGGTGTCAATTGGAGTACTGATTTAGCCTATCGTTAGATCCTAATTTTGAGTTTCAGCTGAGGGTATGTAAAAATAAATTATTTCTGTCTGATTGCTTTGAATTTATGGAACACTGGTCCTAAAGAAAAAAAAAAAAATACTGTCAAGCATTAGGAAGTGAGTCTTTCATGTATTGTTCATCTTAATCATTTTGGTGGCTGATTACTTTTAAGATGGAGACTTGGGTGGAAGAGAAAATGGTTTGTTAACGAGCACTTAATACTTACTGAGTTTAAGTTTGAACGGGAATGTGAAATTGAACTATGTTAAATGACATAATTGAGTGCCCGAAAAGGGGCACAAGCCTTTTATGCAACAATATGCCTATTGAAATGAGGCAACCAAGTGGACAGTGTTGCACTAGTAAATAACTAGAAGAATGTCTTTCTCTCTTCTAGTTCAAATCAAAGGCAGTGAGGTAACTATGTATAATTATTGGCTGGATGCCTTGTTTTCGGGAAGTGGTGTATTCCCGATGTTATACGTGAGACTTAGCCAATTAGGTGCTGTAAGTTCACTCTTTCTGTTTCAAATTAGTGCCGCGAGGAACGTATTGATAACAAATTGGTCAATGTCTTACTTTTGGTTTTTTTTTTTTTTTTTTTTTTTCTTTTGAGTCGTGTTTTGAGTCGTGCCCTTAACATTGCTAGACTTAAATACCTACAGTTCTAATATTTGATCTGACACACCGATGCAGGCACACCGTGAATCAACTGGAACAGTAACACCCAGTGATGTAGACATTGTTGATCCAGTTGCTGCAGCTGAGCAACTTGCTTTCGTCAGAGCATGTTCTCGGTTTGGCCTTGGCCTGTATCTGTATCATGAAGATTAGATGCAAAGAGACGGGGAGGATAGAGCTGCTCATCTTGTCATCTTTTTGTTAGATTTGTTAAGTCAGATTGCGCTTTATGCCTGTTGATGTATATATCTAACGGATGAGCTATCATATATGCTGCAGATTCATATACATATGGTTTAGGTTGTTGGGAACAAATAATCGTGAAAACGCTGCAGAAAATAGATACAAATTCGGATATTGCAATCGTGTATTTATGAATCAATAGAAACAGTAAACTATCATTATCCTTGTTTCTGATGCTTGTTTATGTACAAGACTTATTCTCATATCATTTCGATTCATCGTCCTATCGAAATACCATGCCGTCGTCTCGATGATATACAGACTGTTGTGTCTGATTTGTATGCTATTATTTGTTCAACTCATCACGGCTTCAAGAGCTTCGGCCCTGTATTCGAAGTTATCCATGCCGCAACCACATCCACAAGCAGGCCTATGTCTTTAGATGCTTCTGCACGAAGTACCTTCGAGTCTACACCCCATGTGCTGCCTACTTCTTTAGCAACTGTCTCCCATGGTGTCCCGACAGTGAGATTGGCCAACATCTCACTCCCGCGATTTACTGCGTCTGCCATTGCTGGAGGCACATCCGGGAGCGCCTACATGATAGAAAGATTATTTATCCAAATTGGTTCTCTTTTAGAGATGGATCAAACTGGGGCTGCACTCGGGGAATCTAAGCATACATTTGAATAACAAATGTCACAAATAAAAGCTACGGAGGTTTATTCCCCACTAAATGGTTGGCACAAAATTCACCTGTTGCAAAGGAAGTCCGTGATCTCCAGGTAACAAGCGAATCGACATGTCTAGCATAGTACTGATGGCTGAATCTGAACTTAACAATTCTGCCAATGTTGAAGTCTCATCAATCATATCATCCTTGAACTTCACCAGTAGATTCCTGGAAATACCGTAGTATGATTTTACCTGAAAAAAGTATCAATAGAGCGGAAATTTAAGTGGTATACCTTAACTACAAAGGGAAAGTTAATACATTTGACTAAATATCATATAATCATGTAATTAAGAAGCACAGAAGCAATTTGTAAACAATTGATAGGTTTGCTTACAAGTCGCCGAGTTTCTTCGGGTTTTGGAGCAAAATCTTCTCTTCCTTTGACCAAGTCCATATACAGTGGAGGGAGCTGCTCAACTAAAGGAAGAACTTGCTTCATGATGGGAGGGCTAAGGTTTTCAAATTGCTTCAAAGTCATTTCTGCCTGCAAGCATTTCAATGTCGGAGTTTCTTTGTTACTAATCATATTAATTGCTAGATATGAATAATGGAATTCTTCAATGAGATGATTATATAATCAAGCTTGTGCATCATGGTTTAAAACTAAAATAATCATGTATGTACAAATTTACAACACATTAAATTTAGAAGTCTCACCCCTAGGCGGACTGTCGGTGATGATGCAATCTGTGATAAAATTGGTCCAAGGCCTTGAGCAACTGGAACGAGAACAGGTGAGAACAGAGGAATAGCTGAGCTTGCCTCCTGTCAAATTAAGGAATCAATCTCAAATTTTATACAGCAACAGTTTAAGAAACCATATACGGTGTTATTAAGCATGTGTTTAGAACTGTTATCTTTTTGTCTTGTTTTACAAGTAAATATGGTGCACCTGAGGTGGCCATGGGATGTTAAGAGATGGCGTACCATTCAACTTGGTCACGGCAGATAATGTAGGCAAAAAGAAGGGGGCATATAATGGATGTGGCTTTCTATAGAATTTATGAGCTGAAATGTTGGATCTCTAAATTTTCTCAACGAAGAGAGAGTTCACTGCTTATCTCAGTTTCTTCTCTTCTCACCAAGTACTGACATGTATACTAACGAATTCAGGAAGTTAAATACCTTGTTATTGAATGCCATCAGCACATTCCCATTTCTTTGAACAGCATATCTTGAACCTGACCAACCATTCGGCCACCAACGTAATGAATTTCTAAAACCCCAAAGATTTGCACTCTTAAGAGCGGTTTATTAGGGGAAAACTAAAAAATGGCAATACCGATTAAAAGGTGGATGACAGATCCCAAAGAATGGCCAATGCCGAAAGTAGGAAGATCTTGAACCTGTACAATCAAGCATCTCAGGTTTTTATTGACCAAAAAAAAATCATCTCAGGTTTTTAGTGGAGGAAGAAAATTAAGCAGAACTAGAAACATACAGATTCTGAAGACAAGAAATAAAAAACACACCATCTCTTTAAGAAACCGATAGCACCTATCAAATTTGAATTGGGTTTCATCTGCAATGAAGAAGTGATCAAATCCACTAGCATATGGTGTTGCAATCACCAAAATACCCCTACAACACAAAAATGGCGGAATCAAATTTTCTTTTTTCTCAAAAGCAGAAAACTCCATCAAGATCAATAGTAGATAGACAAAGACCAAATACAACTTTCTATTAAAAGAAATGGGGACTGCATATGAGCTGTATTAGCACAATACAAACTATAAAAGTTAATTACCAGGCAACCAAAGTTTTAACTGAATCTCACTTTTCTGAGAGGCGCTCAAGAAAATAACGGTAGGTAAGCTGAGGGGCAGCTCCAACAAAAATACCACCGATAAAATGTACAACGGCCTTGGGTTCTGAGTTTCTCGGTTTGAGAACCCATGCTCCCTGAAATAGAGAATGATAGATAAGTTTAGTAAGGTTATAAAGAATATCCTTACCCCAGAAAAGAAACCTACAATAGATAGAGTACAAACATATTTGGCTGCTTTTCAACCCGTGTCTAACATATAATCTTTATTCCTTGAAAAAGGTTTTTAGGCTACCAAATTAGAGCCTTATGAAATGCTCGAGAGTCGAGAAAGTTTCTAGGATTAACAAGTGCAGCCACTACCTGGTTTACTCATCATTCATTTTGAATGGTCATGATGGGTGCGAACTTGTATACGTTGCATTTCGAGGCGAATAAGGAAGCAGAAATCACTAAGAAAGGATGACCAAGTAAAGAAGAAACTCTCATTTCGAGGCGAATAAGGAAGCAGAAATCACTAAGAAAGGATGACCAAGTAAAGAAGAAACTCTCATTTCGAGGCGAATAAGGAAGCAGAAATCACTAAGAAAGGATGACCAAGTAAAGAAGAAACTCTCAGGCTGCTTAAGTCCTTACTAATGAGAGCATAATTTGTTCAGGGTGTTTGACATACATTGTTTCCTTGCACGGTTTTAACATTCTAAATCTTGCTTTTGTAACTGGAAACAAAGAACAAAACTTACTATGCAAATTCAATCAAGTTTTTGATCCACTATGCAAATTTGATCTAGTTTCATCTCAAAGCTATATCTATCCAGAAATCACTTGCACAATAGACTTTTAACTAAATAAACACCCGGAAGTGGTTCCGAATACAGAATTAATCTCGGAATATAAACATAACTGAAGAAAATTTGAAATCCTGTGCCGGTTAACCTGTCCAGATTCCAAAAAGCTTGTGCATACAAGAATGAAGCTAAAATCGATGTGCCAAGCCGACAAATCTGAAAAAAAAAAAAAAAAAGAGCATGAAATGATACCTCAACTTGATTCCAGTCTCCTGTACCATCCCAACGGCCTTGGGATTGCCTCACAGTCTCTGTAAGTAACCTACAAGCACATAAAAATAAAGATAACACTCGAGAAAGCGATATTCTAAACTACTCTAATTCAGCGGAATTCAAACCCGGGATGCAAAGGGGCAGTCGCACACACTGCCCCGAACAACTCACCTCTCAATCTCAGAATAGAGCTGAATCCCAGTAGGTTGTGGACCCTGTGGACTTGGTGGTTGTGATTGTCTCCTGGTGGTTTCGTCGTCGTAGTTGCAGCAAATCCCACTCCGACGACGGCGCTGAGAATTCGAGAGGCTGAGGAAGCGGCTCTGCGGCCGAATCAGCAGCCGCTTACTGAAAGATTGATGGGGGTGGAGATTGGGATGGGGCTGCGGACTCCTCACCCAGCAACTGGCCATGCTTTTTCTGCTCAAAGACTTCAAATTTTTCCGACCCAAATCAAAAGCTTCGATCTTTTGCTTCAAATCCCACTCTATTTAGCGCAACTCCAGCGTTGGAGAGACTATTCAATCCACCTAATGTAACTGTCATTAATGAACCGTAATAGTCATGGTAATAGCATTTGCATCTCTACTGTTACACTTCAATAGTTCTGGCAATAGGTAATAAAATATTAGTATTTTATTTATTTATAAAATAATACAAAATAATTTTAATTGTAATATCGGATAAGATTTTTAATCGTTCTCGTTGCACCACGTGTCAAATAAATAATATATTATTACCTGGTCCGAGTAATTTTCCCCACTTCGAATATTACTACTAGTTTGTGCCAAGGCGTCTATCCACGTACTAAACGATTGGCTAAGTAATTTCCAACGACTGGACATCGATTCTTTGGTTCTTTTTCCATCAATTTTCTCAAGATAATTGGTATGAATAAGACTCCACATTTCTCGCAACTGCATCTCATTAGCCGTAAGCGAACTATGAGTAACTTCAACCCAGCTAGTACACAACGCAACATCTTCAATAAGCGACTAATTCGTACCTGCACCAGTGGTCATTTTGTTGAAAAAAAATGGATTCAAACTTTGAGACAAAGAAAGGAATGTGATTGAAAGTAGTTGAGAAAATATGAAATTGTTGTGTAAGGTAGATGATAATGAGAAGGTATTTATAGAAAAGTAAAAACAATTTTTTTAAAAAAAATTTCAGATTTTTTTTTGAATTTTTTACAATTTTTTTTAAATTTTTATTCAATTAATTAATCTATGCCGTTGGATATAAAAAAATTTGAATTTCAACACTCCAGATTGTGTCAGGTGTCACAACGGTAACTTTTCTTAATTTTAAAACTATTTTTCTTTTATTTTTTTATTTATAAAGCATATTAATATCCACCGTTGATCTCAGATCGAACGGTGGATATTAAATAAAACTTTTTTCATTTTTTTTTACCTTTGAGATCGAACGGACCGTGGGAAGCCACGTGGCTTCCCAACAGTAACTGAAAAAGTTAATTTTTTTTTCAGATTTTGTGTTGGCGACGCTTCACCAAGCGCGAGTGGGGTGCACACGCCTAACATAAAAAAAATTAAATAATACCTAACGCCAGGCTGACGTTACATGGCCTCAGGCTCTCGGGCTGGCAATTCTCCACGAACCCAGAGCTCAAGCCTCCACCTTCACTCGGACTTGCCCACGTTAGAACTGGTCCACGGGGCCTCGGGCCCCTGTTCTGTCCCCGGTCCCCGAGCAAATGCCCACGCTGGGCTTGCTCTTATGTCGCTCATGTTCAATTGGTCAGCTGCCTGCCATCATCTTCTTTCTTCAGAATTTCAATTAGTACAAAAATTGAAATTGATGATGTGGCCCAACCTGAAGCCCACACCCTCTAAACGTCACCGTTTCCTTCAGTTCTTTATAAAGTCCAACAAAAGAGAAATTTTTTATTGTAACGGGAACACAGATGTTACACCACATGTTTTTATGTGAGTGGTGAAAAATTTTATTTTTTAAATTATTAATATTTTAATACACATATCACACCATTTATATAATAACATATAATGTACCATCTCGTGTGCCGACCATATCGAAAAATCTCTTCCAACAAACAACAAAGTTTTAGGACTTAAAGAAGACAGCCTTGTCTCTCTGTACGAAAAAACAGTTCGCCTTCACAATTTTGGAACAAGATACCAAGATGCGTCCTCTGTACTTATCACTGAAGAAAATGCCCAAATTCAAACGCCGGCTGCTGCTGGCGGCGCTGCTGGCGCTGGCCGTCTCCTCCGCCTCATGGTTCTCCATCTTCCTCCTCCAGTTGTCCGAACAAAAGGGCCATAATTTGGGTCTGTCAGCTCCTCTTCCTCCAGATTCAGGACCTTACCACGACTGGCGTCTCTTCGCCGCCGATTTCCGAGAGATGCTCCAAACCTTCAAGATTTACGTCTATCCCACCAATTCCAACAGGTCCGATCCTCCTTCCTCCTCCGCTTCCTTCGCTTCCTTCGCCGCCGTCTTCCTCCCCCACCCCAACCCCTTCAACCCGAAGCTCGGAAACTACTTCAGCGAGCACATGTTCAAGATCTCTCTCCTCTCCAGCTCCGTCGTCACCACCGACCCACAAAAAGCCCACCTCTTCTTCCTCCCGTTCTCCGTCAATCTCCTCCGCAACGACCCCCGAGTGCACTCCGAGTCCTCCATCGCCGAGTTTGTCGCCAAATACACCGCCGCCGTCGGCCGAGACTTCAAGTTCTGGAACGCCTCCTCTGGATCCGACCACTTCTACGCCTGCTGTCACTCTGTTTGCAGAGAGGCCGCCGCTAAACATGCCGGGCTGCACAACAATGCGATCCAGCTCACTTGCTCCTCCAGCTACTTTCAGAGATTGTATGTTACGCATAAAGATGTCGCCTTGCCGCAGGTTTGGCCGCGGCCTCCTCTGCAATCCCTCAACCCTCCACATGCTAGGTACCATTTTTATCACTCAATTTCTTTAATTGGAATTTGTGTATTTTACCCAACATTTTAATTTGTTTTTTTCGTTTTAGGGTAATGTTCACTTTCTTTGTTTGGTCAAGATTCAGATAGATTGATAGTCTGACAACTTAAAATACGATGATGTTATGCTTGTCCAATTCTCGATTGGGATTTATATTTCCAACTCACCATTTTAGCGTACACATCCCTGTGTTGAGTAATGTTCACTAGCCATTGTCAACTTTGACTATGTTACCATATTAATCGTTGGTTGACAGTTTGACAATATAACATAGTGATGTTGTGCTCGATGCAGAGATAAGCTCGTTTACTTCTCCGGACGAATCCAAAACTCGAATATTCGCCAACAGCTGATCGATTTATGGGGCAACGACACTCGCATGGACATATTTCCCGGCAACCCGTCTTACCCTTATGAAGAAGGGTTTAGGAGGAGCAAGTTTTGCCTCCATGTCAAAGGCAATGAGGTCAACACTGCGAGAGTGAGTGATGCCATACACTACGGCTGCATTCCTGTTATAATTTCCAACCACTATGAGCTTCCGTTCGCTAATGTGCTGGACTGGAGTAAGTTCTCAGTTATTGTCAACAATGGCGAGGTTGCCTTGTTGAAGAAGACATTGTTGTCGATAACAAGACAATCCTACGTGAGATTGTACCGGAACTTGATCAAGGTTCGTAGGCATTTTGTTTGGCACGAGACTCCCCAAGGTTACGACTCCTTCCACATGACTGCTTACCAGCTGTGGCTCAAAAGGAGCTCGCTGCGTCTGTCGGCCTAATCAAAATTCCAGCTTTGTGGCTGAGGCTGTGAAAATTGTGTCTTTACACTTCTGAAGCTGAAAATCGCACTTGCACCACATGTATGATTTGCACCGTAGTTTGTGAAACAGAATGTTTAAAAAACTAGTCTTGAGACTAGCCTAGGTGGTTTTTTTGGCGGAGCTATCAAGGAAACGCCTTTGCTCAGCGGGAGTAAGCTATATTTTCGTCTAGGTGCCGGGGAGGCACGCCTAGGCGACAAAGGCACAATCTGGGTGTTTGATTTCTTTTTAAAAGCCCAAACCCAAAACAACGTTGTTTAGGCAAGGTTTTTATAAAAATAAAACAGCGTCTCTCTCACTTCACGTTCGCGAAAAGAAGAGAGAGAGCAAGAGCGGCAAACCAACGACAGCCTGCAAATCTCAGCAGTCATAGCCGCTTCTGCCAGGCATTGGATTTTAATTTGATTTGTAATGGTCTTGACTATTATTTGAATTATATGCTTCTTGTTTGCTTAATTGTTTGAATGAAAGTGGATATTTGTTGTACAAGTACTATATTTTATATATATATATATATATATATATATATATATTAAGTAATATGATAAGAAATCATAAAGTTACCGCGTCACGCCTCGAGGCTATTGCCTAGGCGAGATTATTCATAAAACGCCTTTAGGCTTCGCCGTTACCTTTTAAAAACATTGGAAACATGATGTACGTCTTCGAAACTGAACGACTCCAGTACAACAGTTACAGAAAAAGTGAACACAACAACATCACAGAATTTCAGGAATTACGAGCTCCAGAAAAATGTAATCCATCCATAGCGAAGATTCAACGGATTCTTTACTCACAATAGATATCTCAGTAATATACAGGTAGAAACAGTCTTCTTAAAACAGCACACACTTTTATGGGTTCTTAAAACATGTAATTTTATTCAAATATATCATACTACATTTAATGTGCGGCGGGCTGTGCCTGGTATGTACGGCGCCTCAGCTGAGACTCTGGAGTGGGCTGCTGCAAGAAGATCCTCGTTGGATCGTTGGGATCAACATACCTGCAAAATTTGGAAATCATAGTTAAACCTGTGATCCTTCTATTCAGCCACTTGACTACAAGCATAAAACAGCGAAATATGTTCACTTACGCATGTCTCATCATCTCATCAACAGGAGTTTGTGCTGCTTGCAAAGGATCCACACGAGGCTGTGACTCAGCGTTGGGGTGTTGATACTGATTACATTGTCTCACTGAGGAGATCAAGTTGAAAAAGAGTGGAACGAACGTCCCACAACCCCCTTCCTTGAATAAAATCTTGAATGAGTGAGTCGAATAAAGAGCCTCATGCTGACCTTCTGGAACCACCTGAAATTAGTCATCAAGACCGATAAGATCTCCAAAATCAGAAAAGGGGATATGGGATGGACAATAATTGAAATCCTCTAACCCATATACTTACAGGCTCCACCTGACCAGCAATGTTGTTGCAGAAGAAAATTGGTTGATTAAACTTTTCACCATGGACATAAAGCTGAAAAATGGATAATCCAAAGGTCAGCAAGATGCAAATAATAGACACAAAAGAAACACAGGAAGAGACATCAACTATGCACGAAAACTGCATGAAGACAAAAGGCCGATCCTCACGTAAAAAATGCTTTTAAGCCTTACACACATGATAACAGTAGCACAACCTAAGTCCCTAGAAATATACACCAGTGAGCGACTGAAATCCAGCTACTGTTGGATATTAGGTTATTACTGATGTGGGACTATGACGGTTGACATTGAATATTAGGGGGGGCAATCATGTCTAACTGTAGGTTTATGACGAATTTGTGACATAAAAGGTTGATTAAATATGTTATAATTTCAAATTTATTAGTTCATAGTCTTGGTTAGAAAATGGCAATGAGAGATGCAAGAATTTAAAATCAGGATTCTACTGTCCTACCTAAGATCCAGTAGAGGGCCCTCGGATCAATCATAAGATCATATCAAGGATTTAGAAACAACTTAAGATGAGCTCCTGATTGACATCAAATCAAGTATTTGAAATTGGGTGAGTGAATTAGAAAGAGGCTCACAAATGGCGCGGTGAGCTTTTGGGCACACGGAAAAGGGGGAATGGATGGAGAGTGCTTCTCAGCTAGGCGGTGGGGTTTTCTTTTTCAGTGCGTTTTACCCTTTTTTGGAATGTTTTTTATTCTCCAACAAAGTCTCAGACTCTCAATGTAGCTCAAAAAAGGGAAACAGACTAAGAACTCGGCAAGCTAAACATGCAAAAAGCAATATATTTGTTTGGTCACTCATTGTTTCGGACTTGATATAAACATGAAAAGAGGCTTACACGGTTATAATCAACAAATATAAAGTGATATAACCTCCGTTTGAGACAGGTAGGCCGTTGAAAGAATTCCTATTCTTATGTACCTGATTATATTTCTGTGTACATTCTATAGTTCCATGTTAGTATTAATCTGGCAGTTGCAAATCCTACTTCTTGCTACGGAATATTAACAAATAAAAATTCAAGGCTTCACAAATTTGATACACACTAACAAAGTGAACTTGTGCAAGAAAACCGCAAAAGAACGACGAAAGGAAAGCAATTTAGAAGTAAGAGCAAGTATAACATACCATGGGCATATCAAAAGCAGTAAAGCTCCCACCAGGCTTGTTGGAAACAAAGACCATCCTTATATTTGACAAGTAGATCGTTCCTTTTGCTTTCAGACGACCACCATCAGATCTGCAAGTTAAAAGCCAAATGCTCAATTCAGAACCCAATTCCAATTTCTTCAACCACATTTCGAATTAGAATAAAATTTTCACTCAGCAGTTTATACACTGCTGCAATCTTTCTCCAACAACTCCACGAAATCGAAAAAAAGATTCAAATCAGCCATCAATTCATCAAATCAAAATTCCAATCAAAACCCAATCGAGAACGATGAAGATTGAATGTTTTAATGGGCAGAAAGAATTAACCGATCAATATTAACAGAATCAAATTCAGTCAGAATTGAAAGAGAATACGAACCCGGGAATCTTATCGACCTCGAACTCGACGCCGTCTCTGGCCAAGACGAACATCTCGTTCACAAAAGGAACCGGCATGCCGTTCGGGAACAGTTGAGGATTCACAGCCATCTCTGTTTCTCTCTCTCTAGATTTCTCAGTTTCTTTCTTCTTCTTTCTCTGCCTCCTCCGGTGTACCGCCACAGAGGGATGGATCAATTTAACCGCGTCGCTCTGGCTTCCTACGGTGCGGGAATTTACCGAATCGGACACGCTCTCCAGCACCCACCCGCTTTCCGCAACCCTTTTTTTATTTTTTTTTGGTCGAAGGGAATTTTTATAACAAAGTCCAGATGGACAAATTACAAAGACTCCGGTAATAGCGAGAAATAAAACAGTAAAAATAAATAAAAGATAATACAGATAGAACGTCACATATGCACATAATGTATGAGTAAATATTCCTATCTATATCAAAAATAAAGAATTACATATGAGTCCAAAAATTAAGGCCCAATTGTAGAGGCCTAAAAGTAACCACACTATAAAACCTAAAAATCCTAAACAGATCTTCGTCGGCTGCGTATGCGGCCGAATCGATGAAGACACCACCGCAAGATGCATGACTCGAACCCATCGTAGTCACTATGTCGGGGAAAAAGTGCCAAATCTTCAGATCTAATGAAACCACACCAAATACTGAACGCCACGTTTCTAGCCCTCAATCGATACGAAGTACACAAAGGGCATCTAAATGCCCAAAACCAAGCAGTAATAAAAAAGGTTAGGTGGTGTAAACACCATTCTGAATAGATACTACACCCTTGTAGGGATGACAACATATAGTTGTCTTTGACCGGGGAGAAGTGCAAAGGAAGCACCAAGCAAGTGGTGAGGTGAGATCCACCAAATTTGGAATTTGATTCGAAAATTTGGATGATCTTGAACCCAGGGCCCCAAATCATAACCCAAAGGGATTGCCATGAGACATGGGCAAACAACCCGGAGATCACACTCCATCCACACCAACCTTTACTTTTACATTTTCGGGAATTTTAGCACACGTCCTTGAATTATAGATCTTATTGATTTTGACCCCTCTCAATTTTTAAAATTTTTTTCTTAAACTTTTAATTTATGTCACAGTCCCCATATTGGTACAAAATATCATCAGATGAATAATTTGAAAAACATCAATGTTAAAATTTAACAAAAGTGCATGAGAGGTAAAGATGATTGTATGATTAACAAAAGAGTAGTGTTATTCGCATACTCACTTTTACTTCTCATACATTCTTTTCAAATTTCAATCGTTGGATGAATTAATTAAAGAAGATCAAAGCTAAAATTTAACAAGAGTGCATGAGAGATAAAATATGAGTGTATGTGTGACATCCCACATCACCCAGGGGTGATCCTTAAATGTATATTCTCATCCTACCTAGCACGAGGTCTTTTGGGAGCTCACTGGCTTCGGGTTCCATAGGAACTCCGAAGTTAAGCGAGTAGGGGGCTAGAGCACTCCCAGGATGGGTGACCCATCGGGAAGTTGCTCGTGAGTTCCCAAAAATAAAACCGTGAGGGAATGGTAAGCCCAAAGCGGACAATATCGTGCTACGGTGGTGGAGTGGGCCCGGGAAGTGGTCCGCCCCGGGCCGGGATGTGACAGTATGAATATCATTTTCCTTAACAAAATTGTCTACATACTTATTAGCACGAGTTAAAAGTTAAGACCGATCGAGGAAATCATATCGGAAAACAATTATCATTTTCTATGATTACATGTTTGATTTCACAATGAGCTGTCACTTATTATAAATACAAAAATATCACTAAATTATAATATTAAATGACAAATGTACGTGGGTGGGCCTTGAAATCTTTAAAATCTGTATTTTTCAAATTTCCAATTTTGCACCAAAACCAATTTACCTCCAACATTTATCCCAATAAAGTTGTTGCCCTTTTTCAGAAAAAAAAAAATCGGAAAAAGCAGAGCGATAGACGTGCCTATAGTGATTTTCTTCACCAGATCTTTCGCAGAATTCCTTGGAGTATATATACGTGCCTATATATATATATATATATTATATGTAGCTTTCCCGTTGGGACTAACTGGGCATACGATCGTATCAGAGCCAGAAACACAGAAACAAAGCAAAGGAGGTTTTCACCTTCACTGGGGCCACAAGTTTAAAAGGTAAATTCCATCTTCTTCTTCTTCTATTTTTATTTACTTTTTCTTTTTTTAATAATTTATTCGTTATAAATCAACCATCAAATAGTTTAACATTTCGATTGAATGCTGGTATTTGTTCATATTCCAAACGGCATGTTGAGAATTATTAGAAATCGGAGGTAGTCTTCGATTTGATTGGGGCTTGGAACTTGGGTGCAAGAGGATTATAATAAATCCGTTTAATCTATTGGACGGGGATTCACATCTAACTTGACTAAATTCACGTCTACTCTTACTTATGTATAGAATAATTCACCACTAATTACACTTGTAGTGTCTCCCAATTTGCATCTCTATCACCTCACAAAAAGGTCTCGATGTAATTTGAAGTAGAACTATTCCTACGGTGCATAGACACGGTGGTATCCCCTCGTATCCTCTGTGGTGTCGTGTCGTATCCTAGTGTCTTATTGTATTCCCTTGCGGTCATACAACAATCTTTTTGTTAATTTGACGTGTTGCGTCATATCTCTGTATTTGTATCCATACATTGTAGAATTCTTCTAATTATGTTGTATTCTTCGACAAAGTTAACTAGTTTAATGTGTTAATTATTGTGTGGTTGATATGTGTTTTCATTACAGTTTGGAGGATATTGGGTATCTCCATTTACAACAATGGAAGGCAGAATACCAGTTATTAATTGGGGCCAAGGATGGAACTACATCCAGGGGAGGATTACGAAACTAATTAGGGTAATTACAGAAGGGTTACCCGAGAATCATATCGATGCAGAAGAATGCATGGCTGCTTATACCATGATCTATAACTTGTGTGTTCAGAAACCTCCTTATGACTATTCTCCTAATCTTTACGAAAAATATCGGGAGACATTCGAGGAATACCTTACTTCAATGGTGCTGCCAGTTCTAAGAGAGAGGCCAGATGAGTTTTTGCTGCATGAGTTTGTCAAACGTTGGGAAAACCACGAGGTCATCGTTAGGTGGCTGTCGCACTTGTTTATCTATCTTGATCGTTACTACATTGAGCGGAGATCACTTCCTGGGCTGAAAGAAGTTGCACTTAACTGTTTCCGCGACTTGGTTTACCTCCAGGTGAATGCGCGCGTGACAGCAGCTGTATTAGGTTTTATTCATAGAGAACGCGAGGGAGCGCAAATTGACAGAGCGCTGCTGAAGAATGTGATGAATATATTGGTTGAAATCAAGGTGGAGGGAGTGAAGACTGCTTATGAAGTGAACTTTGAAGCACACATGCTGAGAGAAACCGGTGTATACTATTCGCATAAAGCATCAAGTTGGATCATGGAGGATTCTTATAGCGATTACATGTTGAAGGCGGAGGAATGCGTGAGAAGGGAGAGGGAGAGGGTTTCGCATTACCTGCATCCAAGTAGTGAAAATAAGGTGGTGGAGATTGTGAAACATTGGTTGCTGGTGGTTTATGCAACTCAACTGATTGAAAAGAAGCTTTTTTCTGAATCTGTATCTAGTGCTTCGCTTGCTGCTGATTATGTCGAGGAGCTTTCAAGGAAATTTATTGCTAGTGTAACATTGGCACAGTGAGTTTCTGCGGATTTACTGCATGACATGTTAAAATTTTGTTGCTTTTGTTTACCAGTTCAGTTCGAATTTGCTGCGAATTTCGAGCAGCTCTTTAACCACAGGATTTTGAAAGGATGGGGTTTTCTTCTGCTTAATTTGTTTTGGGACATGCATGCTTTTGTATTCAAGCATCAAGTTTATGTTAAAACTTCTGTTTGCCATACTTGGTTGGTTGTGTTGTCTCTTGTTGAATTTGCAGGGCACTCTTCAATCATCTGTAGCAGATTTTTTTATTGGCATCTCCAACGACTATCAACTGAACATGGTGTAGGCCAGGTTCATAGTCGTTGGAGATCGCACCAAACCTTTTTCCTATAAACTGAACTTGATTGTTCAAGCAGATATAGATAATCTATATCTCTTTTTGTAGAGATTGTTAATATTGCCTAGATGATTGTCCAAACATTATGATGGTTCAATCGAATCTTGAAGAACAAATTAAATTAGACATCGTTTAATCGTTCATATACATATGTATAGAACAAATCAACTGTTTTTTGAAATGAATGAATCAATTAAGGAAGTAAATAATTTGATAACAAATACAAGTAATTAAGCTTTGACTAGTGTAGATGCTACAGAATATAGATTATTTCCTAATTGAATATATAATCAAGGATTAGAAAGGCTAATAAGGTTCTTGTTCGTGCAGTATCCTAATTAGTATCACCAAATTATATATTTCTATACCTTTATAGATGGATTAATTAATTAATTATTCATCTCTCGCACAATTAAAAGCAAACGATCAAGTTATTGGTGTATCCGGCGCCTCACAATCAGCTTCCTCCACCACAAGCGGCTGCGACGCCGTGGGATTGTACTGTTGAAGCACCATTACCGATGCCGTAGATGAAAAGTCCGACGATGCCAAGAAGCTCCCCACCGGCCCCAACTCCGCGCAGTCACTCGAACTGTCCACCAACGGCGCCGTCGGAGGCATTCTCCCTACGATAAACAAATTGACATTTTTAGCCATCGATTTCAACACGACACAAATATCCGCCTTGCTGTCCACCACCTTCTCCTCGTACAACATCGACGGCTCCCCCCCGCCCTCCTTATTCCCACTATTCTTCCTCACATTCATATACTCCGCCAAAAGCGACTCGTCGTCCTCCTTGTCGTCGCCCCGGCCGCAGTCTTCCTCTTCCAAAATCTTCTTGTTGTTGTCGGAAGTAATCCCGACCAATTTCGCGCCAAATCTCAATGTCTTCCCTTCTGGGGCCACAAACCGAATCAATGTCATCACAATCCCCGGATGCTCCACCAGCCTCATTCCGTAAGCCAACGCTTCCCTGTCGTCCCGCCCTCCGAAAAACGCCACCACAATATTATACGATACATCGCTGGCCGAGACCTGGGCTGTCCCGCCAAGACCCCTGTCCACCAAAATCCCAACCGAACAGGGAGCGTGTTTGAGCACCCGCTCGTTGACCGAGCGAAGTGCGTTTCCTAAAGACTCCATGGTGCCGTCGAGCCTCTGGTGTTTGTGAAACGGGAGTAAAATCACGGCGGCGTTCTTTTGGTGGGCGCTGGCGCAGATGTCCTCGTGAATGTCGTTGAGAGAGGAGATGGCGGTCATGGGGCGGACCTTGACAGAGCTGAGCTGCTCGTAGGCCTCGAATGCAATGACCATTTGGTCCTTGTTGTTTTCGTTGGTTTTTTTGTTCCAGAAGGGGAGGCCGTTGTGGCGGGCCTTGTGGACCATGGAGATGGCGGAGGAGCGCTCCGAAAGCTCCATGAGGTGCATGGCGTAGACGGTGAGGCGGCCGCGCTTGCGGGTGCCCCGGGAGGACTCGATGAGGTTGATCATGGTGGGGATGTTGCGGGTGCTGTGGAAACAGGCCAGCATTCGGAGCTCCGTGTCGGGGTTCTTGCGGAAGACGCTGCGGTGCTTGTAGGGGGCGCCTCGGCGGGCTGGCTTGTAGATGGCCACCACTAGTGGGGTGGTGATGAAGGTGGTGAATAATGCCATTAGGACGAATATGGCGAAGGTTTGGTCGTTCAGCACCTGACATGGTTGAAAATTCAAACTCGAATAGTCAATTGTACATTTTCTATCTAGTGACTAGGATGTGTGTGTGACATTACTGATGACCACCGTAACGTGAAGTTAACGGTAATATTAGGCAGTTTAAATTTTGTAAATCAAAAAACATGAAAGTCTACTTAGTCTCCTTCTTCAAGAAACAATATTTGGCAATGGTAAATTGATTTCTTCACGAAAAAAGTTGTAAGTTCAGTAGGTGAACAAACTTGATGTGTGTTGTAAGTATACTAATACGTCATTGATGAACAAACTCGATATGTGTAACATTACTCATATTAAAATCATATTAGACACAAAAAAATAAAAACAATTTATAATATTTAAGGAAACCTTCACATTTTGTTCCTCAATACTTGATCAAAATCATTAGCATCGTGAATGAATCATTTATTTTGTTGCTTAATTAGAGGTGAATGTGTACTAAAAACCAAACTTTTGAGAGCAATTTAGAGTGACATATGGAGGTCACAAGAAATTAACCTTTCTATCCTTGCCAATGTTGAGGACGATGAGCTCCACCAACCCCTTGGTGTTCATCAGAAACCCAAGCGCCAACGCCTCCCTGAACGGCACCTTACACGCCATCGACAAACTCACCGTCCCCACTATCTTCCCGAAAGTCGCGGTGAATATAACCAGCAGCAGCAGCGCCCACGACTGCCCGCCGCTGATGGTCGCCACGTTGGTCTTCAGCCCGCTCGACACGAAATACAGCGGCAAGAAAAGCCCCGACACCAGATCCTCTAGCTTCTCTATCAGCACCCCGGCGAACGGCCCGTCCTTCGGCACTATTATCCCCACCACGAACGCGCCGAACAGTGCGTGGATCCCAATCACGTCCGTCACGAAGCTCGCCGCCAGGACGAGGGACAACGTGATGCATATGTAGAGCTCCTTCACCGGCTCGCCGTCGGGTGACCGCCTCGCCATCATGGCAAGGAGCGGTCTTAGGGCGAAGATGCAGAAGCCGACGAAGCCGGCCCCGGAGAGTAGGACCCACACGGAGACGAGAGGGGAGGTGTTTGTGCCGGTGAGGGCGATAGCGAGGGCGAGGAGGATCCAGGCGGCGACGTCGTTCACAGCGGCGGCCGACATGGCAATGCGGCCGACGTCGGTGGTGAGGAGCTTCAGCTCGGCGAGGATGCGGGCGAGGACGGGGAAGGCGGTGATGGAGAGGGCGACGCCGATGAAAACGAGGAAGGGGCCTTGGCTGACGCCTTTGGAGACAGTGGCGCGGAGGGCGAAGGAGGTAAAGACGCCAAGGACGAAAGGGAGAGTGATTCCTGCGACGGCGATGCCTAGGGATTTCTTGCCGGTGCGTCGAATGGCGCGGATGTCGAGTTCAAGACCGACAAGGAACAAGAAGAAGAGGAGTCCAATGTTTGCCACGGTGTCCAGAACGGTCATGGCTTTTGCCGGGAACACGGTGTGTAGAAACTTCTGGCTTCTCCCCAATGCCGACGGTCCAAGCAATATCCCTCCCTACAATTATATGTGCATGCATGCAGAATTAATATATTTTGTGTTACCAAAGCGAAACAGAAATGTTCTCTTATCAAACAATCTGAAACGTAAAATAATAATGTCGCTAAATCGTGAATTTGAATCTTTGATCAGGTTAACGAAAGGACTTACAATGACTTCGGCTATGACTCGAGGTTGCCGGAGAGGTCTAAGAAGGAATGCAAGTGTTCTGGTGAAAACAACGACCAAGACAATCTGGAGAATAAGTAAGGGAAGAGCAAAATCTAGGGGATTTTCGCCTTGAAAGGATCCATTGGATGTTGCCTTCATGGGGGCAATCAGTGGTGGCGGCGGAGCCATCTTCAGATCGATTGAATTGATCAGAGATTCAATAGATCACTACACACACCATGGATACGCCAGCCACCTCAACACATCAATGTGTAAAAACCAATTGACGAAGAAATGAACCAACTCAATTCTCCTTTTCTTTTGACACGATGAAGAGAATCTCAGGAGGCTCCGTCAGTTGATCTCTGCGTGTGTGCAACTGCAATATGGTTTGATTCGGAACGGACTCTGGAGAGGGAACAAAAGAAGCTAGCACAGCAAAGGGAAGAGAAAACCGATACAAATGAAACCAACATACTAATTATAGCAAATGAAACACGTTGAACGCTTTCTTTGCTTGGGAGTTAAGTGCCTGATGATTCCTCCTTCCCCTCCTACATGTGGTTATGGTTGGTTAGAAAAATAATTTCAACCTGAATTTATGACGACTCCGGTCTCAAATGACCAAATAAACCTCAAATTTGAATGCAATGCCCTAACGAGCCAATAATCAAGATATAAACTGATCACCACATATCAGAATATCTCCGATGCGTATAATTTTCGGAGAGACGAACTCAATTGGAAAGAAAATTGACAGCATATCCATGTCAAATGTTGAATTAACTAGGAAAAAGCAACTCTGCATACACATTGATACATCGTTCCATCCAAATCTTTTACAAAAACTACAAAAGGGGGTACGATGATCCAGTATAGAATTAAGTCCTTCGTGATCTTAGAACTGAAGGCCGTGTTCTCTGGCTGCATCAGCAAGGGCTTGCACACGTCCATGATATGGGTATCCACCGCGGTCAAAGGCCACCTTTGAGATCCCTTCTCCAAACAAGACTTTGCAATGACTTCTCCTACCTTCTTTGCTACTTCCTGATGCCACAAAGCTTGAATCGATCAGAACTTTTATTTAACACACATCAAAACTAAGGCAACAAGGTTGAGAAACCGACCGATCAAAATCTACCCTGAACAATAAGACTTTTATTCCAACTGCCAAGTTTATTACTATTATCCATAATGAATTCATCTACTGTAAGTTCATTAAAACACGCGCGACAGCAGGAGCTTGCAGATTGATGATACGTAACAGTTTAACTAAGCAATGGGGTTCCACAGAAAAGGATATGGGAAAGCCGTTTGGCCTTATATTTAAATAGAATAGAAAACATATATATTGTTCATTTCCGCAGTTTTCAGATTAATGAAACACATGGCCCGGAGCAATATTTAACATGTTTAAGCGATATGTGTGAACTTACAACGGTAGGACCAGAAGTGTAGTCAAATTCTTCGGAGATGGGTTTCTGCATTGTTGAAGCCGAAGCAAGTGTGTGCATCTTGGTGTCATCAATCACTTGGACATAGATATGCTTGTGGGAGCGGAAGACAGCTAATCTTGGCCTTTCGGGAGTCCCTTCAACCTGAGAACAAAACAGATGCGCCATCCGTAACCACAACCAGAAAAGCAAACAAATGTCCGCAAGATAACTCATTTCGTAAAATTCACAATCATAATTTGGTGAGTGCAGATAATAAACTCGTAGAATTAAGGGTCCGTTGAGAACGCATCAATGTCACTAATAAGAACCCAATTAAAGCTTCAAAATTTCAAGTGTCAACCGAAGACCATAAGCTCAAGAGGATTTGGGAAACTTGTCCAATTCTTCTACTTCACCAATGTCCTAGAACAATCCAAATAAAGCTTCAGAATTCTTGTGCCGAAAAGAAAAAGGCTTCGAAATTCGTTATCTTGAAACTAGAACAGGCTAACCAGTTCAACTATATGTAGAATGAGAGTGTCTAACACATGAAATTGAAGACACCCATCTTCCGGTTCTTGAGAAGCTAAACTCCAGCAATACTTATTTGGTCTAAAGGCGAAGAACACAATACTCAGAAGCTGACAAGAAACGGCTTCTGGGTTGCAAGGGAAGAAGATAAGGGGCAATTCTGAGCATATAATCTCAAGGGAGAAACAATTGGGTTGAAAGCAAAGAAATCAAATTGCAGAATTGTATATGCATATATAGAGAGAGGATTCGTAATGGTACCTTCTTTCTGATACGGGTATGGCGGGCGGTCCTGTCTTCTCTTTTGGTGGTGGCTTTGGCTTCCACGACAAGAGACCGAGACTGAGTCCTTGGGAACGGAGTCGCCGCCACTCCCACGAGCTTAGGACGCAGCCATAGCTGCTGAGAAGACGCTTGGAACGATAGCGAAGCTGGCATTGTATCTTTCCGTCTCTCTATCTTCGTCTCTCAGACCCTCTCTCTGTATTTCTAAAGCCCCACTCTGCTATTTGGAACCTTATCCATCCCCCGCCGAGCATTGAACAATACTTGCCTGCCTACTCACTCAGTGTAGGAACTCGCTCTAAAAAAATTTCAAAATTATTTGTTGTGAATTTATAGAATTTGGTGTTTATAATCATAATCGTTTATATTATAAATCATCATATAAAAATTGCTTCTGCAAAGAATTAATTAAAACTAATGTCATTTAGTCATCAAACTATTTATAAATAAATGAACGGTATTGGTAGAAGTATTATGAACCGTCTATGTATTTGCTACAATAAATTGACTAAACGATCTTAATTTTAATTTAATTTTTTGCAGAGATGATTTTTACAATGTGATTCATAGTATGAACGGTTCTAACCATAAACACAAAGTTCTGCAATCAAAGTACTATGAGTAGGAGTTGCTACTCATTTTGAGTAGCCAAGTATTGTTCCCCAAAATTACCCACTGTTTTTCTTTTGAGTTGGTTGACGCTTTTTATTTCTCACACATTTTTTTTTTACTGTCCACATATTATTCTTAATTTACGTTTGTCGAATCGAATGAATTGGAGATCAAAAAGATGGAATTTAACACTTTCTCAATTTTCGGCCGTCGAATTGAATGAATTGAAGAAAATAAAAAATAAAATTACCAAAAAGTGTGTGGAGGTAAAATTGGATGTCTAGACAGCACCACCTTTCTTTTTTCTATTTTATTTCAAATAAAAATTTGCCAAAGGGGTTTTATTCCCATCAGCCAAATTTCTTAAATTATGCTTTGAAGGTGTGATTTTAATTTATAATTAAAAATAATAATCTTTTAAGGAAGTGTAATTTCATTTTTTTTTTTGTTTGTTTGTCAGGTAATTCCCTCAATTTAAGTAATTATTGATTATAGATGTATATCAATGTATTTTTATCGTTAAAAGATACTATAATTCAACTTGAATTTCAAAGAGCATTTACTCGTACACTCGCGACCATATCAGAATGATTCGACCCCAATATTTGCTTGTATCAAAGAAACAATGTGTTTATTGTTTACCAACAATAAGAGGCAAAGCTTGGCTTAAATTATAAAAAATAACTTGCTTATAGCATTGTGTCCTGCTACAAGGCACGTGCCTTGTCCATCCAGTTGTGATTAACGAATTTTCTCCGTTCATATTTCATAATTAGTACAGTCTGTTTTCTTAATCATATTTAAAGATTGCAAAAGCGTATATTAAGAAAATTGCCGGTCATTTTTCCCCAGGCCAGCGTTGTACTTCACTTGATGTTGAAGAACTTTTGTGAGAGAAAAATATAAGGTGTTAGTTCTTGTGGCAATTCTAACTCAGGTTTTACAAGCAGGCAAAAACCCCTTAATACAGAAGCTCATACGCAGCTGGTACATCATGCACCGGGTGACCTTTTCGGTTTCTTTCCATTATCTTTCCGGCAAGGGAGACTTGTTTCCCCATCACAAAGATGAATGCCTTCCCTATTCCTACAGCACCTCTGGCTGTTCTTCCTACACGTCGCACATACTTGTATCGCGAGGGAAGTTGAAGAGTATAACATGATCCACACCGAAAAGTCAATTCCATGCGATGCTCTGCCAGATATTTCATAAACGTCAACTTGCTGATTACTATATGTAAGCAAAGTTCAGTACAGGAAATGATGCAGAAAGCAATAGAAGTACTACCTATCAGTGCAAACCAAAAACTGTGAGACTTCCTCTGAATTAGAGATGGTGAACTCCTCCATATTTGCGAGCCTTGATCCTTGAGCCAACGCAGAGTGGAATGGTAGAACTCGATCGCGAGTTCCACTTCTGTCAAAACACGTTAATATATTCTCAACTTTTGTGCATTTCTCAATCTGCCTATTGGAAAGGAAAAGCAAACTTGAGTTGAACTTTATGAAGTGACTTGAGAAGAAATAAGTTCCATATTCAGAGAAAGGAAAAAGTCAGTGGTAAGCCACTCGAAAGTCAAAACGGAAAGGTTCCACCTTACCTTGTTACAGAAAATAATCGATTTGGGAACTAGACTTCCCTCCACAAGCTGCAGAAGAGCAGATTTCTTATTTGAGAATGCCTTCTTTGGAGATCTTTCACTTCCATCATCTCCACTGCAATCTACAAGCACCGGACATTAATTGTGATTATCAAAATCCATCATTTTGGAGTAAGGTAAAGCTCTTCAGTTCTAATAAAAAGAATTTGATGTGAAGTTACGAAAAAAAAATTGATCAAAAGTGAAACTAATAATGCGGCAACAATAAGAATACCTTTCCTCCAACAATAAGAACACCTTTTTCTGCAATCCACGTGCCCCAATCACCCAATCGCGCACCACGCACCCCACTCGAGCACTCGCCAACTCAGGAAGAGGGGCAGAAGAGGTGCTTGAATTTACATGCCCTGCATTGCCAACACCATCTGTAACAAGCCTCATGAGTCCCCTATCATCTACTAAATCTTTCCAACCTCCGCCGTCTTAACTCTTCCAAAGTAAGGTGACCAGAATAATGTGGTGACTGAGGTGAACCCATGCCACTGCCGTAGCCATCCCCTCTCCTATTTGTCGAACACATTTCACATACATCTAGCCAAGCAGAATTCTCATGCGTACAAGCATGGCACCTCCAGAAACCAGATACAGACATTCCTCTCTGACTCCAACCAACAGGTCCTCTACCGGATACTTGCCTCCGCGGAAACAAGCGCTGTAAAAACCTCAGAGGCCATTTCAGCACACCAAAAACACCTCTGAAGATAGCAGTAAGTGGGTCTGAACCATTATACGAACCCCTCAGCCAGACATACACAAGACCGGCAAGTATTCCACTCAAATGGCCAACAAAAGAGACACCAGGTACCAGCATTTGGGCAAGAGCCAATTCTGCCCACGCAGCATAATGAGACGGTATTGGAATTCCATACACATAACTGTTCTCAGTCTGTGAGTTGAGCACGACCTTCATGGCAAAGAGAACCCCAGAAAACCCAACAGAGTATTCAGAGTAGAAAGACCAATCATAGTCAAAGAACAATAGTAGGGACTTGGAAATCAGCAGTGACATTCCTTGGGACATACCCAGCAGGACAGCAACCATGGATGCAAATTCAGCACTATCCATTGAAGATTCTAACGGAATCCCCTTCCATAACAGGGAGAGCATGTTGTAAACCAAGTGAGACTCTCCGGCGTGGAAGAACGGCGACAAGAAGAACCGCTTCAAGTCCCCATACTGTTCAAACCAAATTCAGAAAAAAAGGCTCACCACATTATATAGATAATGAACCCATTAAAACCCAATTGACATATGAAACCAAAACAAGAAAAAGGTTGTAGCTTGCGATAAATTCTAACAGAAAAAAAATAAAATTTACATGGAAGGGACCGAAATTAGCACATTACAAAAAATTTGGGGTTTTTCATAACTTAGAAATTGGAATAATAAACTGGAAAAAGCAACAAATCTGGGTTATTATTTACATTGTTCATAAAAAATAAATAATAATAAAATAAAAAAAAAAATCAGTTGTAGCAAAATATAACCCAAAAAAAAAAAAATTAAAATTCACAAGATTATTGCATACATGGAATTATAAAAAGGGGCAAAATTAAAATTTTACAATAACTTGGGGTTTTTGAGTAAGAAACGAGAAATTACCTTAAGGATGAGGTGGGGATTGAACCTGACTTCTTCAATGGAAGGAAGAATGGGGTCAATAAAATCCGGGCGTAAGTAGATAAGAGAGTTGGCGGCAATAAGTCCGGCGGTGATGGGTGGTTTCCGGTCGAGCCTGTAATACTCACTGAAGGTGTGAAGTGCCAGCAGCGGCAACATTCCGTTCGATCGTGGCCTTCGAATTCCTCTCACCATTTTTGAGCTTCGAACTGCGTTGGATTGGTTGATCTTCGAGCGCAACGGCCTTCTCTGTCGAATCGATTTGACTTCTTGGTTAGTACGAAAAGCACCTTCCAAAGTCCAAGATGCTTCGGCTTCGCGGTTACAATTTTATCCGTTCTGTGATTTTCTTTTGTACGACTCTGAGCACGTGACTTGCGCGTGCATGAAAGGCATCAGTTAGGTAAGTTTCGTGGTTTATATATCTAAGAGTAACCTGTAGTCATGGTGCGTTAACTTTAATTTAATTAGAACAATGATTCCTTAACTAAAATTTTATTACCATTGATCTCTTAACTCATCAAAACATGCAGTTATAGTCTCTCAACTAAAAATTCATTATCATTGATCTTTCAACTTTAATCAAACTGGAGAAAATGTTCCTTAACTTTAACCCAATTCGAGCAATGGTCCCTCAACTCTAACCCAATTGTAGCAATGGCCCTTCCAACATAACACGTTTTGACAAATTTCTGATGAAGTTTACGAAAAAAAACCATAGCTACACGTTTTGATGAGTTGAGGGGCCCTAATTGTAGCAATGATCATTCCAACATAACTCATTTTGACAAAATTTTGACAAAGTTGATGAAAATGACCATAGCTACACATTTTGATGAGTTGAGGGACCAATGATAATAAATTTTTAGTTGATGGATCATTGCTATAATTTACTCTCTAAACTACACATTAATGAAAAGCTCATTTGGATGTGCTTTTGAAATGACTAAAAACGTTTTTGGTGAAAATGTTTTTAGAACCAATTATTAGTAAAGATGCAAGTAAATCCTGGAAAATCACTTAAAGTGCTTCCTGAAAGAAGCACATAACTGGTATTTCTTGCATAAAGCACTTTAAGTGTTTTTGAAGCCCAAAAATATTTTCACTAAAAACGCTTTCAATCATTTTAAAAACACATCCAAACGAGCTCAAAACCTCTTTGTCAACCAAAAGATGATGAAAAAACTTTTTGTTTTCTTCTATCACAATAAAAAAGTTATGAACAGCAATATAATTTCATAAAACAAATTTTGCTGTTTTTTGTTTAAACCTCACCTACATGTAATTTTATCATCTTTAATTTAAAAAATTAAAAATTAAAAAAAAACAAATAAATAAACCTTTCTCCTAACTCCCACGTTTTCTCTCACTCTCTTCCTTGATCTCTCTTTCAATTTTAAAAACAAAAGTAAAAAATTTCACACCCTTTATGTTTGAGCACATACTAGTATATATTAAGAAATGGGCTGACCCACAAGATAGCCCATTAACTCGTGATGCAAGGCTCGTGCCTCATGGCAGGCACTGCCAGTTCGACTGTTATTAAAAGGAAAATTTTATGTTGGTCAATCAAATTTAGTAATGTCACATGAACTTATAACCTTCGTTTGATTTATTTGCTTGACTTTCAATTTGATCATCAACTTTCTTACTATTTTTTTTTAAGAGAAATGTTTGGCTCTTTAAGATTGATTAAGAACTCTTCCTCAAAATATTTTGTGACTGATTTACAAAACTTTATACTTATGACAACGATTTATATTATCAACCACTTTGTAAAGAATTTTTGAAAAAAATTAATTAAAAGATAAGATTGTTTAATCAATCAACTATAACAAATAGATAGATAATTTGTAATGCTATTATTGTATCTTGACCATCTGTTTTATGCTGTACAATGATTAAACGTTCATATTTTATTACGTTTTTGCTAAGTTGATCTCTACATAGTGATTTTTTAATATGAACAATTTTGATTGTAAACACGAAGTTTCGTAAATTAGTCGCGAAGTATCGAAACTTATCCTTGCCATTTTTTTCTTTTATATAAAGTAGTAGATCACCTCAAAACTAACTTAATAAATTACTAGATGCAGTAAATACACTATGTGTGATTTAATATTTAAAAAAAATTAAATTAAATTTATGTAAAAAAATTAGTGGAATGGGGAAGTTAGAAAAAGTGGAAAAAAAAAAAGACGTGGGTGGCTGCAAATGAGAGAGATAGTGAGTTTAGGTAACGATATGATGATATGGCTGTGAAGTTTTAGAGAAAAAAAACAAAAATTTGTTTGTGCAAAATTATTATAATGTTCCATTTATTTTTAATATTTTCTCTTAGTTATATATAATAGGGTATAATAGTAATTTCATTGATTTTTTTTATTGACAAATAAAATTTTATTAATATGAAGTTTAAATTACAAACAGTTCTTTTTCCTTCAGAAAAAAAAAAAAAAGAGATTACAAACACTTCGGTCCTAGGGACTCTGATCAGATCATCGAAAAATTGAGTTTTCATTCAGTAAATCTCAAAGTAATAGTACTTGAAATTTATATTATAACTCCAATCGACAAAATATTTCTCCCAACATTCTTCATCCGGTAAACATAAACCAACGTTCTTCTCCGCCACAAGTTTAACTTTTTTATTTCAATTTTCAAGAAAAGTAGGCACTAGGCAGGCATATATGACCACAACAAATAAAAAAAGGCATAAAGATATTAAAACGTGTTTTCGTTGGTAGGAATGGGACTACATGATTAATGATTATGTTATGTTTCACAGCAACCAATGAATACTTAGGTTGTCTCTAAAAATAAAAGAGAAAACCAATTTATCCTCCCATAAAATGAATCTGCGTCTGTGGGATCTTGGTCGTCGTCTTCTTCTTCCCCATCAAGTTCTGAAAGTAAGTGATGAGAGCCGCAGAGGATTGGAGCCGCTGAAACTGCAAAAGAAGCTAGCTTGGATTTCATTTTCTACCCAGAATCCAGAAGGCCAAACAATGCATTTACCTGCCATTTTTGTAAGCCTTTGCACCCATTGAATTTTCTTTATTTTATTGTTCTTTTAGTATTTCTCAACTTTTTGAATTCATCAGAGGGTATTGGGTCTAATCCATTTCTTTTAATTTTTCAGGTAGGTTTTTTATTTCTGTAGGGGAGTTGCAGGTGCCCATTTCAGATTCATAAGAAAAAGGAACCATTTTTTTTTTTTTCTGGATATATTGATTCATGTAAGAAATTGTTTCTCTCAGCTCCCAACTAACATATCAATTTTGTTCAGTAAGAATGCCATGCTTAAAATTTTGTAGAAATGGTGTATGGGTCAATCCGAAATTTTGAATTTTAGCTGATGGATGAACTCTCATACGACTGTTACTTGGTAAATGCAATTGTTGGTTTTGCAAAGAACTGACCTTTATTTTATAGCTCTATATGCATGTAGATTTTCGGTTTTTTGGTTTTTCATTTTTCGTTCTCAAGGATTTGGTTGGTTTAATTTGTCAATCCTTTGGAATGTAGGGAATCTCTGCACCAATGTGTTATTCCTGGATTGCCTGATGATTTGGCATTGAGATGCTTGGCAATGGTGTCTCATGGGTACCATGGATTGCTCGAAACTGTCTCCAAGACGTGGAGAGATTTATTGCGCAGCTCGGACTATGCCAACTATAAAGCTAGAGAAGAATGGTGCGGCAACTGGCTGTTTGTACTTACAGAAGGATCTAACAATGAGTGGGTTGCTTATGATTCTGAAGCTGATAGGTGGCATCCTTTGCCAAAGATTCCCACGGTTCATGGTGACTGGAAACACACTGGATTTTCGAGTATTAGTGTCTGCAACCGATTTTTCGTTATTGGAGGGTCCTATGAGCAGAACTGATCCACCGGTTCCCCACAAAAAGCCTTTGGTAACAAATGAGGTTATGCTGTTTGATCCGTTTAAGAAACAATGGACCAGTGTGGCAAGCATGATCACACCGCGTACTCATTTTGCATGTAGTGTTGTTTCCGGTAAAATTTACGTTACTGGGGGCCGCAACTTATCTTGCACCAGAGGGCTTGCTCTTGCCGAGGTTTATGATCCAGTGGCTAATAAGTATGTTCCTATATTTGGCACTTCAAATATGTCTGAGAACTGATGTTACTATCACTGCTTCTTGTGTTATGTGTGGATACGTGTTTGTGATAATATTATAGCGAACTGATTCAATTGTGTCTCTTTCTTCTGTTGTCTTTCTTAATCTGGTAATTCTTTACTCGAGTTATAACTGTTTGAAATTTTCAGATGGGAGGAGTTGCCGCCAATGCTTAATCCTCAGATGGACTGCTTAGGTTTATCATACAAAGGCAGATTTCATGTTCTCAGTGACCAAGTAGGCCTGCCGGACCAAAATACCTCCGAGGTTTTTACTCCATCCGAGGGAACATGGTGCACCGTGGAAGACATCTGGCCTTTTTCTAGGGCAATGCAATTTGCAGTTCAGGTGATAGGAGATAATCAAATATATACTGTTGTAGACTGGGGCGAGAGCTTGATTAAAACAAGGGATACTGAAAGGGAGAGTGGTACAACATAGGCTCAGTTCCATCGGTGATTTTTCGCGATCACCCTCGGCAGCTGGAGGCTTTTGGCTACGGTTTTGCTGCCTTAAGACGCGAACTTTATGTTCTGGGAGGGAAGGCTCTCAAGTGGGAACAATCTGGTGCCGGGAGGTTTGACATTGTGAAGTTGGGTGTGGTGAGGGTTTGCAACCCCTCGGTTAAGCCATTAAAATGGAGGGAAACTAGACCGATGACTGGGTCAGCTCGTGGCACCGTGATAGGGTGTGCATCCATGGAAGAAGAATCTTCATTTTGAACGCGGTAAAGTTGCATGCCGACGCGAAAATCGGTTGATTTTCAGCTGCCTAACTGACTAACTGACAAGAAAAGCCTTGCCGGAAGAATGTAATCAAATTTGCCAAAGGAAGCTGCTTTGGCTTTTGATTCTGTAATGCTACAAAACTGTGTACCACCAATGTGTTTTGAAACTATATAATTAAATTAAATTGAGATTTATTTTTTAACACAAATGATTACAAGTCAAAACAAGGTGATTACTGTTATGAAGTTGATAACTTTTTCAAAACAACACAAGGGAGAGTACTACTTGAATTCACAATAAAAGTTAGTAAATACTTGAATTACGTAAATTTGAGTATGAGAAATATATTAAGCGGAATTAAAACTTTACCCATCTGCTTCAAATTCAGAGGCTTTATATATTACAAATTGAATAAAAATAAATCTTTGTCAGACTTGTGGTTAGAAAAAGGTTGAAATGTCTATGTGAGTGTTCCCGATCTCCTCCGAAAGAGATAAATAACCGTAACTTATTACATGTTGTCCTCCTTTTTAAAAATAAAAATAAAAATAAAAATAAATCTCAATTTGGCAAAATAATTGACATAATTAATAGAACTATCCACGAGTCCGTTTTTGGAAATAAATTTAAAAAAAAAAATTGCCAAAAGAAGAGAGTGCGAGAAGCAGCCGGAGCAAGAAAAAATGCAAACGCCAGTGCTGTTGCAAGATGGAAGTCATGCACTGAATCAAACGCCATCAACGCGCGGCAATCACTGCCCTTAAAATTCAAGATCCCACAAGAAACCCAGAAACCAGCATCCCTTTTCTTCTTCTTCTTCTTCTTTTTTCCTGCAATTACGTGCAAGATGGGAAAACGAATATGGATTCCCTGGGCGATCATGGCGCTCCACGTCGTCGCCATTCTCTTATTCACCAGAGGCTTTCTTCTCACCCGGACGGAACTTCCATTTTACAGCAACTGCTCCGACGGTTCGCAGTCGCCTTGCTCCTACTCCGTTCCAGAAACCCAGAACCGAAACGACACCGTTGACCCGAATCAGCAGCGTTGCTGGAGCAAGCCTGCTGTTGGGCGCCTTGTAATCATCGTTTTCGACGCCCTCAGGTAAACCCCATTTCAAATTTATCAAATTTATCCAAGAAAATAATGTAGGCAATCTCAGTTTTGTTAATCTCTTTGCTTTTTTCAGGTTTGATTTTGTGGCTCCCAGTACTTTCTTTCAGGTTAGCATTTTCAATTCTCACCTCATTAGTTGTTGCCTGCAATGCGATTGCGATTGTAAAGTCGAGTGCTTGATAAATGTTGTTGCAGAATCAAAACCATGGATGGACAAATTAAAACTTGTTCAAGACATGGCAGCCAGAAATGCGTCGACCGCTCGGATTTTTAAAGCCATTGCTGATCCGCCAACAACGAGTTTGCAGCGTTTGAAGGTTAGCCTTTTCACTTACTTGTTTGAAATTGCAAGAACTTCAAGAGGGTTGCTTTGCACAATGCTTCATGCACCTTTTAAGTTTAGTCTTTCATGGATTATGATTTGATGCTCCATGCTTTTAAGTTTGCTTTTCTAGTCTAGCAGCAATGCATGCTTCATATTCGGAATTTGGTGAATTTAGAGCCTGCTTGCTGGCCTCATGCCAAGGATGAATTTTAACTGTGTCAGTTGCTTCCCTTCCAAAATTTTTTAGGGCTTGACAACCGGTGGATTGCCGACTTTTATTGATGTTGGGAACAGCTTTGGTGCTCCAGCAATAGTGGAAGATAACTTGATACATCAGGTTGCTCTCCCTCTCCCTCTCCCTCTCCCTCTCCCTCTCTCTCTTTCTCTCTCCTCACTATGATTTACTTGGCATCGTTATTCCTTCCTTCAAGTTGTAGAACTTATTGTCGTAAGTCTGAAGTGTGGACCAACCTGCAGTTGGCTAAAAATGGAAAGCGAGTTGTAATGATGGGGGACGATACATGGACGCAGTTGTTTCCTCGTCATTTTGAAAAATCTTTTCCTTACCCCTCTTTCAATGTTAGAGATCTTGATACGGTATGCCTAACAAAAACATTTCACTTTTTAACCTTTTTCTTGAATTCAGTCATATTTTGAATTTGATCATGGATTGAAGTAATTTGTCTTTCTGTTCCAGGTGGACAATGGCTGCATTGAGCACCTTCTTCCATTCTTGTACCAAGAAGATTGGGATGTTCTTATCGCACACTTTCTTGGTGTGGTATGGTTTGATTGCTTGATTTTTTTCAGTGATAAATAGATTTGGATATTGTGCCTATTGTTCCTCTCTGAAGAACTGCTCAAGTAACCAAGGGTTCCGTATGAGAAGCAGATTATGTTCTTCCACTGAAAGCTGTGCAGGCTCTATATAATTTATTTATTTATTTAAAACTATCTCAATTTAGCGGACCCCACTTAGTGGGAAAAGGCTTTGTTGTTGTTGTTGTATTTAAAACTATCTCAATTGTCAGGATCATGCTGGGCACATATTTGGGGTTGATTCTATGCAAATGATAGAAAAGTTGGAGCAATACAACAATGTCTTGCTGGTAAGTCTTCAAACTCACAAATGGAAATTGCTCTTACACAATATTCTTCATTGGACACTTTGCGTCTATGGATATATAATTATTAGTTACTTACTAGTTGGCTGTTACTTGGCTCCCTGTGATAAATTACCCAGTTTTTAATATTTTTTACGTGTTTTTTCCCTTTTCTTCCAAGATAAGCAATACAAGTATAATTTTGAACCCCGAACACGTGGGAAATATTTTGAAAATATTTTCTTTCCTCAACTTTCTGAAACCTTTGGGTCATTGTTTCAAATTTTTGAATAGTTTTAGCCTTTTAGGAACATACATTTGCTTGGTGCCCTTCATCTTGTTCACCTAATGCAATAGGTCTAGCCTTTTATCTATCCTTCCCTAATTTCCTCACAAACTGATCAGTTTGCTTTAGAAAGTAGTTGAAGCACTGGAGAGGCAGTCTGCGCCAGGGGGCTTACATGAGAATACTCTTTTACTTGTGATGGGCGATCATGGACAGACTGTGAATGGAGATCATGGTGGGGGGAGTTCTGAAGAGGTACAAATTAAATGTGTTTTTCTTAAACGTTTTTGTTTTAGTTTTTGTTTGTCTTTTGTTTTACTCATGCTAAATTAATAAGACACAACGCAGGTTGAGACATCATTATTTGCTGTGAGCTTTAAGAATCCTCCATCTTCCATACCATCAGAGTTTGATACTTCATCTTGTGAACTTGATTTGGTACCCCCTCTCTCCCTAAGCACATATATATGCTTGTGGCTTATAAATTACGTAGAAATCTTCCACCTACAAATGAGTTGATTCCTTGCCACTCTTCTCTTATATTTTATGGAGGCTTAAGTTATTCCTTGAAAATGAAAAGAGAAACATTCAAAATGGTTGGACAATTAAAAAAGTTTAAATTTGCAAAATCTAATTTTTCCTATTACTTGCAGGGATTGATGAAACTTGATTAGATAGTCATAAAACTAATTTGTCTTTCAGACTCTCCATATGGTAGGAGTCCTATAAGCCTTAAGAGAATTTTAAAGAAGATCTCTTTGTTAATGGCATTTTTAATTAGGTTTTTATGGGTCATAACTCATAAGTTAATTTTTTGTTCTGAATAAATTATTAATTGTTTGGCTCCAGGATGGGAGGAATATTTGCAAGTTCCATGCAGCAGGTTAGAATGGGTTAATATATTTGATTTTGTCTTACTTGCCAATCACCCATCCTTAGTCAAGTCACTCTCTGCAGCTTGACTTTGCAGTGACAATATCAGCGCTGCTTGGTATCCCCTTTCCTTTTGGAAGGTGTAGTGTAAGCATCCTGTCAATTTAATTTACGCCATTATGCATGCCATTGCTTATTGATTATATTGATCATGACATGACTACCTCAGCTCCTTATTCTCTTCTACAATCAATAATACCATGGGCAAGCCGCAAGCCAGTATTTGATGAAAATAAAATGAAACATTCAGCGATCATGAAGTCAACATTTGTTTCGTTTATTTGAGTGCAGTTCTTATATGGACAACATTTGATCAGTTTGGTCATTTCTAGACCAAAAAATAAAAAATAAAAGACCCTAAGGTAATCTATTGGATGAAGCTGCCACTGTAGCGCAAAATGCCATGCAAAATGGGCTTTTTGTTTTTATCTTTGTGTGAGGTCAAATGATCACGTGGTTGGATTATCTGGGTTTGTTATACATTGTTATCATGGTAGTTGGTACTCAGTTTGTAACAGCATTGCACACTGAAAGTGCATTCACTTTGTGTGCAGTGACAATGCCTGGTGATCCTTCTCAAAGCTTAACTTGCTTGAAAACTTGATTTCTTATATCTACGTCGTCTTATATCTGTTTCAGTCCCATTTCCCGTATTGTGGAACAGCTTCCTGCATTTCCAATTTAATTTATGTAGATCTCACAATAATCAATGTACATTGGAAAGTTCACCTCTATACCACTGTGTCATACTTTAGCTTTTTGTTGTTGAGGAATTTATATGCTAGCTGTTTCACATATATTGGTTTTCTTTTCAGTATTGGGCGTGTTAATCCTCAGCTTTATGCTTTAGGAGTTGGAACATGGAATTTTGAAGATAGTGTGGGCAATTCCCAAAATCAGTCAAAGTTGGAACAATGGATGCTGAATTATGCCAATGTACTCTGCACCAATTCTTGGCAGGTATTACTTTAGCAATTTATCTTATGTCAATGGACTTCATAAATTCTTAGATGAAAGCTTTAACCGTCCATCATTATATTAAATAATTGTTGGATTCTTGTTGTTTAGGTAAAAAGATATATAGATATATATTCTGCTTCATCAGTTATTGGATTTTCCCATGAAGATTTGTTGCACATAGCAGACATGTATGCTAAAGCAGAGGAGAGATGGTCACTTACTACAAAGAAGGTGCTGTCACACGAAAAGGAAAGCCACAATGAATTATTGCCTGCTCTTAAGAGGCAAATTAATTTGTATTCTGATTTCCTAGCAAGTGTTGCTGAACTTGCACGCTCTAAATGGACTGAGTTTAATTTAAAGATGATGGGTGCTGGACTTGGCATTATGCTGATATCACTTCTTGTCCATTTCCTTGCAATTAAGAAGGTGAAGGAGGAATATGGTTTTTCTTTTTCTTCATCTGGAGATTCTGGGATTTCCTTCAGTTTAATTTTTTCTTGTTTTATGGTGGTGATGCGTGCGTGCAGCTTCCTCTCGAATAGTTTTATCTGTAAGTATTAGATACTGTTTATTTATGTATGGATGGCAGCACAAAATCCATGGCTAATGCTCATGTTGGCAAACTAACTTTTACTCATTGTTTTTTTCTTTATGAAAACCTTGTGAGCAGTGGAAGAAGGAAAAGTGGCATGCTTTCTTTTGGCCACTACTGGACTAATTAAGATGCGATATTCAATCATGAAGAAGAAGATGATATTAGAAGTGAGTAGTTGTTTACCTCAGGTTTCTATTACCGTGCCCTCATCAAGGCCCCAATTCTTTTTAATCAGATATTGCGGAAGTACTGTTACAAATTTGTTATTGTTCATTTCTGATAGAAGTATTTCAAATATAGTTTCTTGTAATGATCATTTTTCGCTGATGTAATTGCAGGCACTTGTTTTCCTTCTTCTGATCACCATTTGCAGATTTACTATTGAAGTTGGATTGTCAAAGCAGGCTCCTAGTTCTGAAATTATTAATGCATATCCTTCATGGATGCTCAGGATCACCGCAGGGTTTCCAGTTTGGAATATTGTTGCTGAAGTTATACCGGCAGTTTCCCTGATTTTATTGGCATTTTTGCTGCGCAAGGCCATTACTGGAAGCTCTTCCGAGGGGATTTGGAAGTATATTATCATGGGAACTAATATAAGTTATATACTAATAGCAGTGCATTGGGCTTCAGAAAGTAACATATTCAATCTGGCCGAGGTGCTTAAAGGCATAGGAAGAAATTACATTCCTCGTCTGATATATGCCATTGGATTTGGACAATTGTTATTACTGGCATTTAATCAGCTTTTCAATAAAGGGACATCCTCAGATTGCAGCAAAGTCTTATATATTAAAACAGTGGCCATGTTTTCTGCCTGGAGCTCAACACTCATTCTTCTGTTGGGAAAGCAGGGTCCTTGGATTGCTTTAGCATTCGTTATTGGAGGTGCGTGCTTTAGTTATTTATAGTGTCGGTGCTTTATTTTCTCTTGAATGGTTTGTTTTGGCCAATAAAAGTTCCCTTGGTACTTTTGCATCCACCTTTTGGCCTTTGTTATATTTCACTTTTTTATTTCAATATTTGTTCAGTCGTAGATGTTGTTTAATTGGATAAAGCATGTTGTTATGGAACAGTTTGTTGCTCTTTTTCTTAAAGTTTTGGTACCTGTAATAATTTTTCTTTTTACTTTTGACAGGTTATTGCATAATGAGGCTGGATAACATAGAGCTGGATGCCAAAGATGGAGGCAGTTGGAATACGATGCTTGATCCTATTCCTGTAACGCAGTGGAGCCTTTTTGCTGTGTGCCTGTTTTTCTGCACCGGTCATTGGTTTGTTGCTTGCTTCCTACTTTGTGACTTTCTTGTTTTCTGATTTCTCTTATCAGCACACTTTGCGTTAGTTTTGGAATCATTTTGGTTTGGTCCCTACAAAAATAACTTTTATGATTTAATTAAGAGTTGATTTTTCTATATTATATTTGCATTGTTTTCAACATTTTTCGCCCTCTTATGTTTCATAACCCAAGATAAACTTTTCTTCAGGTGTGCTTTTGACGGCCTCCGATATGGTGCTGCATTTATTGGGTGAGTCACAGGTATTGGATAAGTAGTCACTTTTGACTACTTATCTTTTGAAAACGAAAGAATCCAGTAGTGATTGGCTTCTGCTTTTGCCCTTGTGAGTGTTCATAGTGCCCTGTGGATAGATTATTAAAACCCTGTGTTATTTTCAGGTTCGATGATTTCATCCTAGTTCCCCAAGCAATCCTCCTTACAATGGATACATTTGGTTTTTCTCTCATCCTTCCAATATTTGGACTTCCATTTCTTGTTGCACGCCTGGGTCAGACTGAGAAAGGGAAGAAATTTGTGCTCACACGACTATCTCTAGTAAGTTTATTGTGTTGCATATAGGTCATGTGTTTGCTATCTTTATAAGTTTTATCCTCGTAAAAGGGATTCTCTCAGTAAGATCATAGGGCTCGTGGATTGTCTAGCCAGTTTGACAGTTAATTGGTCGTGATCGATGTCTTAGGTGTACATGATTTATGGGCTCATCATGGCTACTTCGGTCACAGCAACTATAATATGTGTTACAATGCACAGGCGGCATCTAATGGTAAGGTCAACAAATATTAATTTTTCAACGATTATTGGACACCCATAACCATATGTTTTGCTTGCAGGTATGGGGTTTATTTGCCCCGAAGTTTGTTTTCGATGTGGCGGGTCTTATCCTTACAGACATACTCGTTTGTTTGGCCTCACATTACTACTTCAGTCAAGTAGAAGACGATGCCCTACAAGATCCGTTCACCAAAGACAATGCCCTACAAGATCTGTTCACCAAAAAATAGAAACAATACATGTAATCAACTGAAAATTTTTGTCCACATTTATTTATTGATTGATTGTTGTAGCAATTGATTCGAGATAAAGATGAAACCTGCATCGATACCAAATGCCTAGTCGTATCTGTTGATTTAAACAGGAATACTTGCAGAAAAAGCTAATGAATGTGATGTTCTAACCCGCTCGTTGAGCTGTATTTGCTGCTCTTTGTGCTCAAACACGACCGGCCTTGACTGTGCGCAATGGCTGCCGTGCAGTACACTACAAATTGATGGAAAATACAAAGGTGATGACTGGGTGTGAAATCAATGATGCAATGAGCTTGTAAGAAGTTTGGAGGCAAGAGATTGGAAGATCTGCTTGTAAACTCAGACATGTGGAGTGCTAGGAGAACTAGATTTCGACGTTTTTGTTGGATGGTTCTGGTCTTCAATTGTAAAAAGTCGCCAAAAGCATCTAATGCCCCTTCTGGCCGTAACTTAGCAGCCAGAATCTCACACCCCGGGAAAAGCCGACTCGGGTTCTTTTTGGAAGTGCCTCTAGTAAGACAAAACAATTTCATGTTACCAAAAGCGCCTCCAGGTCTCGCTGAGATTGCTTTTTAGAAAGTACTTATGTCAAAAGTGCGTTCGTTACAGATTCATTATTAATTATATCAAATTTTGAGCGCTTCTTGAAATAGCACTTGATAGTGTTTTTTGAAGAAACATCGGAAAGTGCTTCTCCAAAAAGCACTTTTATGAGCCATATGCGCTTCTAAGTTTTCTACCAAACACATTGTTAGAACGTGCTTTTAGCCATTTCGAAAGCAATCCAAAATATATTTTTTGGACTCATAATAAAAAGTGCATCCAACAAAAGTGCTTATGAGAAGTACTCAGTGAAAATGTATTTCCAAATGGCCCTCATTGGTCACCTTTGGGGACTTCTCTCCAACTAAGGCCATCTCCAATCAACCTGACCAAAGGGTCATAGGACTAAAAATAACTCAACCAAGGGTTAGGCCAAAGGGCTTGTGGGTCTCACTGGGCCAAAACCACCAAATTAGGCTAGTAGGCTGGCCATTTTCAGCCAGCCAGCCTAATGAGTCTAGCCCACTTCTTTTTTTTTTTTTTGGACGAATTTTTTTTCCTACACAATTTCTCACATACATTTTACCATTCCATATTATATTATCTCATTTTATTTCAATTCTTCACATTCTATTTTCTTCCAATAATTCTTCCTTTAATTTCAAATGGCCACCTCTTTTAATAATCTTCCAATATGTCTGAAAATTTTATTTTAATATGGTAGTTTAATTTAATTAACTATATTAATTCAATTAAAATAATAAATTATGTTTGGCCTATGCCCCCTCGGTTGGACATGATTTTTTGTCAAAAGACTATGTTTGGCCTAGGCCCTTTGGTCACCTCGGTTGAAGATGATATAAAATATGGCATGACACTGTTCATTTAAATATAATTTCGCTATAGGGCTAAACATAGCCCTTTAACCCTCCTTTGATTGGAGATGGCCTAAGTATCTTTCGTTCTACCTTTGACGTTGTTTGGGAATTTGTCATCTAATGCTGCCCTTATAGCTTGCACATCATATGTTAGAAAACAACATTTGTAATTAAATTATATATTTGTGTTTCTAAATTTTATATTAGGAGAGTGATTAGGGGTAGATCGGTTAGATTAGATCCCTGTCAAAAGCAACGATGATTGAGATAAGTAAGTGTTGGATTTCTCACGGCCGGTCCGCCGGCTTATGGTGTTGTTTGGCGTCGGGATTTTGGGAGTTGGAATGCCACTGTTTTTGTATGCATCCACAATTGGGATGCCACCGGCATTGGAGATGATGGCGTAACATTTTTCTGCTCTTTAAAGTCTAAACAAAAACACATTCCCTTCCTCCTAAGTATAATACACACACACACACACACGCACACATACTTGGAACCTCCCTCACCATTTACACATATACGAGTTCCTCTCTCCTCTCTCCGCACTCACTCTTCGTCTTCCAAAGTCTCTACCATCCTTTCTCTTTGACAAAGGAACTCGCTAACATCCTCGTCATGGTAATTACTAGGACGGAAGCACTTTTGCTCACAAACACTTTTAGTAGAAATTTATTAAATTGTTTTTATAGAAACTTCAAGTATTTTGTGAAAATATTTCGTGAACAAACTACTAAAAAGTGCTTTTGAATCCAATTGTATTTTAACTTTTTTCTCCAAATGCTATTAGTAGCTCCTTTAGCCATTCTAAAAGCACATAGACTCTAAATTTAAAGTGTCCTACCTTGCTTCTTCAACTTTAGCATTTTACACATGCCCACACCCAAAAAAATATGAACATACATGGTTGTTAGTTAGAAGTTAGAACTACAACATGTTGTATGTCATTTTCTAATATTAGTTGGCTTTGATTTGTAGGACAATGAAGTTGGTGCTAAAGACTTAGACTATGAACCCTCGAAGAGGAAACAAGGTGGATTCAAGGCCAACTATTTTATCTTTGGTAAGTGACAACTTTCGGATAACTTAACGAACACTATAATGTTATTTAGACACTTAAGACTGACACACTCTTTAGTGGTATGTACAATTATATTTGAGAACCACCTATATCAGAAGGAGTGTCATTTATGTGTCTAAATAGCGTTACTCTTACGAGAAATCACGTTAATTTGAGCTCATGCTGAATGTGTTTTGTGTGCAGCAATGATGTTCCTGGATAACATAGGCTTTGTGGCTAACATGGCCAGCCTGGTTTTATACTTCATGTTCGTCATCCACTTCGACCTCTCTGGCTCTGCAACAACCACAACAAATTACTTGGGCACCACATTCTTGCTCACCATTGTTGGAGGATTCATCTCTGATGCCTACATGAACCGCCTCAACACGACTCTACTCTTTGGCGTCATCGAGTTGCTGGTAAATCTTGTTTCTTTCCATCCTCCCAACGTACTTAATCCGATTCATCTTAAACGGAAAAACAAAAAGAACTTACTTTAATCAACAAAAATTCTCTGTGTAGGAAGTCTGTTTAAAAACATACTTGCATCGATATTGCAAAACAAATATAGATAACGTCATCGTGTTTGTTGGTAACAGGGACATCGACACATTATTGATGACTTATCACAATTCGTTCTTCAGTACAGAACAGATTGTCTGTTTCACACCTGGACTACACTAATCAATACATACATACATACATATATATATATATATATATATATGTTGTGTTTTGACTTGCAGGGATATATGTTGCTGATTATTCAAGCCCATGAAAAAAACCTGCAACCTCTACCTTGTCTGGAATCAACCTGTGTGCATGGCACAAAAGCCCTACTGTTTTACGCTTCGATTTCCCTTGTGGCACTTGGAGGAGGCGGAATCAGAGGAGCAATCCCAGCTTTAGGAGCTGATCAATTCGACTCCAAAGATCCCAATGAGCACAAGCACATAGCCAGCTTCTTCAATTGGTTTTTGCTTAGCATAACAGTTGGAGCTGTGATTGGTGTCACATTTGTGGTGTATGTGAGCTCAAATGTTGGATGGGATATCGGATTTATCATCTCCTTGTCCTGCGCTGCAGTTGGTCTTATCTTTGTTGCATTGGGAAAGCCATATTATCGCGTCCGAGTTCCAGGAGAGAGCCCTTTGATTAGGGTTTTAGAGGTCTCTCTTCCTTCCTCTCCCGTTGTTTAACTTGGAAAATATAGGGTGATTAGTAATGCCACTAACAGTGGACTGATTAATTTGAGATGACCCTTTTGTGCAGGTACTGGTGGTGTCTGTAAAGAACTGGAAGGTGGAGGTACCCCAGAATTCTGATAAACTGTATGAAATACGTGCCCGCGATTCTGCTTCTAAAGCAGAGCTCATCCCTCACAGCAATCAATTCAGGCAGGTTCCTCAAAGCCTTCATTTGTTATCACCACCTTTTCGCTTACATAACTTTGGACAGTCTAAGAAGAAATTCTTGCTTAAAACTTGAATATAACACGTTTCTGATAATAATTGATCACGTGACTGACATCGGTTGTAACTTCTAATACACGAACTTTTTTGGTCATTAGGAACTTAGTATTAGGAGTCTCTTTGATAGTTACTTGCTGTTCAAGAAAACGTGCAAAATAAGCAAAAAAAATACCAATTAACAAGACTATCAACTTTTCTTTGGGCAGATTACTAGACAAGGCAGCCGTTCTCCCGAATGGCGCGAACGCAGCAAGAAAATGGAAAGTTTGCACAGTAACACAGGTGGAAGAAGTGAAGGTTTTGGCAAGGATGATGCCTATTCTTCTAAGCACAATCCTCATGAGCACATGCTTAGCCCAATTGCAAACCCTTTCAATCCAACAAGGCACCCTCATGAACACACGCATTGGCGATTTTGATGTCCCATCCACCACAATCCCAGTGATTCCTCTAGTATTCATGACCCTCCTTATTCCAGTCTACGAATTTGCCTTCGTTCCCCTCTTGCGCAAAATCACGGGTCACCCCAATGGCATAACCCACCTCCAGAGAGTTGGGGTGGGGCTTGTCCTCTCAGCCATCTCAATGGCCATAGCAGGAATCGTAGAAGTTAAACGAAAACACGAGATGGTTCACCACAACCACAAAATCAGCCTCTTCTGGCTCTCTTTCCATTACGCGATCTTTGGAATCGCGGACATGTTTACACTCGTAGGGCTGATGGAATTCTTCTACAAGGAGGCACCCGCCGGCATGCGCTCTCTTTCCACTTCCTTCTCTTGGCTCTCTCTGTCCATTGGCTACTACTTGAGCACGGTTTTCGTCGAGCTCATTAACACCATCACTAGCAAGTTCACTAAGAACAAAATGGGGTGGCTGGAAGGGCGCGATATGAACAAAAGCCGCGCGGACTATTTCTATTGGTTCCTCGCGATCCTTAGCGTGGTTAATTTCGGAATTTATGTATGGTGTGCCCAATGGTATAAGTATAAGAATGATGTTACGGTCTACGAGGAAATGTTGCTCAAAGCCAGCGGACCTCAGTCTTTCTCTGCAAGTAGTGTAAGCTTTGTGTCCAAGGTAGGTGAGAAGGAAGAAAAACAAAACGAGGCCAAGTGAAAAAAATAGGAAGCAAAGTCTACGCCCCAAGTACTAGTACAAGAAGTTCCATTCATAGATTAAATTTTGAGTTTTGAGTGCCAAATGCAACATGACATAAAAATGAAAATTCCCAAAAGCCAAAAGCCAAAAGCCAAAAGCCCTCTAGATGGAAATGTCATGGAAGTCTATTTTTTATATAAGAGTAGAAGTATAAATATAGGTGGATGCATGGACCACAACATCTTGTAATATTTGTAACTTGTAACTTGCAGTGCTCAATTGACTCAATACTTTAAGACCAATTGCATATGAGTAGTAGCTAGGAGATTGTAATTTAAGTTATTATAATCAACAATTTATTATGCATTTTAGATTATGTGCTTGATTTGCCAATCGTTTGTGAAACCAATTACACACTATTATGCGTTTTTATCAATGCATGATTGACATAAGATAACATCACAATGGCATTCCAAAGAGTGTGAAAAATTATTTTAGAACATGGGACATGCATAAGCATTAGTATGGCTTTTAGGTTAGAACTCATGATGGTCTGCATGACATTGAAATGTGAATTAATAGGATGATAATGTTGAACATTTGAGGGTAAACGCTTGACCCTCTAGATAGTTACTCATTTGCAATCAACCTCCTGAACTATCTTTTTGTTAAACTAACTCTTTTAAACTATTTGAAATTAGCCAATTAATTCCTTACCGTAAAATTTGATAAAATTTCATTTGCTTTGTTATCAAATACTGGCATGACTTTATAACCAAGAGTGATTCATATGCTGATTGTGTGCCAGTATTTGCTGATGGCAAAGTGGATGGAATTTTCATGAATATGATGGTCAGCGATTAATTGGCTAATTTCAAAAAGCTTAAGGGGTAATTTTACCAAAAAATAGTTTAAAATGTCAATTTCAACTAAAATAATAATTTAGAGGGTCAAACGACAATTTACTCAATATTTGATCAATATTGATAAGTATGGGGACATCATGGCTATGCAAAGATGGACAAGGATTTTCTTCCCTTTTTATTTTATTTTTTATTTTTATCTCCCCTTCTCTCTCCTCCTCTTTGAAAGCTCAAGATTCCATTGTTGTAGAGACTAATAAGAAGTAAAAAAGAGAGAAGGAAAAAAAAAACTGAAGATAGGAGGGGAGGGAAGGGGAGGGAAAAAGATAGAGGAGAGAATCCCCACCAAAAAGAGGGAGTCATAGTTAGAGTGTGGTACAGCTCCCTATCAGATGTGATTGGTAATCAAATGAAGTGTCGGCTGCCATTCTCACTGGTCAGTCTGGATTAAGTTAGAGCTGGCCTCAAATATCATTAAACCCCACTAAATTTAGAGGCCTACATTATTTACTTAAAAAAAAAAGAGAAGTTAATTAGGTAAAGTTAAAATGTCCCTAAATGCTCTAATTCTATCAATTTACATATTGACATTATATAGTTTTTGAGTAACCTGTAGTAATGGTTATTCAATTTTATTTAAATTAGAGCAATGATCATTTAACTAAAAATCAATTATTATTGGTCCCTTAACTCATCAAAACGTGTAACTATAGTACAATGAGTTATGTTGGAGCTTTGGAGGGATTATTGCTCTAATTGAATTAAAGTTGAGGGACCATTTCTTTAGTTGGATTAAAGTTGAGGAACCATTAATACAATTTTTCTTATTTGCCCCTTATTTAGCCTCACGTGTATGACACGTGACTTATTTTGACGGAAATTCTAACAGAGTTAACGAAAATGATTATAGCTATACGTTTTGATGAGTTGAGGGACCAATAGTAATGGACTTTTGATTGAGGAACCATAACTTCAATTGAGTTAACGTTGAATGATCATTACTACAATTTAATAATAGTTTTAATAGTTCATGAAAAAGTTAAGAAATAATGAAGCATGTGTAAATTGGCAGGAGCGAGCACCGATAACCCTCCAATTAGGCAATCACAATTATTGCGTATCGATTATGGTTGTTGCCCACTTTATTAGCGGTAAGCATGAACTAAAAGGCCAAATGTAGCATATTTACCAAGAGGACAGTGACCACTACCAATACCAAATAGTGATAGAATTGAGTTCATGAAAGAAACCAGAACCAAAATACCCCATTTCTCTCCCACTTCTTCTCCGCCATTTTCTTTATTTAGTTTGGAACTGCTTTTTTGAAAAGCACTTTTAGGAAAGCACTTTCACTAAAAGCACTTCTAGTAGAAGCATATTGGGTACGTGGTGATGTTCAAGAAGTTCCAAACAGGGTTATTTGTTATGCTAAGTCCTAAAGAAAGAGATTTGATTTTTTAGCCAATGCCAACTGGTGGTTGGGTTGCTCACTTCCTCAATTACGACAATATTCCTCTTCATATTACCAAAGTTGTTCTTCAGCCACATTCTCTGTGTTTCTCTGTCTCTCTGTATCCCCCTTCTTTTTCTTCAGCTGAATTACATTGATAAGTAAATAAAAAATAGCTGTGGTTTAAGCTCTAGTTCTTACCATTTGTTTGTGCAATGAGATTTCTGGGGTCAGCCAACATGAAGCTTTTCTGGGTTTTGGGGTTTATGGGGTTTGTGTTTTGCAGAACAGATAGAACTTTTATTGGGGATGTGAATGTCGCACAGGAACAAGACCTGCATTATACTGAGAGTAATGTGTATGGCTATGCAGCTTATGGTTATGGGTTTTCCAGCAGACCCTTAATGGTGGGTCTCACACTCATCAATGGAGCTGCTGCCAAAGGAGCAGGTTCTCTTTTTTCACCAAAAAAGATGAAAGACATTTCTCCTTTTCTGCTAATAAAGATACTTGAATTTTACAGATTAGTGTGTTTTTAAAGTTTGTTTCTTTGTCGAACGATTCGATGGATTCATAGGTAGTTGAAACTCCATCTGTTTCTTAGTTAGATGCTCATGTGGCCAATTTCAGAAATTGCAAAGGAAAGGAACTGATGCCTCTATTCCTTTGTGGTTTCATGACTTTTGTTTTCTCAATGTGCAGTCTGCCTGGATGGAACATTACCTGCTTACCACATCCACCATGGATACGGGTCAGGAGCAAACAGTTGGCTCATTCAGTTGGAGGTAAGTAATATCCGACGAAAACTAAGATCTGTCATACAAACTTGACAGAGTGAATTATGGCAGGTCTGTTCTTAACACATCACCATTAATAGTTGTGATGAATCTGATTGAGTTATACTTCTGTTTGGTACTAACTGTTGGTACTTCTATATGGATATTTCATCAGTACTCTGATCAAATTAGTTTACCATCTAAAGTTTCTCGTTCAGCGAAGATGATTTGTGCTTCTTTGCCTTTTGTATGCTTCTAAAGGCTATATAGGAAATAGATATTATGAAGTAACTTCTTTGAGTGGCTTGCCTGTAATATATGCTGGGAGCTAATGAACATCTTTGGTTAACTTCTTTTATTGATAGGGAGGAGGATGGTGTGATACAATCAGAAACTGTGTTTACCGTAAAAAAACTCATCGTGGTTCATCAGCATATATGGAGAAGTATATACCATTTGCAGGGATACTAAGCAACAAAGCAGGAGAAAACCCTGGTTATCTATCTGTCTGCATCCTTATTTCTCTACACATGCAGCACTACATGTCCTACATGATTCTTCGTCATTAGTAATCTGATATTCTTGATGGGACACAAACAATTGCAGACTTTTACAATTGGAACAGAGTTAAGGTTCGATATTGTGATGGTGCATCTTTCGCCGGCGACAGTCACAATGCGGTTAGTGGGAGTAAATGATCATATGCTTATTTATTTTTAAATTCTTGTTGAAAACCAGCACTTATTTTGCTTAATTTCTACCAGAGCTAAGGAACTCAAGTTTAATAGTTGCTGTATTTACACTGGTCGTTATGTTGCATCATATTCTTAAGATTTTTATTGTCTAACTGTTGCAAACAAAGCAGTATTCTTATAGATCTTATGAGTTATGACTGAAATTACTGGTTTAACTGTTGCTCAGGCTGCCCAATTGCATTTTCGAGGACAACGTATCTGGAAAGCTGCTATGGAAGACTTGATGTCAAGGGGAATGCGCTATGCTAATCAGGTTATTGTCATTAATTTTTCGGAGAGGATATGTTTCACTCTTCTGCTAGTGTTATACATTTCACTTTGGGATTTCTAGGCTCTTCTTTCTGGATGTTCTGCTGGTGGGGTTGCAACTGTACTCCACTGTGATGAATTTCGTGGAATGTTCCCTGCAACAACTAGAGTGAAGTGCCTCAGTGATGCTGGACTGTTTCTTGACGTGTAAGAATCCATTTTTCAACAAATTTTGGCATGCCTGATACCTTTTGGTTCTTACTCAGATAATAATCTTGTTATCTAAAATTGCAGAGTTGATGTATCTGGTAGTCGCACTTTGAGAAGTATGTTTAGAAGAGTGGTTAGTCTGCAGGTATTATCCATTTAAAATGAAATCTATCCACCTTCAAATGTGCTTCGTGGATTGAAACTTCTATGACTAATAGACATGCAATTATTTTGCAGGGGGTGCAAAAGAATCTCCCATGGAGTTGTACCAATCGCCTCCACCCAACTTTGGTAGTTTCTTTTCTCGCATTTAATCCTTAAGACAAACTTTCTTTTCTATATAGATTATACAAAGAACCCAATTTTAGAGTGAGGTTTCCCTTCTCTTTTTAGTCTTGATCATTTACTTCGTTGTTCAAATTTCAGTGCTTTTTCCCCCAGCACCTAATTGCAAGTGTCAAGACTCCCCTTTTTCTGGTCAATGCAGCTTATGATACATGGCAGGTGCGTTCTTAATTTCTTATCCTCGCATTCCTTTCTGATTCATGTGGTGGATGGATACCTATCTTACAGTAGAATCGTGATACGCTGATGAATGAACGACCATCCTGAATCTTTCTCCTTTACTCAGATCCAGGCCAGTTTAGCTCCACGAACAGCAGACCCTAACGGCCATTGGCATGCGTGCACAAAAAATAATGGACGTTGTGCTGCATGGCAGATGAACTTTTTGCAAGGTGATTCCATTACGTTAATTATGCTTTGTGTTCCAGATGATGATTTAGTTACATGCTGAATGCTTGGTGTTTCGGAACTGAATTCGGTTCTCTTTTCTTTCTTCAACAAATTATCAGGTTTCCGGATTCAAATGCTCAAAGCTGTAAGTGGATTCTCGAGGGCTGGTAAAAATGGTTTGTTCATAAATTCTTGCTTTTCTCATTGCCAGACTGAGAGACAAGATACCTGGTTTTCTCAAAATTCTCCTCTTATTGGAAATAAGGTATGCCCTATTGTGCACTTTAAACTAGGTTAAAGAAAAGACTATCTATGGATTTGCTGTCATTTCTTTTTCACATTTTTTTGGTTACACTTAAGATTCTGTCTTGAACTCATATGCAATCAATTATCTGCAGGGGATCGCAAAATCAGTCGGAAACTGGTATTTCGATCGGTATAGTATCAAAGCTATAGATTGTCCGTACCCTTGTGACAAGACCTGCCATAATCTGGTGTTTAAGTGAAAATTACTGTATATCATCTCTTGCCATAATCTGGTGTTTAAGGGTAAATTTCTGTGTATCATCTCTATTTGTCTTCTCTCCCCAATTTATATTGCCAATGGCGTTTAATGTAACATTTTACCTTCTAGACCGAGTCATTGCTATGAAGCTCAAAGAGCGATCAACATGTTTATGTATCATTTTTATGATCCAATATATAAATGTAATCCTCTTGATTAAATTCCAGTTATAATTTGACATCCAGTTGAAGAAAACGCGATGAGTAGCAATTTCTCGAAACAAAATTCATCCAAACAAAATATTTGTCATGAGAAATACATGAACAAAAGGGAGAAGATAGAAGTTCATTACAACTTACATACTAGCTAGTTGAGTGTTCATATCAAACTAAAGTGCTGCACAAGTTCCATATGATAAAATTTCTAATATATTCACCTAAAACTGCCTATCTGCTCTTACTTAACTGATCCTTGCTTTTGCTCAATACTTTCGTCCACTTTTGGCCTTGTGTTCATAAGAACCTGAAATTAAGACGGAGAAGGATTTCAACATAGTATTCAGCTACTAGAAAGAGTTTTACGATTTGTAAACCGCAATGAGGATGCAGTACTACTCAACTAACAGTAACAGAAGCCTCACCTTTCGAAGCATGGTGTTTTCATTGACAAGCGTAGAGATCTTTTCTTCCAACTTTGAATTCCTATCATCCAATTCTTTGGCTCTTGATTCCAGATCGTTGACGTAAACCTTTTTCCTCTCCCGGGCTTGTTGAGCAGACACCCTGTTCCTTAGCAATCTGTAAGTTTGAGTGGACATGTTTCGATCAGTTTTAATTGGAATTGATATATATTTTGGAAATGTTAGCTGCAACCTGATAAGTCACTACAAATGGTTTCATTTAGCCTTTTAAACTGACTTGAGAATCAAGAAACTTGGACAAACGAAAGATGAGTTTGTGTATAGAAGCCATTGATTGATAATATCGGAATTCCGAACCCCTACATTTACTATTTATAGTACCTCTTCAGTCGCCTGTACTCCTTATCGACCGGATTTCGGCCTCGGCGGCGCTTGGCCGGAAAGCCAGACTGGGCATCTGGGTTGTTGTTGTTACTGGTGGCATTTGCGATTGTAGAGGCCGCATTATTAATATTATTATTAGGAGGGGGCAACGCCTCCACGTCCGGAACCGTGAACATATCTTCATCGCTCTCTTCTGGAACATCATCACCACCATCATCATCATCATCCAATGACCAAAACCAAGGAACGTCTATTAATTAAGACACAATTAATATTCAAAATTAAATATATAAAAAAACAAAAACAAAATAATTAGGCATGGAAATGTAAATAAAGCAAAACAAAAAAGCCCCAACCCTCGGATTAATCTATCTTCTCAACTGTAAATACATTGAAATTGTTATTAATTTGATAGGAGCTTCTTCCAGAAGCTTGTTCTATGACTTAGAAAAAGTTTTTTTTTTTTTTTTTTTTGTCAAACGCAATTATTTATCAGCGTTCCAAATGTAAGAAAGCATTGTTAGCTATTCTAAAAACAATCCCAAACAAACTTATATATTCTCATGTGGATTAGTACATTGGAATATTTTATATGAATTTAATTAATGTAACATTAATAATTTAATATGGAGGAAAAGAATGTGCAACATTTAGTTTGACAAAGTATAAGCAAACCTAGTTTGTTACTGTTCTTGGTGTTACTATGAAGAAGAAGAGAAGGATGAGGAGGCCCCAAGGAAGAAGAACCAGATGGCTGCTGTACTTGCTGTAGTTGCTCCAAACTGGAGGAGGAGGAGGAGATGGATAACATGGGGTTTTTGGCTTCATCATCTCCTGCTCTGATTGGGACTGACATGGCTGGCTTATGAGCTCTCTCTCTCTCTGGACGATGAGCTTATATATGAAATGATACACAATATTAAGGAATATATATTGATTATATATGCGCGTTTAGATTAGTTGCCAGGGTTGTGAGTAAAAGGAAGGGGTTTGGTTGAGGAGCGAACACGTTGATGTAAAGGTAGCCGCACGACACTCTTCTTCCTAGGCCCATTTTCATTTGTCCTACACCTCCCTCCCTACAACGTCCGTAAACCCTAAAAGCAAACACAACAAAAATCTATTTATTTTTCTAGCTTAATTACATTCTTCAAACTTTGATATTCTTTCTTCTTCCCTTTTATCTTTTTCTGTTCTTAATGTACTACTTCAATAATATAATTTAAAAAAATTGGTAAACAAAATAGTATATGGTATGTTATTATTTTGAGATGAAACGCGACTGATGAAGTTAAGGTATTATATTATAGAAACTAAAAACAAACAAAAGAAATCCAAATAGAACTTTCTATGTTGTCATTGCAATTTGTATGCCCTTTGAGAAAAATAAGAACATCATATTATGAGCTGTAATTCATTAGGGAAACATATTTTGTTTCATTTCTCACACTTTTTTTTATTTTTAGTTTAATTTAGTAGTAAAAAAGAAATAAAGATGTGCGAAAGAAGGTCAAAATAGATGTGTGAAAATCATCTCTCATTCATTTTCATAAAAATGCAGTTTAGTTTTCCTTACAAGAATTATTCATGCCAAAAAAGTTGAATTAGTCGGGAGTATTTCTTTTAGCAATTTGATTATCCTCATTTCCATTTCAACTGCATCCAACAAACTGTTTTCCCTCATATATTTTAAATGATCATACACGTGTAATTCAATATTTGAGTGAATAAAATGTTGAGTTTCTACCTATGCATTATGGATTTGAAACTCTCCCTCCCCTAACTTGTGTATTAGTTTTTACTCCTCCCCCCTTGCCTTAAATGATCTTACAACTTTGAATCTAGCCAATTTTTTACAAAGATGACTTTTGAAGAAATATAGACCGTTTTTGTCATTGAAATACATTGTGAGATAAACCTAAGTAAAAAATATGTACATATTGCAAGTGGTGGATTGTTTTAGTGGTTATGATTTTTCTCCCCTTCCTCAGTGTGGATTAGTAAAAAATATTGCTTGCAATTAGAAAAAAAGTGTACCATGTTTTTTTCTTCTTATAATAAAGGCATCCTTAGATGAGAAAGACTCAACTAATTAAGATTCCATAATCACATCTTTCCCTTTCAAGCTTCAGCCAACCATGTTGGCCCAGTCTTCTTGTACTTATCCATTTATCCATCTAGGTCAAAAAGTTGGAATGCTTGCTTTCTTGCTTTACAGACCGGCTTGTAATACAGACGGCAAATTCAACCAGCTCCCAAAACTAATCTCGCATCTGGCATTTCCTTCCTACTTCTACACTGTATCGGTTCACACGAAAAAATACAGACGATGTCGCACTCTATTTTTCTCCTCCTGCACTTTTCTTTTTTTTTACTCTTTTAGCCTTTGAACTGAATATAAATCAAAAGAAAAACAGTTGAGGGAAACAAAGGGACGAAAGTAAAAGAAGAAACTGAGAACGTAAAAATCACTAACTTATAATAACATTTCCAACTTCAGGATTGGTCTAATGAGCATTTTAATGTATCTAGTTCTGGGCCTCAATCTTATATTGAGATCCATAATGAATAATATTATCAATTGGACGGACCATGCTCTAATGGGATTGGGTTATTTGGAAAAACTGAAAATTAATTTGCAATGGGCCATGTATGGACAGCCAGAGAAGGTATGTTTTAACCATGTGCTTACTTTGAGAGCTGAATTGAGATCTAGGGCAACATGATTCATGAGCATACAAATGCCACGTCATACAGTGGCAGAGTCAAAATTTCTTATAAGGAAAGGCCTTTTCAATGTAAAAGAACAAAAGGGATAGTAATCATATTTATTCTTATCGAGTTTTCATATTTTGAAACCATTGCATGATAATTCCATCATGTTTACTATTGAAAGAATTCTTAGAATCAATGAAAAAATTTACAAACCCTAACATTCAAGCAAGAGCTGGTAGAATAGAGTACAAACGAATAAAAAATTATAGGCAATGATAGAGATTTACAAATCTTATTGTTGCTTATTGAGTGGATTTGTAATTTTTTTTTTCCAATAAGTTGAATGGATTTGGAATTTGGAATGGCAAAAAAATATGAAATTTTGAGAATGAGATGGGGAATAATTCTCGAATCTCTGGATTCCACCGGAAAAAAAAAATCAGATTAAAGTGTTAGGCAAGATAATGATTGAATTTATTTTAAGCGTTGAACAATAATAGGATTTTAGAGGAAGAGAAATAGTTATAATATACATATGTATATTGTGACAGCCCGTTCCGGAATTTTAAAAACGTACGTGTAAAAAGACGATTTTGCCCCTAGTGTGATTTTTACGTTGTATGGTTGTTTTGAACTTGGTGTGGCTGGTTGTGGACCACACACACTTCCCCACACATTTCCTTCACCCTTTCCCTGTCCCTGCTACCTGTCCCGTGCCATTTCCTTTCTCATTTTTCCTCCATTTGTACGGACACACTCCAAAACCCATCAAATCTTCACAGATCGAAGGAACAAAGTACATATCCATGCTCGTGAGGTTCGTAGGAGTTCAACCATACCCATTTCAGGTAAGGTTACCTTCGTTTTCACGTCGAACTCAAGATACCCGATTTTTGGCATTGTTCATGCACACGTAATTTCTTATGTTTTTAGGAATTTCAAGCTTGTAGGAAGCTTGGTGAGGTCCTTAGGAGGCTCGGGGTGGTTCGTTTGAAGGTTTTGGACGTCAGGATCGTGAGTTTCGAGGTTGGCCGGAGTTGGTGGTGTTTTCCCGATGAGATTTCGTGGATTTTAGCACTTGAAAGTGGTATGAACTTGTTCCTCTCGTTGTAAGCTTCAATTTGGTACCAATTTTGTGAAATTTGGTTGAAAAACGAAGAAGATAGGACGATTTGAAAATTTCATGATTTTCCGGCGCTGGTGACGGCGCCGGAGCCTCGCCGGAGAAGACGACGGAATATTCCGTCAGTTTGGACGGAATATTCCTAACGCCATTGATGGAAACCGTTAAATTTAACGGAATATTCCTGACGGCGTTAACTGACGCCGTCAGCGTGCCAAGCACGTGCCTGCGCGTGGCCAGCGCGTGCGGCGATGAAATTTTTTTCTAAAAATATGGGGATGTTCCTGAGGTTGAGTAGGTCACGTTGGTGTATTCATACACGCCATTTGAGCATTGTATGAGAAGTTATTTCTTAAGGTTGGTTATGTGCTTTAAAATTTACGTTTTTATAGTTGTTTCGCATATAGGCGATACCTATCCCGAGGACGAGCATGGTCACTTGAGGTAAGGGGGTTACGACCCTTCCACATACCAGTGAGTGGGCTTTTGGTTTTCCGTATATACCTATATACTTATACTTTTCCCAGAAATTGATTTGAAACGTTTATTCGTTTATATGCCATGCATTATAGTGCCGTTTGTTTATACATTGTTAGTTGCATATATATATATATATACATATATATATATATATATATGTATGTGGGTGCTATGGACGCACAGGTAAGTGCCATGTGAGTATGATTTATGTTTATGTTCAGTAGTGATTTGAGATGCTTAGAGAGCTCATAACCTGCACCCCCGGTGTTAGTGCTCCCGCCCATAGTCGGGCACAATCCTTCACGTGATGTTCACCTCCCGCACCACACGCTCATCTTGGATCCAAGTTAGGTGCACAGGCTTGTCGTACAGACCACTTTAGGTGGTTCCGACTCGTAGGTGACCCGCGATTATTCACCCAGCCTTCACGTGATCGTAGCACTTGAGCGTATTTATATATTACACCTAGGCCTGCCGTACAGACCACTTTAGGTGGTTCCGACTTGTGTGCAGGTCTAGCTAGTGAGATAGAGATTTGAGCTCTAGATTCAGCCGTACAGGTCACGTTAGGTGACTCCGACTGACAAATTATATGACATTACCTGAGCACTTGCATTTTACTCTCGAGGTTTTGGCATAGCATGTTTCTGAGCATGACTTATATATATATATATTTTCTATTTTCTGGGAAGTATACAGGTTTTACGGCGAGGGGTTAGAACTTGTTTATGAAATGGTTTTTGAAAAGTTTTGTTTTTGCCCACTCACGCTTTTGTCTTGCGCCCCTCCAGGTTCTAGTTGGCTAGCACGTTTGGTGGCTTCCCTGAGGATTTCCCCGGCATATCTGACAGACCACCACCAGTGTAGGACCACCTTCGGGTGTGCTTTTGTTGTATCGTTTTCTCCTGGACTGCATTAGGCGTTTTTGCTCTGAACTTAGTGTTCACACTTACGCTTGCACTTGTTCGTTATTACCTTATGTAAAGCTAGTTTTTATTTTTTTCGTACTATTTATATTATTATTTTATTAGCTTCCGCACTGTGCACATGGTTACGTCACTTCCACGTGACGGCCAGCATGCCCTGATCTCGATCGAGGTGTGTCATATATAGATATAGATATAAATATATTTTTTCAAGATCAGAATATGCCCAGAATCACCATGGTCCCTTGGTGCCTCCATTATACTAGACTTGGATCCCTTGGTGCCTCCATTATACTAGACTTGGAATTATGCAAAGATGGAGAAATACTTACCTATCACGTGATCAGATATGAGATAGAGAGTAGTTAGATACAAAGGGTATTGAAAACCGTTGCCTCTTTAAGTTTTCCTCGTCAAAATGTGTGATGTTAAAAAGAATCTACCATACAATCATAAATGTATTTCTTCACATAGAAAATGTTGCAAACACAAAAATATATTATCAATAACACATCCGATTTTCTCGTGACATTTACACAACATGTTTGCCAATCGCGAGGACAACTGGACGAGAGCCTTTCCAAATTCCAATCGCAAAGGGGATTAACGTGTTGCCCTACAGCCCACAAGAGCAACTCTAAAAGTCTAAACCCTAATGTACAAGTAGGTCAATATTAATTAAGGAATGCTTAATCACTTGCATTTCTTTGGGGTAATTGTATAATGTGGTTACAATATAAGATAGCTATAAAGCAATTAAGGCCAGGAGGGGTTATTGGTCCATGCCTTCTTCAAATATTTGTTGAGAAAACAAAAGGTGCATGGAGGGTCAGTGTCTCTCCACATGCCTTGGGTCAGTTCAACGTGGGGTTCTTTGCCCTACCCGACTTTCTATCAATCCCCCTTCCGCACTCACACAAGCTTTTGGAATTTGCTTTTATATCCATCCTCTCATCTCATTCATCACTCCCAAATAATAATGTGTGCACTAGTGTTTTGCATGTTTCCTTTTCATATGTCGCATTGATTCATATACTATAAAAGCAATATTCCTAATTCATATATGTTACGGGGAGGAGGATTTAATAAAAAATAATATTTTTACTATTATTCTACCATCATTTTATTTCTACTATCATTCTAATATAGATGAAACCTACATGTGTTTGTGGGCCAATTTAGTTAAGTGCACTGATCTGACTAATTTAATTAAGTCCAGATCTTCTTGATTTTCTGTCTTAAGCATGTGAGACTAATAATAAAATACTTATCAAAACGCCGAATTCTCTCGAAATTTCAAAATATCGACTAAATATAATCATGTATCTATCTCTTTTTCTTTTCTTTTCTTTTTACCCAAATCGTATAGAATTTGATCACTTACAAATGAAACAAGATGTTGTGGTCCATGCATCATACCATGAGATTGCCATCTATAGGGCTTTTGGCTTTTGGGAATTTTCATTTTTATGTCACGTAACATTTAATACTCAAAACTCAATATTTCTCTACGCATGGAACTATAGTACTAGTACTTGGGGCATACACTTTGCTTCCGAACTTTTCACTTGGCCTCATTTTGTTTTTATCTCTCTCATTACATGATTAGTTTCAGAATAAAAAAGATACGAACATAGTTGGTAATAAATCCATATTCTACAAATCCTCATATTTATTTAGAATGCTAAAACTTGAGTCTTGACCCACTCATCTTCCTCATATTTAATTAGAATACAGAAACTTGAGTCTTGATCCATCCATCCATGAACACAACCAGATTCATATATAATAAATCGGTTGATTTGTCTATCTGTTCATAGCTAGGCTGGCAAGCCAATCAACAACTTCACATTCTCTGTTGCATAAGAATATTTGGTTGCTTTCAACTCAAAAGATGGTTGTTAATTAACACTTTATTGTATATTATATCCGATCTGAAACACTTGATGTCGACCATTCTCTCGGATAGCAACTAATTAAAGTTTAGACGTTGGGAAAATAGTACTTTGAGGGAGAAAAAATTATTAAGTAGAAGGCCATGATCGCATTTTGTGATAACATGCCAAAGACTATTACCTATAAAACTTTGAAATCTATAATTTATGGTCTATCACTACTTAAAAACAACAAGGCTACAAGCTGTCAAGTAGAATGGTTGCCAGGTAGACATGGTTTGTACAACCCATCTGAAATGGTGCATCTTCTTCACTATTTATCCATATATAGATATTAGGGCAAGGATTGTTTGGTACTAAATACCAAATTTTTAGTTGATAATCTTCGTGCATCATTTATAGTAAACTTTTATCATGTATGCACGTACCAACCGCTATTTTAGATATTAATACAAACACTATTTGGTTTCTTATAAGTCTTTTTTCTTTATATGCATAGTATAGTCCATCATATTTGTAAAAGTAACTTATAAATTATGATTCTTCATCTGTTAGGAGAAATAACGCGTTATATATAACGAGACAAATATTTTTTTATTGATACACCTGAAATACCAAATCTAAAGGGGATTTGTTCGTGCCACCGTGTATACATAGAAGAAAGGATATTCAATATTTAAAATATCTCGATTATGAAAGCTTATATGCTTATTTTAATAGATTAAGGGTGGGAGGAATGAGTTGTCTTTTGGGATTAGTGTGGTAATACAATCCTAATACTATAGTAATAATATATTAATTTATATGCATACATCATACATGCCATGACTAGCTCATGTGGCCGCCAATCTGTCAAGTGCTTTTCTAAACATATATTATACATGCTCTTTATCCTTCCTTCAGTCATTTCTCTTTGCCTCTTTTTCTTCAGACTCAAACTGCAAAGCAAAAGCACTTATTGCAAAGGAAAAGCACTTCTCCTCTTTTTCTTGTCGATTCTCATCCCATAGCCATGTCTACTGAGACTGGTGTTGTACCTGTGGCCGCTGATGATCAGGTAAACCTGCTTAAATTTCACAACTTATATTGTTAGTTCTTTCTTAATCAGATGCTGTCACCTCCCAGTATGGACACCTTGCAACGGCTTCACTCCAGTCGCTAGCCCGTCCTTCGGATCCCTCAAATGAAAATTCTCGTAAAATCGAGTTCCAAATTTGAATAGTTTTGTTTGCGATTCTCTGTGGTTTCAGTAGTTAATTATTGGTGAAAACATCTTGAATATTTGCTTTAAAGTTGTATGAAGAGCACTCGTCCACAACACACAAACATCTATGGTTGTATAGTGATATTTTGATGCTTAGGGTAATATATATGTGTTTATATCTAGGGAATTTTGTTTCTTTGGTTTATCATTTTTAGCAGGTCTGTAGCTCTCTATCTTCAACTGATGTAAAATACACCGGTTTTTCTTCACACGCTTGTTTTCTCCTTGAGCACCATTTTTTTGTCTCTTGATTCTCTTTTGATTTATTCAATCTGATGGCTAGTAATAAAATAGAGAGAAGTGCTAAGGGCATGGGGAGAAAAAGGGTGCAAAAATAAATGCCATGTACAATATATAAGTGTAGTTCCACTACTAATTATATTGATACCCTTTAAGATTAAAACCAATCACTTAATATGCAAGTTAGGAACAATATCGGCATGACTAGTAGTGAACCAGTGATTTGTCTCTCTGAAATCTTTGACATCAAAATCATCATTAACTAAGGCTGCAGAAACAGTTTTTCTTAGACATGCTTGATGTCGTTTTACCAATCTGTTATTATGATTTGAAATTAGTTGTTGATATCATATTGTGTTATGGCAGCCAATTGTGGAAAAAGTTCATGAAGAAACAGATGCAGTTAATGGGAGTGATAGTCCTCCTCCACCCAAACCTGATGAGAAGAAGGATGAAAAGGAAGATCTTGTAGCAGGGAGCTCTGTTCGTTCAGAGGTTTCTGCAACCAAGGTTGAAGAAACACCAGTGGATAACGATAACCAGACAGAGACTCTTGTCGTTGTTGAGGCTGAGAAGATTGATGATGATGTTCCGGTCGAAGCTGCCTCGAAAGAGATTGAAAGGTCTGATAAGGAGCCAGAGCAATCATCCACAAAAGACTCAGCCAGTGAAGCTGTTGAAGTAGTTGACAGTGTACCAGTGAAGAAACCGGCAGTTGAGTCAGTTGAAGATAAACCAGTGGAGAAAAAAGAAGAGAAGGCAGAAGCTATTGAAGCCGATGAGAAGCCAGCTAGTGAAACAGCTGAAGCAGTTGAGAAAGAAGCCGATGAGAAGCCATCTAGCGAAAAAACTGAAGAAGTTGAGAAAGAGTTAGATGAGAAAAAGGCAATGGAGAATGTAGCAATTGAAGAAGTTGAGAAAGAAGCAGAGAAGGATCAAGCTATTGAAGCAGTTGAGAAAGAAGCCGAAAAGACGGAAGTAATTGAAAAAGCAGATGAGAAAAAATCAGTGGAGAATGTAGCAGCAACTGAAGAAGTTGAGAAAGAAGCAGATGAGAAAAAACCGGTGGAGATTGTAGCAACTAAAGAAGTTGAGAAAGAAGCAGAGAAGAATCAAACTATTGAAACAGTTGAGAAAGAACCCGAAAAGATGGAAACAATCAAAGTAGATGATGAGAAGAAACCAGATATTGAAGTAGTTGAGAAACAGATAGATGATGGGAAGCCAAATGTTGAAGCTTTCGAGGCTAACGCATCAACTGAAGAAGCAGCTGATCAGCCAGCGGAGGAGCCTGTCAAAACTTCTCTTGTCAAAGATTCAGAAACTGTAAATGAAGTAGTGGAGGGCAAGCAACATGAACAGTTGAAAGATTTATTAGAGATGGAAAGAAATGTTGAGAAGGAACTCAAGCCTGAAGAAAATGCTGCCACTGATAGCTCTGTGCCAACCGTTGAGGAAGCACAGACAATTGAGAAAGAAGCTGAGAAAGACGCTGAGAAAGACGCTGCAGTTACTAATGTAGAAAAGCCAGTTGCTGAGAAGACCGAAAAAGAAGCAGGAAAAAATGCTGCAGACAAGGATGAGGAGAAGAAGATTGCAAAAACAGAACAAGAAACTGAAAGGAATGTTGAGAAGACTGGTGAAAATGTTGCACAAGTTGCTGATAGAGATTTAGTCGCGGCAAAAGAGGTAGTATTGGAGAAAGAAGAGTACAAGGACATTAAAGAGAATGAAGTTGTAGTTGAGCCTTCTGCTGCCATTGTTGAACCGGAAAGCAAGTTGGAGAAAACAGAAGAAGCAAAAAATGAGCCCGCTGCCGAGAGTCTTGAGGCCTCCAAAGAGGAGGCCAAGCAAGAGGTTGCAGTAAAAGCACAAAGCAGTCAGGTGGAATCATTTCAAAGGTGAAGCAGTCCATTGTGAAGGTGAAAAAAGCGATTATTGGGAAATCTCCAAGCTCAAAAGTGCTTTCACCAGCACCAGAAGCCAAAGCAGATGAACAAGTCAGTGTCAAGTAGTTCTTTTGGTCAGGTGAAAGATAGTTTTTATGGATTTTATTCACCGTGTAGCTGATTGTTTTGGTGTTTCCTCATGAGGGCAGAGACCATGCGTTTTGTTTTGTGTGGGATTTGCAAAGATTTTTTTTTTATTTTTTCTCAGTTCTTCTGATTGTAGGCACAATTGCTATTAGTTGTGTTTGTTATGGTGAGTCTTTTGTGTGAAATGTAATTGAACATTATATTGATTTGTTTATTAAATTTCTTAAGTTGTAATGTTGTAGCTTACATTAAGTTACATTTTTATAGTCTTTTTGTGACGAGGGAGAACAAATTGTGACATAATGTTGTATTGAAAAGGAAATGAAATGATAATCTTAAAACATTTAAATTTGTAATCCATCGAGAAAAACCTCAAGTCGTTGAATAATAATATATTTAACTGTAAAAGCTAAAGTGGCTTTACAAACTACGTCAAATCTTACTGTGGTTAAAAACACTAATTAAGGGAAACACGAAAAATAACAGAATATTTAAAGACAACCCTCAAAACTCAATGTTTTAAACCAATAGACAATATAACTTGGCCTTTAAAACTGTTTACTATGAAAAGTAACATATTTGACTCTTCTTGTTATTTTCTTTGAATTAACGTACTATAGACTCATATTGGGAGATCAACTTACATGACAAGACTACACCGCTATCGTGAAGTTCATACCATATAAGTCTTCTCATATCAGAGCTTTACGACCCAAATTTACAAAAGATTGGATCTTGATTCTAGGCTTACACCTGCGAAATTGGAGCTTAATTGTCTCATTATTAAACATATACAACCTTTCGCTTTAATCACATGTATATTGAACGACTACTTAACCAGGCCACATTGAAGGTAATCCTAAGAATAGGGTTGTAAATGTGTTGAGCTAAATTGTATTTCACTAACATAAGCTGTTCACAAATTTTACGAACTAAGTACATAAAAGTTTAAGCTTGATTTCTTTCTTATTGAGTCAAACTAAGCTTAGCTTATTTCTTTTTTTTTTCATAAGCCGAACTTTGATGAGCAAAAGGCGAGCCAAATCCAATGCAAGCTCGAATTGTTTCATGCGGATTTACAGGCGTATCCAAAAATACATTGAGCTTTCGGAATTGGGTTGAAAGCCTAAAATGAGTTCTACTTGGGCTGACTTTAGAGTCACATTTCCCATTTGACTTGTACACAAATTGATCAAGGAGTTTCAAGAAATTAAGAATGGGGCCGCCACCCCATCTGGAGATGGACAAAAAGAAAACTAAATTCAAAGTTAAAGGATTACATATGCAAGGTCGCAGTGGCTAATGTTTTTGCTACTTTACACTTAAGTCTAAATTCTCAACTTATAAATTAAAATAATTTAGAATAAATAATGTCATATCAAAACTGAGAGGAATAGTTTTGATGATAGTCGTGATTGTAGAATAAATTAGGAAAAGGTCTCCTGACAAAGAAATATGCATGAAGAAACACCACAAAGCAAGGCTAGAAAAGGGATCATGTTTAGTGGCGGATGCACATTGAGACCAAGTTGTTTCAAGATTATTTGGTGTTCAGAAAATATACATATGAAGGTCTTATGAGGACCTTCGAAAGTAAGGTATGACTCCTTTTTATGCCCACCAAGTGTTTGATGTTTGCTAGTCATATCTCGACAACACTCAGCAGGTTGTGTCGAGAGTACCCAACAATTTTCTCGATAATATTCATCATAATGCTTCTGCAAATGCCAATATTTGTTGACATATGTGCAATCAAGCTCGGCTGACGACAAGCCTACTATATCAATATCTGTTGATATATGTGCAACATGATCCCCGCTATATTTTAATTAAAAAAAAAAAAAAAAAAAGCCTTTAATACTGAGACTCTCCAATCTCTGAATTCTAGATTCGGCACTGATCGCGTTGTGCCCTCACTCCAGCGAGGCAGTAAATAAATCAGCCACGGGAAGAAGACAATGCGTCGGTGGGGCTACTCAACGCAAATAATACCTTGCTATATTTGACTGAGAAGGAAAGGGACTAGAAAAGAAAGTGAGATTAAGCTCTATGTGTATATATATATATCTTGATTAGTAGGAATTGGAGTGATTAAATGATTAAAATTAGCAATGGCATCAAACACACATGATAGTATGATACAGCTTGGAATTGGAAGAGAGAATAAAGTTGCAAAGAAAAGAGAGGTTCTTCGGTGCCCCAATTGCCCATGCATGACCTTTATTGGGTTCATAAATTGTGGGAGCCTTAAGAAGAAAAGAATTGGATAAGATAGAAAATGACATTTTGTAGGTGACTATGGGGGCAGTGGTAATTAGATGTTGGGAGCTATGGCCAAGGCCAGCTTGGAACAATTTGAAAGTGAGAGAGTAGCTATCTCTATATATGGTGAGCATTCGAAAATACTTACCCCCTTACATATAAAAGAATCATTAATTTGTCGTTACTGACGAATCACAGTTTGAAACATGGTGAGTTTCTATGGTTTTCGTTATAGAAAATTTGGTTTTCGTTAATATATGATGAGTTTCTATGGTATATGGAATTTAAAAGCATTTTTTTATATAGAGGCACTTAACTCCTTGTCTATATAAATGAGTCAAATCACAATTAAAAATGTGTTTTCTTTTGTACGATTTTTAGTGAGTTAGTAGTCTATATGTATCAAATTGTAATTGGCAATTAAGAAGAAATGTAAAAGGTGAGCAATATTGATATAAAACTATGTGTGTATGTATAAATATAAATATATTGTTATATACAATATATACCCGTATGTATGCTTGAGATGTACACAAAGTAATTAACATGAAGATCAATGTCATTGAAGAAAGAGAAAGATATATGTATGGCAGAGGCACGCTGTGCCAGACCGAAGCAACATATAGGGGGAACAACCTTTTCTTATACCCTTCTTGCTTGGTTGTTACAAACCCAAATCTCCTATCCCTCACTTCGCTCTCCCTTCGAACCCTAAACCTTTCTTCAAGACCAAGCTTGCCTACCTGTTCCCCACCCACCCCAAAATAAATAAACAAATTTAATTTAGGCGCCCTTAAAATTACTTGCCAAAATCATCCCAACATTTGAATGGTGAGGGTTTTGGGGCTTGAATCTAACTCCACTCGTCTTTGAAATTCAGACTTGCACTTCACGTCTGTGACATGTATGATGCAAACAATTTAATACATTTAGATCAACTATGACTTGCGAAAGATTTCCTTGGTCACATCAATAGATAACCAATGACTTGTATAAAAAAAAGATCACAATGTTCGAATGTTGGAACAAAACAACTAACGATTGTTGTAAATATGTTATCTCGTTAATAATGATGATGCATATGAGGTCATCGTTAGGGCATAGGTGTACATTTGCATATATGATAGGTTTGAAAGGAATTGTGCTAATGTTAGTCGCACATGACATTATCAGCCTCTGATGTATGTAGCAACTGTGGAGCCTTCAAGTGATAGTGTAACATGTGATTGATACTTGCATGCATCCCCTTTATTTCGAGATTGTACGACCTTAAACAAAGTTCATGAGTATGAACTAGCAGGTCACGGCCGGCACCTCTCAAACTAATGGGATGATTACAAAAACATAATAACTGGTCAAGCATGTGTGAGGGCTAGAATTGAAACAACTAATGATTTGTGGAAGCACGTAGTGATCTTTAAAACTCAGTTTCAGTTCACATAGCTAATCCTATATTATTCTGCACGTGTATTAGATGCTCATGTAGACCATGACTACGTCTCTCAAAGGCCAAGACATGAACCCAACTTTATCAAACATGCAATCAACTAAATTCCGCCCAATAAACCCACCACTTTCTCTCTACTCTCTATCTCTCTTTCTCTTTCTCCGTCTCACTGGTTTGCAAAACTAAGTCTTTGAATTGAAGCAATTTATCAAACACCTCAATCGAAACTCCTACGACTTTGGCACTTTTTATAACTTTCAAACCTTCATGTTCCATCTATGTCTCCCCTCGTCCCTCCAGTTCACTCTTTTTGCTTTAACCTCCCTTTACCCCTAGCTTTTACCTCTTGCATTATTACAACAACCAATACCAAATAGCACACGTGTTGCTCTAACTAAACGGAATGCTAATTACAATAGTGCGCATCAAACATCTAAGTATTATCATACGTACATGTGACTTTAATACTAATACGCGCGAGTCTTTCAGATCTAAGAAGCTTGATACATCAAAATGTTCAACGAACCAATAAAATTTGAAGTTAAGTTTTACGTTAAATTTGTATGTCAAGTGAGAAATAGGTTCAATTTTACGTTTAATTTGTATGTCAAAGTGAGAAATATAATTAAGGGAGAGGGTGTTGCCAATGCCAAGAAGAAATATTGAAGGTAGTAGATGATGATTTTATGTTTTGTCTGATGGGTGGAAGGAAAGCAATCACTTCACTTTATTATACATATGCGTGTGTGTGTGTGTATTTATTTATATATTAATTAACTAATCGTTTGTTAGTATCTCTGATGCAAGGATTCAAATTTTATATTTGAGTCTAAATATAAGGTAAAATATCTTCAATGCACATGAGATTTAAAACTCATATTAGAGTTTTGAGGTAAGTGAGATCCAAATTTATGTTTCCATATGAGATTTAAGTCCAAGGTGAAGCCCATGCTAACTAAAAAAAAATTATTTAACCAAGAAAAATGAGATTTAAGTTTTGAGTCCAATCATCTCCAATGTACATAAATAAATTGCTAAAATTCAAAGGGAGCATTTTTGTTCACCACCATGAATTATGGTGTATGCTCACCATACACTTAATCATCTTCCACGTGTTATTTCACTTAACTTTGGTTAATTTTTTTCAAAATTGAAAAATGAACATTTATTATGAAATTTAACCAAAGTTAAGTGAAAAGACACGTGACAAATAATTAGATGTATGGTCAGCATACACCATAGTTATGATGGTGAGCAACAATGCTCCCAAACACAAATATGAGTTTTGAGTCCAATGTTTTCTTCTCTAATGCAAAGACTCAAATCTTAAAACTCAAAATGAGCCTTAAAGTTTAAGTCTTTGCATTGGCGAAGAAAATCAAAATACACAAGTCCACCACCTTTTTGAAATCCAAATATGAAAGTATAAGTCTAAAATTTAAGTCTTTGCATTGGAGGCGCTCTCATTACTAATATCTAAGAGGATTTTTTGGGTGGCTCGTCACCATGAGTCTATGC